GGTTCTAGTTAGACTATCTTAACTATAGTACTATATAGAGAGTAATTCGAATATAAGAATAGAGTTATTAGATAGTAGTATAGTTAGATAGAATAATAGGGTGTATTCTATTATAGAACGAATTACTACTAAACCCTTTTAGTAGGAATCCGAGAGTATATATATAAAGGGACGCTAATCTATCTAGTATATAACTATTTACCGCCCTTCACGTTATCTCCTAACCCTATTAGCTAAGGTACGTATAGATCGGGTCCTATCTAAGGCTAAGTCCTAACATTATCTATCTTCTTATTACCTTCCGTAATATTAAGTATATAAATATACTATATAATCTACTAGAAATATATATATATATATAAGACTATAGATATAGCCTTCTATACTACTTTAGAGATAAACTATATTCTTACTAGAAAGATTTATTATAATAGAAAGAAGGAAGTTTTTTCTCTTAGATTTCTTCTTATATAATAGCTTATACTAGAGAAGATATATATCTATAGAGTATTACTCTACCTAGTTATATAATAATAATATTATTATTATTATTATACTATTTTAATCTCTTCTAATATTTTATTAATTTACTAGATAGATATTCTATACTCTTTTCAAGAGAACGGAGGTTATAGTAGTTACTCTCTATTACGCTTATGTTACCGGACTTATGTCGGCTGATAGCCCGCCCTATCACTTGCATATGCAGGCGCCAAAGGATGTATACTACTATATAATTTCGGTCCTAGAATCTTATTGGAGACGGCCATGAGTCATTCATGCATCAATACCTAGCTAGTAGTCCTATAAATAGAGATTTGTCAGTCGTATTTGTATGTATGGCTCATAGGTAGCTAGGTTAGCGGAAGACAACAAGGTCTTCATTCCTGGGTGCTAAGGAGATTTGTATTTATTTAACCTTGCGCATTTCCCTTGCGAGCGAAGAAGCATTATCGATCATTCGTTTTTTTTCAACTCAATCTACATATACACCCACTTATATATATTCTCCTATCTATAATCAGGACCTCTGCTTTAGACTCTTTACTATCATGTCTAGCCAACTCAAGTCCTCATTGGCAGTAGCCATCAGAGCTATCGACCCTAGCTTCCGAGAGGGCGCTCAAACATTTGTCGAGCGTGTTGCCACCCAAGTCCCAATCATCAAAGCAATCCAGCTAAATGGGAACCGACCCCATAGGTCTCATGATGACCCGACTGATACAAAACTTGTCATATCCTTCGCTCTCTACAAATCGGCCACGACAAGCAGCCGAAATCGTGTGGGAAGTGGTCACGTTCACGCGGACGGCACTGGACATGTGAACTTCCCCTCCAAGTATAAACAATATCGCGCCGTTACAGGAATGGAATATAGAGCTCCAATAGGCCAATTGATCAAGTCGGGTGACTCTAGCTCTAAAGAGTCCCAGTCCGGTGACTCCAGCTCTAAAGAGTCGAAGTCCGATGACCTTACATGGAGAACCAATGAGCAGACGGGGTATGCAGAATGGTGGGACGGTACAAATTGGGTAGCAGGGGCTTGGTCTGACCAGAATCAGAGATGGTATGCTTTCTACAATGGCCAATGGTATCATCAGAAGTAATTATTGACCTGCCCATTACTTCAATACTATATATATAAGTATTGGATTATATCTCTACTTTTCTCTCTTCATATATTTATAGACTATAGTTTAGAGCTAATCTATACTGAAATAGTCATATATAATATAAACTAGTCCTTGCTCTATACTAATCGTTTATAATCTTATCTATTTACCTATCTATGTGGGCTGCTTTGCTGCTACCCGTATTGGATGCGCTTCTGTGTTATATACGAATTGGTTTACTCCGTCATGCACCGGCTCCCAAATACCCTTCTTCGGACTTTGGATCATGAATTGATACTTCAGTACCTCAGCCAACATGTAGCTTGCCATGAAATTACTCGTGCCGCCTCCAGTAACGGTAAGCACATTATTTACACTACTGAATCCACTGTTTGCACGCTCCGTACGATTCTGTGCTAGGGTATACGCCCATGCTACATCTCGCCCTGTACCAAGTTAAAGGGGTCACCTAATATTAGAGCGTCACAGTCACTTACAATAACTATTCCCAGTTACTTGGAACGCGTAGTACCAGCTCTCGACGGCTTCAGGCGCCATGCCATTACCGAATGCACGATTGTCATCGATGAACCAGCCAGCTTTGTTGTACAAATCAGACTGGTTCACGAACTGAGGCCAAGCAAGCTCGGTCGTGTTCCAGGAGTAAATGATCGGACCAATGCCTGCAGCTGCATAGCGATAACCATTGGCACAAAATTCCGATAGTTTGAGACCAAATTCGAGGTAATCAGGACGATCTAATGCTGCAGAGCCAAGAATATAGGAGCCACCCGAGAAGCATGCGAGTTGCTCGGAGTAGTTCTGTACGGCGGTGCCAGCGAACGAGCCGATCATAGTGAGGTCCGGACGCGTACTCGGCGAAGATGCGAGATATCGCATACCAGAGTCAGCTGCGAGAATGAACCGTTCCGAGTAGTTCGCATAGCGCTCCGGGTCGTACACGTACATCTTGATCAGATACTCATACGCGCTGTCGTTACCAGAGGTCCAGCCGCCATATTGATCGAGAATACGGCCAGTATCCACGCTAAAGTTTCCACCAGTAAGACCGGGAAAGGGTTCTGACTCAGGAGGCGATGGTGAAAACCAATACTTAGCAGCTTCTTGAACCAGTGTACCGTATTCTGGATCACCAGTAAGGTCGCTCAAACGCTGCCATTCCAACTGAAGGGTCCCAAGCTCGGCGAGGCCTGCCGTACGCTGGCCATCTTGCTGTAAGCCCCGACCGGAGAAGGAGTGGTTGCTAAGGAATAAATCATTAACAGGGATACCAGTCCTAGTATTGAAAGCAAACTTCAGAGCATCGGCGAGGTTTCTCGCTTGACTGAGCAGGGCGTCAACGTTGGTAGAGTTTACCCTTAGATGTGAGAATGGGCCCTTAAGAAGGTCGTAAGCGCTAAGCAACCCGCCCAGGTAGCGAATGTTTGTCTCAAACAAGCTGACAACAGAAGGTTGCGGCGTGTTTGTCTTTGAGAAGTCAATGGTCGGAATGAAATCTACAATCACATTGACGATGTCTTCAAGCTCCATGATAATGGCAGTGCTCAAAGCGTCGACGGCCTAATGCGCAGGTTAGAGAAGGTTCTACCTCTAGAATATATCCATCGATACCTGGCAACCCCAACCATTCCGTGAGTTTTGGAATGTGTTGGTCACCGGCTCCAAGTCATCATTGGGGAACGCGTATTTGTAGTACCCGTCCCATGCAAATCGAAACATGTCCACGATGGCATCGGCACGGACCTGTTGGTCTTTCTCAAAACCAGTATAATCGTAGCCTGGACCCTTCTGTTGTGGATAATCGAGAGTGTCATTGTCCCAGCTGGGTTGCATATTGGTCAAAGCAAGCACGAAGGAAGAGAATGAAGAGAGGCATAGTGATCCTCTCAGGACAGTGATCAAGCCGACAAGACCGCTTTGGCCAGAGATCGAAGGGAACATGTCTTCCAGCCAGAGTAAGTCTGTTAGGATGAGGATGACAATGAAAGAGAATACGAAAGCCAGTCGTGGAAGATATATAATGTTCATTGTGTCTGTTCCTGGCACAGGACGCTGCAACTAGTCGAAATATTAGGTAGATCAGGCGGGGTTCTATGTCAAGTGGTATGATGGAAATGAGGGAACTCGTCCTAGACTACCTTGAGTTGCACCGCGTATAATCAGCCGTAAGAGGAAATAAAGTATCCTGGAATGGCAGGTGGTAGCAGTAGGGATTACATCTGTACCAGATGGAGAAGATATCATCAAGGGATGTTGCTGGAGGTCATCAGAACGATTTCAATAATTGCATGGTAATTAATTATTGATAACCGATGATTACTCCATAACGGGGGCATCCAGATGCCTTATAGAGATGACTGACGCCTGACGACTGCAGGCCGAGGCTAAATGTTTGGACTTCACGGCACACATCAAAGATCCGGCAATACACATCTCAGGCATAATACTGACGTTTATATACCATAACACCATGGTTCTCATCCCGGAAAATATGCTTCTATCTCAATCCTTACTTCTGTCCCTGCCAACTTGAAACTCTCGACCGCTCACATACTCACCAATTCCTCGCCACGATGCCTTCCGATAGCTTCAAATCAACCGCCAAGCTCGATCTTTCTCCTTGGGCAGAACCTCCATGGTCGCAAGGCATAGCTTCTCCTTATTACAACGACTCCCACCGCGCCCTCCGCGACTACGTCCGCTCCTATGTCGACGAACACATCCTTCCAGCACACCTCGAATGGGAGAACGCGGGTGCTGCTCCACGTGAACAACAACTCGCGTGGGCGCAATCCGGCATACCCTTCGCTGAGGTTCCAGCAGCCTATAGGCCCACGCATATCCCCGGTCCAGCAGGCATACCCGCCGGCGAGTTGGACGCTTTCCACCTGCTCGTCATGACGGACGAGACAGCGCGGGTCCAGGGAGGCGTGATGAGTAGTCTTGGTGGAGCCAGCGTCATTGGACTGCCTCCAATACTGGTGCATGGCACGGAAGAGCAGAAGCGCAAATGGGTACCTGGTGTGTTCGATTGGCAGACGTCATTCTGTCTAGGTATCACCGAGCCCGGTGTTGGTAGCGACGTAGGAAACATAGAAGCGTCCGCAATCAAGAGTGCAGATGGGAAGTCGTACGTGGTGAATGGGATGAAGAAATGGATCACAGGTACACCATGGGCAACCCATATGACGACCGCCGTGCGTACAGGCGGACCTGGCCACAGCGGCATCAGTGTGCTTGTCATTCCAATGAACAGTAAAGGCCTAACCTGGCGTCGCATTGAGAACAGTGGACAAAAAGCTGGCGGCGCAAGCTTGATAGAGCTCGACGACGTGCACGTTCCGGTCGAGAACCTGCTTGGCCGCGAGAACGACGGCTTTAAGATCATAATGACTAACTTTAACAAGGAGCGCTTCATCATGTCGATAGGTTGCAACCGGCACGCGCGTACCTGCCTCTCGCACTCTCTTGCATATGCACACAAACGTACTACATTCGGCAAACCACTCATTTCCAATCAAGTTATCGCAGTCAAACTCTCTACGCTCGCGAGGTATATCGAATCGCACTGGGCGTGGCTCGAGCAGATCGCCTACGCGGTCCAGAACAGCCCGCACGGCTGGCAGGATCCGGACTTAGCGGGCCGCATTGCCTTGGCCAAAGTGCAAGGTGGACGTCTCTTGGAGCTGGCGAGCAGGGAAGCTCAGCAGGTTTTTGGTGGCGCTGGTTATCAGCGTGGGGGAGTTGGCGCAATTGTCGAGCAGATCAGTCGCGATTTGCGGATGATGGTCGTTGGAGGCGGAAGTGAGGAGATCATTGCTGATTTGGCAGTGAGGCAAGAAACAGCGTTGGCAAAGAGAAGAGGTTGGAAGTTATAGCGGCGTAGTACGTAGTGAAAGACCTGCCCTACGCTATATTACGAATTAATACATGCCAAGTATCAACATTGGACTTCAGTCTTCGTCCGCATAAAAGCACGTGAAGCGGGTTGAATGTCGTACGATCAAACATAACATCATTTACCTACATCAAGTATACCAATCTTAGCATTCATATATGTGCGTTTGCTCGCTCTCTTCATCTCTGATTAGGGTCTTTTATGGATATATATGACGGATCTATGTATGTATACGTGATTCTATAAGCTTATCTATTTACATGGACTCTATGAAGAGATAGAGACAAGAATCCCATGATATTTAGACTCTATCACCCGCAGAGGTGAACATGGAAAAATATAGGTCAACTTGTAAGGAGATAAACAAATCAATAGTCATTGACTTTATGTAGTCCCAGCACGGGATAGAGCATGACAGCCCTCATGCGCGATCCATACCACTAGAAAATGCACATCAATCACACATATTTGATCTCATTCTTTAGATAAAGGAAATAACGTATTCGACTTTAGCCGCTACTGGATATTTTTGCCATACTGAACTCTTGGAAATCATGCTTGGCCAACAAATGCTGTCTAGATAGATATATTCATCATAATTGTAATCTTGGTCCTCAGAGACAGAATGCATAATAATACATTTACTGTACTGCAACGACTTTGCTCTTTTTCTCCTTTGCTTTCATCATTCCAGTCCGCCAATCATCTACCTCTTCCAGGGCCCTTCGCGGCTCCTTCTTACGGATCAAAAGGAACCCCTGAACCTCCGCCGGTGAGAAGGTGTCCTCGGGTAGCTTGGCTGCAAATGCATCGCCCATGACTCGAAGTTGCGCCGGAGACAGCTGTTCCGTCTCTGTTCTGGCGAGGAATGGAGTTATTGGGGACGTAGGACTTTTGCTAACAGCAATATTTGGTTTTATGACCCCATTGATCTTGGCGATTGCACTCAAAGGCGAGGCAACATTGCTGGGCCTGACTTTAAGGACGCCATTGACGAGACGGTCTGACGATGTTTTCTCACCAGTATGGGCCGTAGTCGCACCAGGCTCATCTGTCAGGCCGTCATCGATGTCACTGTTTGAGCTGGTCCGGTGGTCTTTCAGTTGCATCCTTTGCCCCTGGTCATGATGCTCCCTTAAACTCCTCATCGAGGCGTCCGTACCATCAAATTCAATAGAGTACATTCTTACGAAGATATCTCGCATTTGTTCATGCGTCGCCAAGCTAAATTGCACCTGTAGGTCAACTCTTCCTGGACGTATCAACGCTTCGTCTAGCTTTTCTGGATGGTTGGTAGTCATCACCAACACACGCCCTTCATGTGATGCCACACCGTCAATAGCGTTCAAGAGTCCAGATAACGAGATGCCCTGCTTGGCATCATCCGTCTTGCCACCCTTACGCGAGGCAGTCTTCAGTGCCTTAGCAAGGTCTTTGGCTGTAAGCTGGGCGTCGTCGTCGGATGCTGTTCTTGACGTATCTTCGTCCTTGTCGCTCTTCTCATCCCGGAGAAGTCCTGCAGTGTCAATATCTTCCAGAAGGACGATGCAACGGCGAGGCAGGTTGCTGAAGAGACGATTGAGATCGCCTTCGGTGAGAGTTGGCTCGAGAAGAGAGATGACGTAGATATCTAGGCCAAAGAGTCCGGCAAGTGCAAACGATAGCGATGATTTTCCGGTTCCTGGTGGGCCGTGGAAGAGGTAACCACGACGCCATGGTATTCCTCGTGAAGCGTACCAGCGAGGGCTTGCGGGATGTAAATACTCGTTGATGTCAGCGACGATTCTGGCTTTCTGCTCCTTATCGAGTGAAACAGTCTCCATGGGACGAGAAGGCCTGGAACTAACACGATCCCAAGCGCCAGATCGTCGAGACATGTCTTTCGGTGCGGGTCGTCGAATGTTTGTTAGCGACTCCTGTTTCTGCAAGGACCGGGCTTTGATATCACTTAGCAGAAGCCGGAGTGGATTGGTCGATCGCCCAATACACGATAGCTTTATCAATTCCTCGTCTGAGCCTCGTCCTGTCCATGGATTTGACTGAACCTCGCGGCGACTTCTATCGAAGATGTATAGGCTACCCTTATGCCAGAATCTGTGCACCCCGAAATAGGGCTCATATCGAGGTGGCTGGCGGGCTGCATATTTGCCGTAGTGGAATATGCCATGTTCGTCGAGGGCGGCATTTTCGTCAGCTTCGTCCTCGTTAGAAATTTGACTATAGCGGGTCACTGCCTTGATGGAGCGGGACTTTTTCGCCATCTGTTGTTCACCAATCCACGAGAGAATACTATCAAACAAGTCGTCTCCATCATCGATGTAGATATTGGACATAAGGTACTGTCTGAACCAGGAATACACTCTCTGCCAGATATAAGTTCCTACATGGACTGTAGCGAAGATGATTACGGCAGCAGATACTAGAATGCTGACATCAAAACCGAATACATCCAAGATGAAGCCGGAGATAAGACTATAGCCTGGAATGAATGTCTCCAATATTGTTGTTGGCAGTTCGGTTAGGTTCGGGCTCATGCTAGGACCTGTTCCATTGCGGTGGGTTTGAGGGAGCTCAAGCTTTCGACTTAGTTTGGAGAAAGCCATTCTGATGAAAAGTCAAAGACTGTGCCCAAGTATCAGAGGGTCTTGTAGGCAGCAGTGCGTATATATTGGAGGATAACCGGTGGACGATGTTGATTGCCGAGATACGTATATGGGTGGCGAAAGTTCAACCCGTAGCAACCATTCGCCGCCGAACAATGAAAACACTGAGACAATGTTCGGCCCCAACAACAATCCAGGCACAGAGAAACGTTGATGTTTGTTGCAGCAATGGACCACCTGTATTTGATGAGGAGAAACTCGACCACTCTGGACCACTACGTTGCTTGTTATAATGATTTAGTACAGTATGTTGCCTAAAATAGAGGCCTTGGTGATGCCTAAAAAGCAGTTGGCAACACCTTGGCAGAGGGTAGTAGTCAATGGATGACCGGTGTGACCTGTGGGGCAAATGTGATATACAAAGGAGAAAACCGGTGTGGATGACTAGAAGCGGACTTGTCAGATTGAAGGCAAACGCACAACGAATGGCCTAATGAGCTACCAATAACAGGAGACGCCGTGGTCAGGCACCAACGACTTTCGAGTCAGAGTGACCGAGTGGGCCTGTGGTGAGCATGTATATCGTGCAGTATAATAGTGTCGGTTGAAAATGTCCGAATGAGTAAACGGAAAGAGGTGTAAATAAGTAGTGACGTCGCCAGGGTCAAGGGCACCAGGCTGCAGCGTTGCTCTTTCGCCACAACCAAGACTGGAATGTGGTAATGACTGGTGCAGCGCGTAGTGGTGGTATGTATGCGTCAAACGTGAGGTACACCCGCTAGAGCAATATGTATGGCATGAAGATGGTAATACTGCGCAAGGCTTGGAGAGATGGTCAGCTACCTATCTAGCGATATAAATAATGAACAAGGCTGTGTTGAAGACCGATCGCTGTGTCTGCCACGACTAGTTCTATTCTGACTACCTATTGTGTGGACGCCAAAAGTCGCGCCGGCTGGACAAACGCGTGAACCTTGTGAGTCCGTCCCCTACCTGGTATGCGTCACGACAATTGTCTGCGACAGGAAGATGATGACGAGAACGAGGATGAGGGCCATAGAACCGATAGATTGGGAGTATAGATAGATACATAGATGCCAGATGGATTGAATGTCAGGGAGGCCCTAACCCTCAGTGGCGCAGCAAAGGCCTCTCTGCGGGCTGCTCCCAATTTCTGTTAGTTTTTGATACTAGAAACTGCTGGACAGGTTGATCCATAGGCTGATATGTCGCCACGCTCTTTGCTTCTATACTAATACCCAATTATCGTGCACATGCGCAGGCCTCGACAGCTCTTCTTTCGCATGGCAAGCGGCGGTACTACAGGCATTGCCTGGCTGTTGCGATTGGAGGAACAGCATGACGTGTAAGGTTAAGATTATGATGAGAGGGTTTCAACTGGGTCTGAACGATACCCATGAATACTTATGAGGTCGTTTAGGGCTACGGATTCCTGGCCCGTTTGTCGGGAGACGTGCATGGATGTGGTTCGCTTTGATTAAGTGACCTGCTTATCCGTTGTCCTACTGCACACGCACGCGCCCACATCGTGTCGTGTAACTATCTATATCAAAAGAATCCGATGTATTTACACGCGTGGGTTGTGTGCTAATGGGTTTGGTCGCCAGTACTACTCCCTCGAGGACATTCGGCCTCTAGGCATTGCGGAAATCCCAACATAGCTTTTGCGGATGCATCAGGGGGAGGTCCTAGACATTCAATGCTACACAGCCTTGTCTTGCGCGTTCCGCAGTCTATGTATGTCGGGAACCATGCGAGAGATTGCCCAGATGACTCGAAGGCATACGCGAAACTTGAAATGCAGTCGCCGCGGTGCATATACACGAGGATGCGAGCCAATCTGAAGGCTGCGTCCAACATGGTATTCTATCAATGCGACTGGACCATGCGTGCTCATACACCGTGGCTAAAAGAAACGGCCATGTAAACCGCCACATTTACCGGTCACTGTCTTGATTCGCTCTCACTGACATGAGCATCGCGGATTCCTTCAGGACTCCCTGAGCTCTGTGACACACGCACCGGCCGCATGGTTTACCTTCTCATGCAGTACAACCTCAGCAATAGCCGGTCAGCTTCGCTACGGCTGGGTCACCCAGACTTGCAGCGAATTCCTTGCCAGGATCTTCATCGTACCCTAGAAGATCATCGATCTTCTCCTCTCTCTTGATGCTCCAAAACGCGTGCGCTCCAGCCACGAACCTATCCCCGATTGGTTTGAGTTCATTTTCACCGACAGCAGAATAAGACATTCGGAAGTATTTCCAAGCATCCTGATCCTGGACCTCCGGTGTCGGTCCAAATATCGTACCTATCAAGCCAGACTTTAGAGAAAGAGAAAGAAAAGTGAGAGGGCAAAGAGGTATAAACTCACCTGGCCCGACCAGTACCAAGTAAGGCTTCGTAGTCCAAAAGATCCAAAGTGCACGCGCTAAACGTTTGTGGTCTACCGTTCTGGCAAGCGGGTGTGACTTGAAGTTGAATTTGACCCATGCGAACATGCCACCCATTGGCCTCGTGAAATGATAGATCTTTGTCGTCTCGACAACAGACCACTCAGTACTCACCAAAGACCCGCGCCGTCCAGCTTTAACAATTGTCTTCCCTGCCTCGAGACGGTCACAGAGTATATTCATGCGACGTTCGTAGTTACCACGAAGCCCTTCGAGCCAGCGGACCCACCCTGTCATCTCCCATCCACTCCCGTCTTTGTTACCGCCACTACCATCACCCGATTTGTATGGACCCATGACCATCTCTGCAATCATAGCCTGTACAAAACCAGACGGCTGTGCAGTGGTAGTTTCCGTAATTCTTGTTATGCGCTCTATCACCCTGGGCTGAGCCGTTATCCAGCCTAGTCTGCACCCAGGAGCAACAGTCTTGCTGAACGTATCCAGTCGTACGACTCTGCCTTCATAATCAAGGGACAAATACGAAGGTACCAGCGAGTCTAAGAAGTCGAAACCAGAAGATTTTGCATTCGTGTCGTGGAAAGCGTCCTTTTTGCTCGCTGTTGGAAACTGAAGAAACCAGTACGGATCGTCTTCAATGAGGATGATGTCGTACTTGACGCAAAGCTCGTAAATTGCGCTTTTACGCTCTACACTCTGGACCCCACCCGTTGGATTTTGTCCAATCGTAATTGTATACAAAAGATGGGGTCGTCTGCCTCTTGAATAATCCCAATTCTCTAATATATCTTCCAGTCCACCAGGACCATCTGATTTCATACCCTGTTCGTCGAGCTCCACGGTAATAACATTCATTCCTCTTGGCAGGACAGCCTGTATAGAAGTCATGTACACATACTTCTCCACTAAGATGCCTTCCCTGGCCGACACAGGATCCCGGTCTGGGACCCATGTGTTGTTGAAGGCTTCTATGGTCTTTGAGTAACCATCCGTATTACCGCACGAGAGAACAATGTCTGGACCGCCCTTGTATGGCACGCTTGGATGCATGTGTTCAGTCGCGAACTGCTTTATCCACGCAGCGAGGGGTGCAAGGCCCGTAGCCTGTCCATATTGAAGCGCCGTCGTGACATCTATTCTACTTGTAGGACTTGGAGCGCCGGAGTCTTTTGGGACAACAAGACGCGAGTTCGAAGGTCTCGTTATGCAGGCCTTTTGAAGCTGCGTTGCGATGTTCGCAGAAGGGTCGCCTACGGTGATTGGGTCACGGTGTGATGGTGTCCATCTGTTCTGTGGTGCAGTCCTCGCCTCAAGCGTATCGAACGGAAAATAGTCGGGGCTTGGTAGTCCTACAGGCACCGTAATATCAGCCACCACTTCTTGAATGTTCCTTTCTTATCGTGACACGGCACCATACCTCCTGCGAGCTGGCCAATACCGGGGATGAGAAAGTACTTGTAGAATGCCTTGATATCAGAGGGTTTTCTCGACTTAGTCACTTCTGATAGGTGGTGAGATAGATCAACAGGGCAGGGCAACGAGTGGGTGACCATATTGCCCAGTATAGGTGGGCCTTCAGAAATGGTAGTGTATATATCATATAGAAGGCTCTGTCCGGATGGCAGGCGGTGGTGGCCATGGGATCCTCAGCCTTTAATATCCATGGGCACTCTCGACAGCGTCATTGATTGATAAGACGGCAGCGGCTGCGGTAGCGGGATAGAGAATGATGAGGGACTTCGTAATAGTACCGAGGCCGTTTCTAGTTCACGCCTTAGCAGGCAGTAAGAAGCTTATCTTATCTACAGTACTACAATACCTAGTATGTGGTCGTATAAACGGTAGAGGCACCTATAGTACTGTTGTAGCAATAGGCTCTGTTAAGTATTTGTCGATGGTAGTTCCGAGTGTGTCGTATCTTACGCTACAGCTCGGTTGGTAGTAGTAACATAAGCTGTTTTTGAGGGATATCTAGCAAGAGGGAACTCTAGGGCGACATATGGAGTTCCAATCTTCTCTGAACGAAGATATATTTCCATAATCCGATCTGAATCTACTCGTTCTGCTGTACTACACCAAGACTGTCGCGTTCATTGTGCTAATCGTCGGGGAGAGATACCAAAATGATGTTGGCATCCGCTCTCATCGGTCCAGCCCATCAATCCAGCGAGGGCGACTTTCCAACCGCATAGGCTGGGTGGTTTCAGACCTCTCGTCTTTTGAGCAGCTCGCTGGCGCTAGATCCTGGTTAGATATACCGACCATAGGCAGCTTCGCGAGCACGTCTAGGTAATAGTAGTAGCGACCAGTATCTATGACCAGACGGAGTTTTGGCCAGATTGAGTAGCATAGATGCAGCGTGCATGGTTATGTTGTTGTGGTCACTGATGGCAAGATGCTACTGGGATCATAGACCGGGGTTCCACTGTCGTGTTTATTGTTTACTGTTTACTGTGTACTAAACACAGTGATTGGGTACTTAGGTAGAAGATTTGGCGTGCTCTCTAGCCGGACCCCCGGACCAGTCCTAGCCGGTACCGCCTCATGACGATGCAGGTCCAGGTCCAGGTCCTTGGAAATGCTGCATCTCTTGTTGCGTGTCTGCCCTACGCACTTCACAAGCCTCTCACCTGTATAACTAACTATACCTTTTGTATTACTGCTTGCATGATCTGTATATCTGCATTCCTAGCATTGTACTGTTACTGCTCCTCTACATATCCGCACACTTCCGCTGTCGAGCATCGTTCCCAACCCATCCACACTCGCATGCGATCGTGGCTTTGAACACCTTTGAACCCGATCCCATGGCGCACCGACTCGAGAACACCAGCAATGAGCCTGCTCGTCCATCAGAGTACCGCGACGACGAAGCGAGCGTGTCAAGTGACACAATAACGCTCGACGACAGTGCTCTTATCGCACTCTCCGAAGCTTCCAATGACGAGTACTTTCGTGCATCACAGCCCCGATGGAAACGTTATGTCCCTCGTATCTCCTCCAGCTCGCGTTTGAGTCGCTACGTAAAGGCCGTGGACAAATGGATCAAAGGCCCTCAACCCCCAAGAAGATGGCACATTACCCCGTTCTTCCCGGCCGTACAAGAATTCCCCATTGTCTTACTAGAACGGTACTGCCCGAAGCGAAAACAAAAGGTCGCGGCCCTCATTCTTGCATATCTTGCCTGGTTTATCTGCTTTGCCTCTATCTTGAGGAAGTCTGCCTTTTCCGCGGATGTCCCGGGCTATGGATCGCCTGTCAACTATGGGTGCGAGGATAGGTTCTGGTAAGCTTTACAAAGTCTTTCGAATGGAAGTATCTAACTAAGAGCTAGGCGAGACTTTAATGGCTGTGGTCTCAATGGAGACCTATGTCGCCCTTTCGCGAATCGCACGATACCGTTCCGATGCCCGGCGAACTGCAAACGCGAGATAATAGCAAATGATCATGCGGTCGGAGATCAGGAAATCAACTATCAGTCTTTGGTCATTGGTGGTGCTGATGGTGATCAGAGTTTGGATCATGCACGCTATCGTGGGGACTCATTCATCTGCGGTGCGGGGATTCACTCAGGCTTTATTGGGGATGAGAAGGGTGGATGCGGCGCTCTTCGTTTGACCGGCGAGGCCAACCACTTCCCGGCCTCCAAGAGAAAGGGAATATCGAGTGTTGGGTTTGATTCAGACTTTCCTCTATCCTTCACCTTTATCGATGGGTCGCAGGCCAAATGCGCAGACCTCAGGTGGCCGCTCCTAGGTGTATCTGTTATCTTTACGGTCATTATCTCCCTCTTCACGACGTCACCTGCCGTCTTCTTCTGGACCATGTTTACCGGCATGTTCTTTCACACAGCACTTGTATCCGACCCTCCTACCCAACGCGACTATCACGCACTTATCAGCGTAACGCTCGAGCGCTTCCTCCCCGCCGCGTTTTGCGCATTTGTCATGTACAAATACTGCGCCAAACGGACGCTTACTGGCTTAACTGCCCAATTCGAGAAGACTATATTGTGGGTCGGCGGCTGCTGGGTCGGATCGTTGAACAACTACACATTTGACAAGATTCCCATCCAGCGCCTCACCCCGCACGATATCAAACAGCAACCCGGCGCCATTCCTGCGCTCCTTATCGTAATTTTTAGCCTCCTCTTCATCGCCCTCGGCCAGGCTTGGGCACTACGAGTCGAGGGTCGTTTACCGCGCTACCTCGCCCTGTACGGCACATACGTCGCCGGCATCCTGATTATGGTGGCCATTCCCAGTATGAATGTCCGGATTCACCACTACATCCTCGGACTGCTCCTCATCGCCGGCACATCAATGCAGACTCGGCCGTCGCTGCTCTATCAGGGAATACTGGTAGGGTTGTTCATCAACGGCGTTGCCCGCTGGGGCTTTGCATCGATCCTCGAGACACCATTCGCCCTGCGCGGCGACGCTAAGCTCGGCACCCTTCTCCCGCATATTCTGCCACCAATAATTCACGCCAACAAGGGCCTGTCGAGGCACGGCGTGAATCCGAACATCACCTTTGAATGGAAGCGACCGCTCCCGGAGACGCCAGATCGCTGGGAGGGCGTTAGTGTGCTGGTCAACGACGTGGAGCGGTTTAGGGGCTACGAGGACATGGGCGAGACGAGCTTTACGTGGGAACGCGAGGCGGACAAGCTGGACCTGCCGACGTACTTCCGATTCGGCTACCTGAGAGGTAGCGGCGTAGGCGACTATTCGCGCGCAGGCGTATGGGGCAGCGATGGTGGCTGGACGGAGATGGAGGCTGGACCTAGCTAGTTGGGGCATGCGCAGCTTTTGTTTTTGTCGTCGGTTCTTGCGGAAGGCTCGGATTTGGATGTGGTGTGGGCGCCGTGAGATGCATTGGATATATACTCTGGCATAGGTGTAGTGTAGTACACGAATAGTAGACGGACAAACGAGCTTGTGCTATAGCGTCTAAAGCTAGAATTCAAATGTTGAGAACAGTGTCAACGTCAACGATAGCAGTATACAACTATCCCCAATCTAACCTGCCTGTCTGCCCAGCGGTGATCATGCTACGTAACAAATATCGAATTATGCAAAATACTATGTGTTGGCGTACCATCCATTCATGATACAGCTTCAAGAGTCCAGCTTGGGGACCGACACGCCGCTATCGTTATATCGACCCAGGCCGCGCACGACGGTCATGTATATATATATAATCATTCTACATCGTCTGCAACACTGTATATACGCATGTATATACACATACACTAATAATCCATCCACACAATGCGGCGATTTCCCTTTCGATTGGTATATCATCACACGGCGTGGGACACATATGGGGAGCACGGCGGAGCAGTCAGTGAGAGATATTTTGGGTGTCTGGACTCGTCGCCTGAGGCGGACCACGTGAGATGGATGCATAATGGCTGTTTTGAGGGGTTACTAGTAACTATGGTAATGCATTGGATGCATGTATTGAGTCTGGTATGCGGATGGAGGCTGGCGTTTTGCCTTGGGAGGGCTAGCTTTTACTGTTGTTTCGTGAGGGCAGGATGCTATTTCGTGAGTCGGTCGGTCAGGCGGATGGTGGCTGCTGGTTGGTGGTGTGGGCTGGCATGCTGGCTGGCTGGTAACGATGGTAGTGGACCAGGAGATCTCAGTACGTAGCGTAGCTTACGGCGGGTATGAGGTTGTTCGTCCTAGGCGCGCTCGAGGAGGAGAGGAGAGGAGAGGGCACCGAGGCAAACGCATGCATGCATACATGGGACGGAGAGCCGTTGAGCATCTGTGGCGTGCATGAAGGTGGTATGGTATGTGTGGGATAGATGCGACGGAGATGCGGACGACGATAAACTTCTTATGGTGAAGGCTGCTACCGTTTCACTTGGTCGAGTGGCTTTCACAGTCCCTTTATTAGCCGGACCACGTGCTCGAAGGTTCGGATGGAGAGACAAGCATGTTGATGTGTGACTTGCTGCTATCGATAGCAAGCCGCAACCTTATCGTACCGAGAAAGCGCCCTCTCTCTCTCTAATTAAGCCTCAAGGTATATATAATTATAATCCTGGGCCTGTATATAGCACAGGATGCCTCGATCAGTGGGACAACGATGGCCAGTGAGTGGCCAGTGAGTGGCCAGGGTAGTATGATAAAAGTGTCTCATATGATACGAGGGAAATAGAAGGGTGCACAGCTCCATGCGCGGCTCGGTAAATGCAACCCTTTCAAAGGAGCATGCGCCTGTGCGTTTGAGAAGCGAAACAAATCATGTACGTATGAACACGCGTCAGGACTCTCTCTCTCTCTCTTCCGTACAAAAATCTTGTGCAAAGATCACGGTGTCATTCAACAGACTCAAATCGCAGCGCGGCAAAGGGGGCGACTCTATGGGATTCCCTTTTTTGCATTGCTCCGGACACTCGGAAAGATCGGAGGATAAGTCGACACGCTTCTGCTGATCATCATCTTGTCAGGTCGAATACCAATTGAGCGATGAGGTCTTCCATTATCTATCCTACCGTTAGTCCTGCGATGATCTACTCCATGACTAAAACTTTTATATTGTGTGATATAACCCCCAAGTCCCAAGTGTCTATCTACACCAGAGCTGGTGAGCAATTGATGGTGGCTACGTGCTGTGTCTGGGATCTGCATGGAACGTATTAAGTACCGCACAGTGAATCCATAAAGCTCGTGGCAGGCAACGGACATCCGTGACAGAAAGGGGAACGGAGTAGATTGGAGAAGAGTAAGGAGGACTTGGGGGAGGATAGTTAGCTAAGGGGTTAACAGTTGCCCACGACGGCGACGTCATTACTCCACTCGGAAAGCATGATCGTCAGCGGCATCGTCATCGTCTTCTCCATCCTCTCGCCTTCATCGTCTTCTTCAGCCTTCAGCCCTGAGGTAAAAGGGGGGAGGGGGCTCGATGCTGGGTGCTGTGTGAACGGCGGACGATATACACGACTTTCGTCCTATCTTGCTCCGCAGATGTGCATGTGCATCTTCAGCGAGTCGAAGACGTAGGTGAATCACAAGGCTTTTGATTGCACAGAACCATGCAGGATAGGCACAGACAGGATATGCATGCGTCGCGTGTTATAGATGAAGAGAGATGTCGGACGGTTTTTCCCTCAAACACAAGCACAAGGAGGGGGGGAGGGGGTAAAGGTAAGTATACAGCCTGAGCATTGTCGAGCTTGTGCCTGAGGCTGGTCATGCTTAAGGCCATATGCGCGCGCTGATTGGCTGTTGCGCTGACCACCCCCTAGTTTCCACGGTTTCATGATTTCATACCAGCCCTAACACTGACTCCCTTCAATTCCACGCCGGCACCATTCACTGTTAGTCTGTTCGTCTTCGAAGAGGTACTATGTACTTAGTCGCCCATCACAATCATTCCGAATCATCCCCCCGCGTACGTCGCAGGTTTCACGACGTCTTAGTGAGCCCATCTCCATCTTGTTTCCCTTCTTTCCCACAACCTTTTTCTGGCCACTCTTTTGATTTTTTTTTGCATCTCCCAGCTTTCACCTCTATCACCCGCAGTCGTTCATTCTTTCTTCCATTCACTCGTTTCAGTCCCGAGCTCACACTCCTTCTGCCATCTCTCGTTCACATATACCCGGTTGACGCGCGAGTTCCGTCTACCATCCCGTCGTGTGCATTTCGGAAATTGTTCTGAATGCAATAAGCCTCTGGAGGTCTCTTCCGTATCCTCACTTCCACGGCATACAGTTCGCCTGGTGCTCTTTCTTAGGTTGAGGGAATTCACTCTCGCAAACCAAAGAAAACCACTCGCATCTCTTATCCTCATCCAAAGACTTTTCTGCAGGATATCAGTCATGTCGAGCTCCATCCTTCTCAAGGGTGCGGCATTGCTGGCGCTCGTCGCCCAGGCGTCTGCATTCTGGCGCATGGAGTGCCATTCACCCATTGGTCTCGCCCGTATCGATCCGCTTGTTGAACCTGGTGAGGTCTCAACTCACGCCCATACAATCCATGGCGGCAAGAGTATGTTGTCCGAAGCAAGTGCGATATGATCTTACTGACCCTGGGCAGACTTTGGCTTCACCACCAACACCGACCAGCTCATGGCGTCAGAGTGTACCTCATGCCGTGTGCTTCAGGACAAATCAGTGTACTGGTAAGCCGCTGCCACTTGACGTGGTATCAACATCAACTAACCGCCTCTTCTCAGGACTCCCAGCCTGCACTTCATCTTCAAGAACGGCAGCTCCACCGTCGTCCCACAGGTTGGCGGAATGCTAGCGTATGTCAACTTCTTGTCGTGACTCCTCTTCGGCACCTGACTCTGACCTAGATACTACCTTCTCTATGGCGAAAATGTGAAAGCTTTCCCCAAGGACTTCAAGATGCTTGCGGGCGACACCCGCCAGCGTAACTTTACGTGGCCTGAGCCCGATCCACCGAAGCCATGGTCTGGCGATCAAGCTAGCCAGTTTGCCTTATCACAAAAGGCTATCGGGTTCAACTGCCTCGACTACTCTCATAATCCGGAGTCTACGCTGTACCGCCACCGTATGCCTGAGAAGGAGTATCTTGACGCGCACTGTAAGGACGGTATCCGCATTGAACTGATGTTTCCATCGTGCTGGAATGGAAAAGACACGGACTCGGCAAATCACAAGGACCACATGGCTTACCCCAGCCTGACCATTGATGGAGACTGCCCGAAAGGTTTTGAACAGCGTGTCCCTTCACTCCTCTACGAAACCATCTGGAACACGTATGCATTCAAGGACCAAGAAGGCGAGTTTGCGCTTGCCAACGGCGACACGACTGGCTGTGGCTACCATGGAGACTTTATTACTGGGTGGGATGTCGGGTTCCTTCAGAATGCAGTCAATACTTGCACCAACCTGTCCGGAAATATCGGGGACTGCCCCATCTTCACGCTACAGAGCGAGACGGAGGCAGCGAAATGCAAGATGGACATGCCCAAGATGCTGAATGACGATGACTGCAAGGGACCGCGTCAGGGTCTTCCCGGTAACGTGGCCGTCCAGGCAGGACCGGAGTATGCTACGATGAACTCTGGCAACAAGCCAGTATCGCTATACACGCCTCCAGCCATCAACACCAAGGCACCAGTCCCAAGCTTCCAGCAGGCTACCACTGCTCTTACAGACGCGTATGGCGGTGGAATCAGCGTTGCCGCGGTCAACCACGCCGTGTCGAATCCAGTACCGAGTCCGGTAGTCACGCCTGCTCCAGTTGCTCCAGTTGCTCCAGTAGGTCCAGTAGGTGGCGCCGGAGCACCGAGAATCTTGTCAACGTCTACGTACACTAGCGCCGCAGCGGTGTATGAGATTGTGTACGAAGAGGTGGACATTACAGTGACGGCAAACGCGCCAGCGCCAAGTGCGCCAAAGCACGTGGCTCCCCGTCACAATCACAATCACCATCGCCGTGACGGACACTTCTAGGTACGACATGGGGGTTGTAGGGTAGCAGGTTTTGATATGTTGCTGCATCAGCATGCATGGTGGCGTTTTGTTCTTCTCTTCCTTGTATGTATGAGATTTCGTCTTTTTTTCCCTAGTCTCTTCTTTTCTGGCATATCAGTAGTGCGGCGCAGGCTCAGCTGTTCTTACCGAATCGGGAATGCCGCCTGTAGGGTAGTACATACTGAGGTACGTACGTACATATGTGGTTGACACATGGACGCTGTAGATACAGATACTTGCGGTGTGACAGATAGATTGGCAAGCCAGGCGCATGGCACGTCGAATAGGCAGGAAGACAATGGAAATCCAAATGCAAGCTTGAACGTGAGTGCAGGCAACAAGTGACAGACATGCCAATTGCAGCCTCTGTGTCCGAGTCCGTGTCGGTGGTGGTGTAGGAGCAGGCGAAAGGCGGAGAAGGAGGAGAACAGAGATGAAACTTGTTAGTGGTAATTATGTAGCAAAAGACGTCGAGGATAGCACAAGGGGGGTATAAGAAGGTATATATAATAGTAGAATATGTGATGGATGCGGCGCAAGACACGAGTCCAGGAGAAGATAATAGTGATACTGTAATTAGCCTCTCTTGTACTGTAATCGATTGCTACGCCTAATTATTATTACTACTGACTGTCTGGACTGAGGTGGGCTGACTGGACCAGGACTTTTGGGGGGAAGTTTGGGGGGAATGTTGGCGGGCTTGGTGGGCGGGTCGGGACGGCTAATCAGTCAGCTGTGGGCTGGGGGGTTCTGGATTCTGGGCTGCTGCTTGCCGCTCAGTCCGCTTTCAGGTAGGGAGTCACTCACTGGCCGCCTACATCTAGCTGACTACCTGCCTACATTTAGCTGATTACCTGCCCAACTACGTGCCTAACTACGTGCCTAACTACGTGCCTAACTACCTGCCCACACATCTACCCGCTAACTACTGACTGCAGCTGGCTCCCGGGCTCCTGAGCTCCCTGCCGGCTGCTGCCCTCCCCACTATCCGGCTGCGCCAGTGCCAACTACCCGCTAATTTACGCATTGCCTGCTGCCCGCTGGCTTCCTGGCTGACTTCCTTCGTACTTGACTGCTGACTGCTGACTGCTGACTGCTGACTACTAACTTACTACCACCACCCGCAGAATCACATGCCCTCGGCTGTTGCATCTCTCTCCCACTATTAATTAATTCCCTCCCTGATCAGCCAAAAAGCCGCAGCCACAGGTAGTAATTAGTAGTTAGCAGTAGTGCTACATATAGTAAATAAGCTACAGTATAAACCTATCTACTACCTACCAAGGTACTGAGGCACCTCTAGTATTACTAAGTAAGTAATAGCCTTGGAACACACCCACTTACGCTTTACCTAGGTAGAGAAGCTACCTAGCTATCAATTTAATTGACTAGTAATGCAGGCTTAGCCATGCCTGCAATCCCTTCATGCTGTACCCCAGACTCCCTACCTGCATCAATCATCTTCAATCTTCCTCTCTAATTACCATTTGACCCTCCTCCTCCACTTCCACTCTTGCTTTTTTGCCCACCTGTTCTCTCTATCTCTCTCTCTCGTCAACGCCCTTCCCCCGAGCCCTCTGCTCTCCCTCGTGCCGGCCCGTTCCTCCGAGAGAGTGAGCTACGAATTGATGTCGCCGTCTTGCAAGAGCTGGGGAAGCAAGGATACCTCATCCTAAGCTTGCGTCTGACACGCACGTCGTCGTACTGCAGTGTGCTGTGCTCCTGAACCGAACCTCAGCCGCCCACGCCACCCGCTGCTCCTCCTATACATAATACCTACCTACCTACCTACCTACACAATGGCAGTCGCCGGCTTGCTTCAATCCCTGCAGCCGTCTTTCATGTCATGGAGAAAGGCCTCAGCGTCCCCGCCGCTCAGGAAGACTGCCTACCTGGATGGTCTGCGTGGTTTCGCTGCTTTTTTGGTCTACATCATGCATCATGAGCTCTGGGCACATAGCGCAACTCAGACTGCCAGCATCATCGAGTTTGGCTGGGGCTACGACGACAAATATGCCCTCGTCTCCTTTCCTTGGATCCGCCAGTTCTTCTCTGGCGGTCACTCTGCCGTCGCGTGTTTCTACGTCATCTCTGGCTACGTCTTGACGTACAAGCCACTACAACTCATCTTGTCTGGCAACGTCGAGAAGCTTGCCGACAACGTCGCTTCTGCCATCTTTCGGAGATGGCTGCGACTATATCTTCCCATCGTCGGTGTATCGCTTGTCTACGTCTTCACTATCCACATCTTTCATCTCGAGGGCAATGGCCACCACATGTTTGAGACATACTGGGAACAGCTGCTCGATCTTTACAGGGAGTTCATGGCATGGAGTTATGCTTTCCAGTCAAAAGGCTTCGTCATCTTATGGCTGACCTATAATCCCCATACATGGAGCATTACTTACGAGATGAAGGGCTCGCTAGTCATATACATGACCGCGCTGTGTACTGCGCGCTTCCCCCGTACTCGTCGATGGACACTGTATGCCATCCTGATCTTTTACTTTATGGTCCTCACAGATGGCTGGTATATCGCCATCTTCGTGACCGGCATGTGGCTTGCTGAACTCGACATGCATCTCGAGGCCGGCACACTTGAACCTCCCCCCTTCCTCACCGAGAATAGCACCACCCTGTTCTACGGCCTCTTCATATCTGCCATCTTCCTCAACGGCATACCCAATGGTGCCGACAACGAGATGCTTGGTCGTTCCTTTGGCTGGGGCTTTCTACGCCATCTCCACCCGCCAATGGAAGACCCAAAGTGGTTCTACCTCCTATTCTCTGCTCCCGCTCTAGTCGCATGTATCCCACGTATCTGGTGGCTCCGATCCTTCTTCGATTCCCGCTTCTGCCAGTATCTCGGCCGCATCTCCTACTCCTTGTACCTCATCCACGGTTACATTCTCAGTCTCTTTGGTGCACGCATATATGCCGCCGTCGGATTCTGTCGAGAGGGTGTAGACGATAAAAACTTTCCATGGTGGTGCAACCGAACTCCCTTGCCACAGTGGGGCATCATGGGTTTGGAACTGAACTTTCTAGTTGCTCAATTGATCCTCTTGCCAGTCACGTTCTGGTTAAGTGAGATTGTGACCAAACTCATCGACGAGCCAAGCGTGAAATTCGCCCAGAACACGTGGCGCTGGTTCCTCGAAGAAGACTCAAAGCCAGATGCTAAGCCTGCCTCGCTACCAATGTCGACTTTGCCACCGTAGTACAGGCTATATCTGCTTTATCATATAAATACTGTAGTTCATTGTAAATACTGACCATGTATATTCCTGAAGAACGCCCAGCGATGAATTCTTCCTTATAATCGATATTCAGAAACGAGATGTTACTAAAAAGACAAGTACATCTTCATAATACTATTTTGCAGTCTCACTTGGCGCCGAAGGCTTCCAATCATATCAGTACCTAGGTACTTTACCTATCGTACGTAACTAGCTCTTTTCAACGGCCTCCCTCGCCTTACCAAAAGCAGACATTTTGGGGGCCGAAAAGCCGTTAAGACATGTGGGTCCAGTCGCAATGAACTGTGCATTATATAACTTCTCTTTGCTGCAACTTCTGTCACGACGGCACAGCATACAATTGCCATTGTGCTTCTCATGCCCTCGCAGCAAGCCACATTAGTCGATCCACCTCAAGCCGCTCGAGCGGCTGGATCAGAGAATGATGTGTGGGTTTCTTGGACCCCCGGAGTGAAGGGTGGCGGCAGCCGAGGCTCTGGTGACTCGACAACAACAAGCAGTGAACTTGCGCTTCGAAGGAGGAAAGTAAGAGCACAGGCGTCGAGATCGAGTGCGCCACAACGCAAGGCCACCATGGCCGAGAGGCTCCAACGCCAGATTCGTCAATCTCAGTCTGCGTCGCCTGATAATCCCCGAGACGTCAACCGGGTCCTCAGTCAAGCCAAAAGTCTAATCATGGCACTAGAGACTACTGCACCCATGAGCAAGGAAAGCGTCGATTTCAAGAATTTTGTGCAGGTCTTGCATCAGCTTGAAGATCAAGCTCGGTGGCTGCGGGAAACACTGGACCAGACAACTCTCTCGCAACAAGCCATCAGGTCACTCTTAGGCGACGCCATGACTATCAGCCCGTCACTCTTCCAATCGACCTTGTTTGTCTCGGGCACGTATAGTAACACGTGTGGACTAGCTCCGAGTGAAGTTCAGCTCGGCGTCGGTATGTTGTTCATGCGAGGGAGTTCGCTGCATGCGGTCAACGAAGCACTAAAGGCCGCTACCGAAAAAGAGCATTGGACGTCAATGGCAGTGGCACTTCTAGCAGGTTGGGAATTGCAGTTTGGGGACAAGCAAACATACGAGATACACATGGAAGCATGGCGCCAGCTCTTTGACGCACCTCCCGACCTGCACGAGAATAGCATATCACTACTGCGAGACGTTGCTTTTGAGACCCTCAGAGAACGACTCAACCAGCTTTCGGCGACCATATCAAAGGCCACCATCCAGCGAGCTCTGCCGCCCGGCTTCCTGGTTCTGGGGGCTACGCGACCGGAGACGATCAGTCTTCTCTCCCTCACGCAACAAGCCATGCAATACGACCTGACCACGGACAACCCTCCCTCGCATATTCGATATCTTGGTTTGCAGACGATTTCCTGGACTCCGCATCACAGCGACACCCTTGTGCCATCTCCAACATTCGAGGGCGCCTGGGAGCAGCAGGAGCTCATTGCTCTCTACCACCTTCGCGCCGCTCTGATATCTATCGTCGCCCTACACTCGTACCACGCACACACGCTTCACAATGCAGTCTCGTATCTCGACATCATGCATGCCACGCTGATACATGCTCAATCCTGCCAGCATCTCCGGACACAGTCCTTGATCGGGACAAGGTATCAGTCGATGGCACTATGGGCCCGCTACGTTCTGTGTTCGATCTCTGAAGTGCCCGGCTCCGAAACGCTGCTTAGACACTGGCTGATTGGTGCTGGTATCACGACGTGGGAGCAGATCAGCAGCCTGCTGCGTGCACACCTCTTTCTCGGCACCTTTGCGACGTCAGCGCATCATCTCTACCTGAGACTGTTTGGGAGGCTTGAGGTGGAAGCTGGGCTACAGACCTGGTGAACAGACATATTGGCATCATTACGTCGGTTCAGCTATCTGACGGGGATTTTTACTCGTCGATTCTCTGTCTATCGGGACGCGGACTAAGATATCACTCTCGTACAGAACGCCTGAAGTTCATGCTATGCGCAGATGATGGGTCTTGCTAGACTATGCGTAGGTATGTACTGGTACACTGCTGCGCCATTTGGTATGTACAAGTTCTGGCACGACTTGGCTGTACTTGATTTCAACATATATAGCCTTGTCCATCCTGTACAGGGCAAGTGCCAATGGTTATATACACTTCAAGTGAGAATAGCCGCCGCAGGAACTCGGATCATCAACATATACCGCTCTATGGCTTTCAGCGCATGCCGGATGCCCACAGAGAGAGACACAGAGTAAAAGCGGCCACTGGCTTCCGACATATGTATTTTAGCCGATCTGGATGTCAGCACGTCGCTGCCGATAATTTTTGAACGGACGCCTTAGTTCCTAGTTCGGAAGCCTAACCACTCTCGGGTTGACCTACTACCTACGTACCTACAAGGCTAAGCCGAGGCCGAGGTCTGGACGTTCACCTGCCTCCACAAACGCTACCCTATAAAACCAAGTACAAGTTAATTCACACACATGTAACAACTTTGTCAGTGTAAAGCAATCAATCCGATCTCCAACTCAAGCGACGCCATAACCAGGTGAAAGAAAAGAAAACCCCAGGTCATCCCGAACCAGCAATGTCATCCGAGGGCTTCTTCGCCGCCCTCGCAGCAGGCAACGTCAATCTCTCCATCGCCTCGCTTCCGCTGACGCTCCTGCTCGCCGCTCTGCCGCACTGGTACTCCATCTACAAGGCCGAATCGAGCAAGGTCCAGGGCGGCTGGACGAACCAGAACCCACGCGCCTTTGTCGCGCGCCTCAACGCCAGAGCCGCGTCCGGCAAGAAGTTGAGCGATGTCGAGGAGCTGATCCTGCGTGGCCAGGCCGCGCAGCAGAATGGCTTCGAGCACTGGGCGATCTGGGCTGTTGCTGTGGTGAGTCTTGATCGTCCTATTTTGACCTAAACCTAACCCTTGCGCTTTCTGGCCTGGGGATGTGTGGCAGGACGGAAGGAAGGAAGCAATGAGGCAATGTTATAATCATCGCAAGTGTGCTGTGCTGTGCTGTGGTGGCTGATCATATATCCAGGTCTTCGGACACCTCGCCAAGATCCCCAAGGCGGACATGGATCGCTACACCACCATCCACATCGTCTCGCGCGTGCTGTTCTACTACTTCTATCTGACCATGGGCACGCGCCGCTCGAGCTATCTCCGCACGGCCGTGTTTCAGGCCACGCTGTACCCGGCTATTGCGGTGTTTTTGCATGCTGCTAGGGTGGTTCCTGCGTAGGGTGGGCGGGTAGGTAGGTAGATCGGGGAGCTTGGAGAGGTGTATGTGTGGATCAGTGTGTGTGGATCGGTGTATGGGGATCAGTGTACGGGGATCAGTGTATGGAATGGTTTGTAGCAATGTGTGGTGTTTTGGAACCTCGAGCATTTGCAGGATGAAAAACAGGGTTTAGATGGAGACATAAAGACGTCTTGTAAATGATATAGCCTGGGAAAAATGAAGAAAGACGACGCTATCACGTCCCGAATCGAGGCGTATACGGCGGCATCGGGTGATTAGAGGGCGGAGCAACCCGTGGAGATGACCCTCGTTCGTCTCTGACAATGACAGCTGCCAAGCAGTGATATCTCGACGTTCTTCTTTCTTTTTTTGACTTTATTCAAATCATCTCAAGTCATGATCTGGGATTACCCCGGTTAACTTTTTCCTCCCGGGGGTGGGGAAACGCTCTGCATTTGGTGAAAATGATGACTACTGTATGTCGATGGCTTTTTTTTTGGAAAGATAGACTGCTTTTTGTATTGTTTAGTAGGTACGGTACGTAGTAGTTTACGGTCGCTTGCGATTAATGGGAATGATATCGGGATGATGATGATGATAGTGATGACGATGATGATGATGATGTCTATTTTCCCCGTTTCATGAGCCGGGTATTGAGTGACAAAAGGCTCGGAGCTGGATTGGTAGTGGTGGTGGTTAGATGTCTGGGAAAGAAGTAATTGGAATCAGACGGACGACAAGGAGACTTTTTTCCGTTAGAGTTCCAAGTTGCCTGTCATAATTATCGTGTCAAGACTCGAGACTCGAGACTGAGCAAAGAAATCTGCGACCGGGTTTGTTCGAGCTTGCGTAACAAGTCCCGGCCGGGCTCTTTCAAGGGTTTCTGTTCGCTTGATTTGCTTTTCGGGTACGCCCTCGACAGAGTCAGACAAGCTCGGCAATCTCGCGTAGTCGAGCATTGAATCTAGAGGCGACGAGTAGACTTCGCAAGCCCACGTTACACATGGTGGATAAGCGCAAGACACCACGTGAATCGCCGAAGCAGGCAGGCTAGATAGATAGAAGGGAAGAAAGCTGCGGTGAGGCGGCAATTTCAGCAACTGTATTTTTTTATGGGGGTGGATGCCCAGTGGACGCGGCACTAATGATGACTGATTTGGCACCGCATCGCAAGGAAAAGAAAGAAACCAGCCAAAAAACAACGTCAGGGTTCTTCTCATCGGGTCGTTCATATCAAAGCCCACTCTTCAAACTCAAAGGGAGTTTTTCTTCAATTGCGGCGAGGGGGCTTGACTCGCCGAGACTTGCTCTTGTCCGACAGACATCATGGACGGTCGACGACTGCGCACTTACTGGTGCGATGGCGGTAGATGAGCAATTGGGACAACAGCCCGGTAACGGCGACGCGACGTGCGGAAACGTTGACGTGGTAGTAATCATGGCGGAGACGTGGATAATTGTCATGGTCTGCCAGAGAGACATTCGAGAACCCCCCCCCCCTCCCTCCGGAACAGCCAATCAGCGAATCCATCCGTCCCGAGAGCAGTGTTTTAGAACCACCGGAAAGCGCAGTGTTGTCTAGACCCGAGATGTCAAATAAAAGTGTCAGTCTGTCAATCTGTCGTCAAAGATGTCAATGTGTCAAGCGGTCATGGGTGCCACGCCTGCAGATTCTCTACAATTAGACATCATTCTATGTATCCATATCGCCGGCCCAGGGGTGGTGCTGGGCTCGGGATGCATTTGCATCTGCATTCACCAATCTGTCGGAACGATGTGTTGAATGATGCATGCCATCTGATAGTAGTGCGTTGTTCGCGAGTCATAAGCGCGCGGACTTTTTGGTCGGTTGCCTTGGAGAACATCCAACTCGTTTACCGGCGGTCGGTCACATATGGAGATGCTGATGTCAATGGTGTTTTCCAGCCTCAATCCATCCATTGCCGCTGTTGGTTTGGGTGGAGAGCAGTCTTCACTCCATGCATGTCGACAGTACTCAGGCCTCTCCGTAAGGCTTCACGGATTACCGGTCATGTTGCATCTGTACTTGCAGTTGCAGTTGCAGTTGCATGGATGCTGCGCTGATGACATGGCACCTCCAGGTTTACTGGGTCAAAGGGAGCACTTGGGAGGGGCGTAGGCATCTGCTATTTGGAATATATCACCATGCTTCTGTGTTTTTCCCCCCAACAGCATCGTCTGCCCTGGTTCTCCAATGCCCATTGGAGTCGTTACAGGAAAGATTCGCCTAAGAATCCCGCCGACTCTTGTGTCTGTCTCTGTCTCTGTCTCCGTCTCTCAACATCTGTCCTTGACGACTCTGCCAACTCAACCCCGATCTCTCTGCAAACACCGCCGCCCTCTAATCAAGTCCCGAGCCATTTTTATTCGCACCCACGGCGACCACGCTCTTCGGCATGTCTGCCATCATCTCGGGACAGCATGCCGATCCACAATTCTTTTAAACTCTGCCTTGAAGTTCTCTCCTGGCTCCCCTGCTTCATCATATGCAGTCAATTTGTCAGAATGCTGCTGCTAACGCTCTATTGTCCATTTCTCTGATCCAGCAAGGCCTGATTTGTCCACACTCTTTGTGCTCCCTCCATTGGCTGGATCCCGGTCCGTTACAAGGCAAACAATGCCTTTCGTCATCCCAACTGTCCAGCTCCAACTCTCGGTATTCATTCAACGGGTCCGAGACATGCTGAAATCGCACATACGTGCTCAACAAGCTTGCAGCTAGCTCTATCTCTTTAGACGCCTGTGATCTTAAGGGTCCGCCGGGCGTGTACCTAACCCAACCGGACATTCTCGTGCCGATACTATTCACGCGTTTGTCATCTTTCCTGGTACCGGATCGAGATGTCATGCAGGTGTTTCAAATTACTATTCATTCTCCATGTTTTCATCCCCCCCAATATATATGATAATGCCTCCCCTCCCTCCCCCTCCCTGCCTCCCATCCCATCTTTATGTAAACATTGCATCTTTGTGAGTTTGCCCAGCATGGCTACGCAAACATCGACTGCCTCCAGCGCTCAATCTACCTATTCCGTATCGTCAAATCACCCAAACACTGTGGAGTCATGGGCTCATTCAGTGCCTCCGCGATCCGCTCACGGCAACGCATATGCCACCGCCAGTCCCAATGACCCAGCTGTCAAAGCATACTACGAATACAAGATGGCCATGTTCAGTCGGAAACCAGGAACGTGACCGCAAGCATGCGCGTGTGTCTTGAGCGACACTCTCACACTCCTCCCTCCTCTTTATGGAATGTACCGTCCATATGGAATATACCCTCCCAACATCCAAATATCCGTCTCCGGTCCGCCTTGATGGCATACATGCATACATACATCCTGCGCGACAAGAAGCCTGCCTTGTGTGTATGTGTGTGGCTTTTTTGGTCCTGCATGGACTACTCTCCTCAAGCCGCCGGAGTAGCACGATCCGACATCGCGGGCCCTAACAGACGCCATTTGGGGAAACTCATTTCTGTATCACCACTCAAATCGCCTCAACACGGATCGATCCAGGTGTTCGGAAACTTCCGAGTCCAATTGCATTTAGCTTGGGTCCTCGGATGCCACAACACCACCAGGACCGCGGCGTGTTTTGTTCAAAGCGGTACTCTAATTAATCTTGTTGTATGTTTACTTGCCGCATCTCCGCGGAGTATACATTACGACAATTGATCGACATGTCCTACCATTGTTCGGTGGAATCTGTCTCATGAGAGAACGAGATGGCGCTAAAGTATGTAAGATAAGATGCTGTTGATATGGGTGAGGCACATTGATGCCGTGCAGTTACCGATATATGGGATAATTGAGAAATCTGAAAGGCGTCGCAGTTCGATATAGGTCATCGTCGGATGGGCGTGGGACTGCAAGGAGGACATTACCGTCGTGGTACTTATGCATAGCACCTCTATAGAAGAATGTCTGCGTCCGGTAGAACGCATGTAACAACACATGATAGATATATATATTGTTGACAATTGATCACCCTTGCTGCCAGACTGCATTACTTTTGGCGTCTGTAGCAAGTAATTGAGATTTCACGATGTTATTCCCATCTGCCATTGACCTGTGAGATCTTCAGGTAAATATAACCCTCTTAAACAAAAGCACCCAAGTGTACGAATCTTTCCAAAGGTCTGCGCAGTAATCAAAGGCAGATTTCTGCTGTGCATCTCCACGTGATCTCGTCGTCCTTCGGGTGTGCATGCACGGACCCTACCCAAGTCCGATTCTTTAATCGTCTGCGAATAGCAGCTGGTAGTCTTTTCCATCTCCCACAGCGCATCACGTTCTACGAACCTGATGCTGCTCCCACGACGGCTCTGGACGCCCATCCGGGCCTCGAATCTGACCACCACGAAGACGATCCCCAAAACCCTCTCCCCAAACTCGCGAGCGCTCGATGACATACGCACCGCCGCGCTCACTCCTCTCTCCCTAAACCTCGTCCGCCATGCCACGCACGCCTCCGAAGGACGCGCAAACGGAGCCAAAAACGGGCCTGGAAAGCGATTGGGAGCAAAGGTGACTGCCGGTAAGCTTCCGAATCCATCCTTTTTCTCCCCCCATAAAAGGCTTCATATCACCCACCATCCGTCAAACACACGAGCTAGCCACGACGACGGAGTTTGGCTGTGCGTTTCTTTCGATCATTGATTGAATGCTAACCACACATCATGAACAGAGGAATGGGTCGTTCCGGGCAACATCATCTACAAGCAGCGCGGCACGCTCTGGTTTCCCGGCGAGAACGTCGAGATGGGCCGCGATCATACGCTGCATGCGGCCGTGGCCGGCTACGTGAAGTACTACCGCAACCCGGCCCTCCATCCGAAGCGCAAGTACATCGGCGTCGTCTTCAACCGCGACGATACGCTCCCGTACCCTCCCAATGCGGCGCGAAAACGTCGTTTGGGCATGGACGCGGTGCCGATTGTGGAAAGACAACACTCTATCGCGCAGGACATGACTATGGAGGTTGGAAGCCATAGGTTTGTGGCGAGGGATATACCGAGGAACATGAGGGGCACAGCGGGCACAACGAGACACGGGTATGCGCCGAGAATGGCTAATTGGGAGATTGGACGGGAAGCGGAGAAGTCTGCGGCCAAGGTTGAGCCGTTTGTGAAGGGTGATCGGTGGGCAGCATGGCGGAAAGCTGATGCGAGGGGACTGCGGATTACACAAGCTAAAACGCTGAGGAAGAGAAAGAGGAAGTGAAATGGTGCGTCTGATACGGGTGTAAGATACGGTAGACCTGCGAGGGCATAGACTTCTCCTCTCGTGGGATATACGCTTCCTTGTGTATAAGATATGAATATATGGCTACGTTTTGCATGCCAATCGAAAGCTTCAACAATTGAATAAAGATTCCTCCCAGTTCTTGGAAGTAGTTTTGGTCCCCCAAGTATCGTAGCCTCTTCAGCCCAATCTACCAGACCGGGACGCACATTGCTGGACTGATCAGCACCAAGCAGCATTCGCAACACCGTCGCCTCACGTCCACCACCCTAGCTCTTCATTCCCAACCATCTCTCCTCACAGCCCAAGCCCCTTCCTCACACCATCCCTCACAATCCGTTCATACTCATCCCTCCTCTCCCTCCACATCCTCGCCGCATCCACATTCGCGGGACTCTCATCATTCGGCTCAGCCAGCATACTCATCACACTAATCAGAATCTTCTCCACGCTCTGAATCGGACTCCACCGCTCACTCGCCTTCTCATACATCATCGGATCATCCCCGGGCGGATGCAATATACTGATACACACCGCCCCGTTCGGATACACATTCGGGTGCCAGATATCGCAGGTGAAGCGCATCGTGGGCGGCGCAAGGGGGTAGTCCTTGGGGAACACCAGCGTGGCCGGGAAGATGCCGCCTTCGAAGGGGGTGTCGGCGGGCCCGCTGATGAGGGCTTCCCAGGTGAAGAGGTCGTCTTCGCTGAGGGGCCCGGCGGTGATGCCGTCTGGGGGGTCGGTGGTCAGGGTGCGGTATTCGTGGAAGAGTCGTTTGGAGGCGACGGAGGTTGCCATGCTTGGTTTGTATATATGCCTTTTGGGGAGTGAGAGGTTTTGGAATGTGGGAATGCGTGGGGTGGGTTGGAGAGTTGTAGGGCGGAGTTGGGTTTAGAGGGCTGTTCTGACGTAGTGTTGGGTGAATACTGGGATGGTAGTGAGGTGGTGTTGTAGTGATTGTGAGTAAGTAGGTACCGATTGCTTGTAGGTAGGTAGGTACAACGTGGCGCGTGAGAGAGACATCCATGAATGGCAGGAGGCGGCTTGGAAGGGTTTGGTGGGGAGCTTGACGTAGCTTTGGGTGGGTTGCAAGTGCCCGCGCAGCCCCTACCTAATTAGCTGTAATTACTTCACGAACAATTCTTTCAATAGCAATCGTTAATTGCACGACCTGGTGTGTCTGTAGACGCTGCAAACGAGACGTCTTTATCTGCACTCTTTGTGTATTATGTTCCATGTCTCTAATCTCTGGGCCAAGTGCCCGCCTTACAATCATAGCTGAACATGCGGCAGCTCTTCAATATCTAAGCCCGACAATACCATGCAGTGTATGCCCCAACTCCACGCTATGCTGTACTATACAAAAAAGTACTTCTGTCGCCCGCGTCTCCCTCTTGTAGACTACTCATTCGTACCCCTTCTCTATCTCCAGAGTCGCATCCTCCGTGCCCTCTCCGTACATCCAATATTGAATCCCTAGACCGCAGTCACACATGGCTTGAAACGCGCCACCCAGCTTGAAGGCCCAAGGCACACCACCCTCTCCTGAGCCAGAAGCGAAGAAGAACCACATCTTGAATGCATCTCCTACTAGCCAATTGACAAGGACCGAGAACCGGAACCCCTTGCAGCTCTTGCGCTGGTAGTTGGACAAAAGTTGTGGAATAGGAAGCATTGCCTCCGTTGCCAGTGCGGCGTATCCCTGCACCGTTGTATAGGACGAGAAGCTGCCCAAGACTATCTGCAGCACGAGGAGTGCGCCGGTATAGGAGGTGAGAAAGGCCCAGTATGGCCGGGTGGCTTTCCACTGCCAGAAGTCGTATGGTCGTCGAGTTTGCTGTTGTTGGAATGGTAGATGCGAAGGAGGAGCGCGGTATGTGAGAGCGACTTGAAGCAGAGCAACTTGGACCAGTATCATCAATATTGCTTGAAGCAGGAGGGAGTAGGCGAATCGAGAGCCAAGCCACCAGAACAACCTACAGGTAGCGTTAGTCGGATGGGTGCGGATGATGTATTCTTATGCAGTTGGCTCACTTCAGTATTGACGCGACAAGCATGATGAGAGGGATATCAAGAGAGAAGCCTGCTGAGGTGCGGGTGCGGTGTATGGAGTAGATCTGGTCGGCATATGAGGTTATGGGTGATGTGACAATACTAAAAGAGGCCATATGTTAGTCAAAGCCCTAAATATCTGATACATCTTTCGCGTAGAGCAGCTTACAACACAGGCGCAACATGCGTTACAACCGCATTGAGGAAGCCCATATCTGCAGACAGATGCACGATGGAAGTGACGACTCGGGAGTTGCGGAATAAGCCCCAGAACGAGTCAGGGCGGATGGTGGTTATGGGTACGTTCGATGCGTCTTCCGGAGTGACACTCATTGGGACTTTTCTGGATTCAGCCGTGCGAGTCGCGTGGTAGTCGCGATCTGTCTGTGGTGTTGACCGCGACGTAGACAATTTTCGAAGGGATAACGCGAAATCGAGAAGAAGACCGGACGCCGGAATAGATTCATGTCGATCAGGCCTAATTGTGTGTCTAGTGAGAAGTACTCCCCTTTGGTACCCGTACCTAGTCGCGTCTGCCAAGGAACAGAGGACCTCAGGCTCCGACCCAAACAGCACTAATTAATTATGTTCTTGATCTGCATCATGCCTCCTCATTGTTGGAGATGACAATAGCCTCAAATCATGGTGTTGTAGATCCTCTGTGGTCGCTGTCAGGAGGCAATAAAAATCACTATCACCGTGACAAGCACGCGTTCAAGATAAGCGGCCGTTATCGGACTGGCTTGGAAGTTAGAGCTCCTGCTTTCATGCTAAAGTTTTATTATTTTCATGCTTGATATCAGATACATCCGTCATCAGCAGGCTGCTCCAATGGCTAGTCATTCAGCCTTCTTTTATGGCACGCTCATGGCGCCCGCCGTGCTCCATCGAGTGATTCACGGCTCATCAAATCCTCAACCATGGCAGCGAGACCTACTCACTATACGCCCAGCTATGTTATACGGACATCATCGACACCGGGTAGCACATGCTGACTACCCGGCTGTGATCCCCTCATCCGAACCCAAAGCTTGCGTCAGGGGAACGCTCGTGACCGGGCTGACTGAAGGGGACCTATGGCGTCTCGATATCTTCGAGGGCGACGAGTATGAGCGCAGAAACATCCGAGCGAAGATATTGGTCGAAGAAGACGGTGAGAGTGTTGAGACTGACGAGGTCGAAGCACAAACATACATCTGGATCGCCGGGGAGAGTCTCCTGGATGAGACTGAATGGGACTTTGACGAGTTCGTCCGAGACAAGATGTCCAGATGGGTTGGTGCAGAGGGCGATGGTGAATACGCTGGTAGGCCTTCAATCATTGGTATTCGACGTTATTTTCTCCCCTCTTGCATCGTCGAATTGGACAACTTCACACGACCTCTAACATAGGCAACAGAAGTAGACGAGGCCGTCAAAGCGCAAGACACAGATCCTACTCGTGGACGTGGACTGAACGGGAACATCACTCGAGCATTACAGCAACACAGCAAGTCGAATGGGATTGTAGGCAGCGCCACTTGAGGTAGCGCCACCACTCATACGGCGCGATAGGTTGCATCACTAGGATGAAGTGTGCGGTTGATTGAGATTTAGAGGGTTTTAGCGAGTGTTAATACGACTTCTCCGTGTAGTCGTGAAGTAAGGCATGCCACACGACAGATGTTTCAACATAATGCCAACAGTTGCAACATTTGTTGGCCCGAATTGGAAATACAGCGCGGTTTGTGGCGTCACGGCTCCCCACATAATACCGTGCCACCACTAGATGCTTGTAGTGAACACTACCTAGGAAAGTAATCAGCAAGTCACTCTGACCATTTTTACTGTCATTATGCGCAGCTCCGTCTAACCACTTCGCTTGTTCTGAACAACTTTACATTTCCAATCATATACAACGCACTTTAATCATGGTTCTTGACGAGGAAAAAGCAATGAGGCTCAAGGCCACCCCAACAGTCCCCGTCAACTATGTCGCAGCTAAAGCGGGTGAGACTTTCAAGCTTGGGCAAATCACGATCAGGATCATGGAAGATGGGTATGGAAATATGGTCATGGTATAGGTCAACTCGCTGATGATATCAACAGATCGCGAACAGGTGCAAAGTCCCTCGTCATATTTCGTCCACGTCTCAACACTAATACCGGAGTCTACAGACAATAGAATTGGATCCGCAGAGTTTACAGTGCCTGCTAAGACAAAAGGTCCACCAATGCACTGGCATGAGATGCACGGTATGGTGATGGCCCTTTTACTTCAAATCCCGATCTAACATTCTATCATCGTAGACGAAACATTCCTCGTGACACAGTAAGACTTGACATTTTGTAAACCACCTATTGCTGAGAATACTTAACACACCCAGGGGTACACTACGATTCAACGTGCTCGAAGACAAAGTCGTCGACGCCGCAACTGGCGATTATGTGGTAGTGCCGCCACGTGCACCGCATACATTCGAGAATCCCTTTGACGAAGATGCCAAGTTCTTCAACACATACACGGTACAGTCGCTCATGAAGCCTCCCGGAGGATACGCACTGACTTCTCAGCCTGCATACTACATCAACTATTTCAAGCTGCTAGCAACGATGGCAGAGGATGGGAAACCGATGTCGAAGGAGGCCAATATCGAAGCCATGGCCCGATACGCAACCCTGCCAGTCAAACAATAGTTTTGCCATCGACTTTTCCTTTCTCTTACTCATGAATGCCAAAAGGGTAGCCTCTTCTCTCTGTTCTCCACGTCCTTGTTCTCGATAACCTGCGTTCTGCTGTGCACGATGTTTGGCATCCACAGCACGCAACATCATCTCGCAAATCTCACTTCACAATTTTCCCAAGCAGGCCATAACGTCACAGTGCATTCAAAACTCTCCTACATCCCAGAATGTCCACAAGCAACGCCATTCCATGACCTCCTCTAACTACCTGCGAGGTCCCATAACTCCATGATAATCCTTAATCCTTCCGAACTCACTTACATCCTATCCTTGACCCGAACTAGAACAAACCCAGTCATATTGTTGCTCCGCAACACAAACATAACTTCTACAAGCTCCTGCAACTGTAGTGCACCGGATTTGTCTGCATACTGCCTATATATCGACTCCATCGTCAGAACCAACGTTCTGGACCGTGTATCGAGGGTGATGTGAAACCAGATATTGGGTACAAGGGCAGGAGGATTTTGTTGAAGGTTAGGGACATAGGGTTGCACAGCGGTTGAACATGCAATGGGTAATGCTTGGTGCGGGCGCTATACGGGATGAAGTTGATAGACGAGTCTCGCGGTGTTGCCGGTGTTAGGAATCAGAATGACAAATTAGGTCCGAGGTCAAGTAGATCGACATACGTAGAGTGACGATAGGCTTGCTAAAGATGTTCTGTGTTTCAGCTTACCCTACATACCTAGACTATTCTTGCTTTCATAGCTGACAGTACTACGTGTCGTAATCGAGAGAATGATGAATGAACCTATACGTGATAAGGACAGTAAATCTGCTTGCACTGATCAGAAGGCAATTGCAGCAATTCCGCTATAATAGACCTCCAGCTTGCGCCGTACGCCTCTTAGCCTTTCTTCAACCGTACCCTTCCATGTGGGTGTGAGATCCAATATCTACTGGCCGTTTGGCATTTGAGGAAGATCACCCTCCTCATCTTCGTCTTCGTCAATGTTTTCTGGATGTCTAACAATATATCAGCACGTCAAAGCTCAGAATTCACGAATTTTTTTCCATACCCTAGCAGATCCTTAACATTTTTCATTTCATAATGTTTCCTCCGCGTTTCCTCGAACTTCCTGTGTTTCTCCTTCTCTTCGGGAGTCCAATGCTTCATTTCCTCCTCTTTCTGTGCCGCAAGGCTCTCTTCATCTACAAGCACCTTTTTCTCTCCGTCATGGTCCATTGGGTCGTCAATTTCCGGCTCACCAATGTCTAATCCCGGTATATCGTCCTCGTGGGTAGCAGTCTTCCCGGTCTTCTTCGAGTCTAATTCGTCAACATTGAGCTGGTTCGCGTCCAACATGCTAATCTCCTCCTCATCCTCCGACGGATCATACTGCTTGGCATACGGTGTTTTGGGCTCCGTGATCTTCATTGTAGAGTCCTGCTGCTGCTCGTTGAGGTACAGGTTCGCTTCGTCCCATTTAAGGCGTGGAGAGTTCTCGTCTGCGATGTTTGGTGTACCAGATTGACGGCGTGAGGCTGGACCACGCGGGTTTGAAGACGAGCGGCGGTGTGGGCCGGCGTTTTGCATGGTGTTTTGCATGACTATTTCTTTCTCGGTGAGTTGGCGCTCGAGATCCGGCCGCTCTGTGGAAGGGATAGCTTCAAGAGGTGCGGCAGTGACGGGTGGGGAGGTCTGAGATGCGGTGCGTTTGAAGGAGTCGCTATTCTTGAGAATTCCTGATGAACCTTCGTTAAGAGATGGCTGGATGATATTTGAGCGTGTTGCCTACCTCTGGGTCTTTGAGGAGGGCTCGCCGCATACTGCGGCGGTGAGTGAACCGCAGTTTCTCCTTCTAGAGTCATCTCACAGGTGTTGTGTGTGTGTGGTGATGGTGGTGAAGCAGTAGAATGCGCGTTCTATCGAACAGATACAAAGATGAGAGCCTAGACAGGAATGCGACAGGGACGAGCAGCTCTGTTGGAGTAGATGTATTGGTGTGCTAGTTCCGTAGCCTTCGAAGCGAATAGTTTATATGTAGAGGGAATACTCTCAGGTCTGAATCAAGCTGAGATAGAGGTGATAGAGAAGATCAGTAGTGAAGAAGTCGCAGCTGCCAGTTTCCCACGCGACAGGGCGTGTGTCCAGTGACACTATCTTCTACCGAACCAGCAGGGACTAGAACCACGTTCGAGATAGTCAGTACGCTTCACATGTACTGTTTGCGGTAGACTGTGTTGGAGATTCTGGAGATCTTTTGGAGATACCGAGAATGTCGATTGCGAATATGCCTAAGCTGTCATTTTTCCAGTGAAGCGGAGGCAGTAAGTTCTGTCGCTGCCCACGTGCGGAGGAGCTGCCCGCACGCGTTTAGATGACGTAGCAGATCGTTGACCCTGCAACAGCCCAAACTTGCCCTGAAAAGGCAAGGTAAAAGGCCCTGAAACATAATATTCCATATACGAGTCCCAGTATCACTGCAGCGCATTGGCCTGAGGTTCCGACGGCGAGATATACATCAAGGATTTGCCCACAGTGTGCTCTAATTATCAATAATGACTCTAGGATATTATCGGAAGTGGATATCAATCATAACAGGCCCACGCATGGAGCAGAGAAGTCTCGTCAGTCAGCGCCCTTATTTACATCGCTCTTCGTCGCCTTTAGTCCTACTATACAGCCACAGCGACCTTGAAATCATATAATGTCGCGATTCCAGATCTACCCTATGTCGTGGCGCGCGGTTTGATCATATCAATGTTTCGATCCGTAGCCCGTATCAACCTCATTCCATATCATTATCTTAAAATTCTCCACCCGCGTTACTTCCGAATGCTGCAGCACCCCATACACCCACGATACCCCAGAATCCTACTCTCCAGCCTCGCCACAGACCCGTCACACCTTGACCCTTTTTCATTCGACCGAACGCACGGTTGTACCCTTGCGATGAGGTCGCACCTCTAGGTCCTGTAACAGTAATACCCTCTTCCCGAGCAATAAACCACATGGTACCCAACACACCTTTGTAAGGCCCAGTCTCGACGAGGGTTTTGAACTTCTCGGAGCCATCTCTCTGTCGGCGCATTTCGACGTAATGCAGGCGCTCCCGTTCGTGTTCCCCGTCCCTCAGTACTTGGACTTGGCCGCGGCGGAGAACAGTCTCGAGTGGTAGGCGCAGAAACAGCTCAGCAGATGAAGACAGGAATGTGGAAATTGAGTATGCTGATGGTGTCAGAACGGGGTCTATGCTTAGCATTGAGCGGAGGAACATCGGTGTGCTGGCAGAGAACAGAGTCGGTAGCGTGCTGTGGAGGAGTGTGATAGGTAGGATACTGGTCGGAAGTGAGAGTGATGGGAGGGACATGAGAGATTGAACGATTCTTCGTGGCGTGACCGAAGATGGTGTAAGGATGATGCTGCGGTATGTTAGCGAAGAAGTCTAAGCAAAATATATGCAAGTCCTACCGTGTCTTTATAAGGTCCAAGGGTGCGAGGACAAAGCCTGCAACGCCTGCGGCGGCTACGGCTACAGCTAAACTAAAGAAAGGATTTGGACTATCTACTACGTCCAGTCCCCCGATGCCTGATCCGAAGCTTCCATGGAGTCCGGGGTCAGGTACGTTGAGTAGTGCGGAGAGCATACTCCGTGTCCAGCTTTCAATAGTCTTGAGCAGAAAGTTGTAAACAAAAGTTGCGTTGGTCCCTCTCCAGACACCAAATACGCTCTCTTTCTGCCAAAGCTGCGATAATACCTCAAACAAAGAGTCGTTTTTCTTCAATTCCAGCTTGTTAGAAGTCCTCAAATTTGTGCTTCCGGGCGTCGGTGTCGAAGAGTGTGATCGATTGTGGAGCTGTTGTCTACTCCTTTCCGGACTCCTCGAATGACTACTCGAGGTCGGGGCAGTGGATGTGAAATAGCTGGGTGAGTCCGCATCGGAGTCGTCTTCGTCAGAAGGGTACTGAGCGCGGTGTTAGCCCACAGTCCTTCACAGTACATAGAAAACCAGGCGAGAATTGACACTCATCCCCTCCCCTACACGCACAGTGATCACAACACTCACATCCTGAAACTTCCCGCTCGCATAGCTGCTTGGCCGACTTTTTTCACCCTCGTTCGCAGACGCTACAGCTGTCGTAGCTGGGTCCTGCGAGGACGCCATGTGGACCTGCAGTATTGTCTTTGCGACTTCGAATGGCTGTGCGAGCAGGACTGTCGTGTAGCTCCACAAGGCCTGGTCCATTAATTTTTTGGCCATCTCTGCAAGACTGGGCGATGAATCCGAGAGATAATCGCCATAGTCAATATCTGATAAGTAATCCCGCGCAGTACTGCCGAAGCTTGCTTTCTTTGACGAAGATGGGTATGAAGGGCGACTGGTTACGGAACTGCTGCTGGCGAGTTGGTCCGGCGGAGGTCCGATGGATGGAGGAATGTAGTAAGGCCGGAGTGGGTTAGGGGCATCTCTTGAGGTTGCCATAATGGCAAGGTGTAGAGGGCGCAGAGGCGGGTCGATGTTGTTGTTGAAAGGGTCAAAGACAGAAATCAAGGACATAGCCAGGGTAGTTAGTGTTAGGGCAGCCGGAGACCCAGCGGTGACGATGATGATCGCTCGGTTCGATATGGCAGGTTGATGCGAGAAATCTTTCTGGAGCTCCGTCACCCGCCAACACCACTACCTCTCAATTGAAATTTCACTCTTCAGTGACCTCAGTGCATTTCTGTATTGCTGGGCGTCGTGCCATAGTTCCTGGCTCTCGCTTTAGCAATGTCCTTGTTGTCTCCTTCCGCACAAAGATTACTAGTATCGTCCTCACGCGCTCTACGACTACCTTGCTCTCAGCGCGCATCAACGTTATGCAGTCGACAATACAATAGCAATGCAGGTCGCCATTCGATTCGTGCACTAAGTCTGGAACGAAGTGTATTGTTGCGCCAGGAATCATGGCGTTTGGGCTCATCACAGCAAGCTCGCACAAGAAGGCGGTTCTCGACCTCTCTAATCTCGCGGCATGGTCACCTTGATCCGCCGAAGCCTGGTGAAGAGTGAGTTCTCTTCTTATATTCTTATTTCGCAACTCTTATGATGCATGTCTAATTGTGATCAGGCGTCGGGTGACATTCATCGATAAAGAGCTCGAAGAGCACACGTTCGCGGTCGCAGACGGAGATAATCTTCTGGATATCGCTCAAGCCAATGATATAGAGATGGAAGGTGCCTGTGGTGGTTCTTGCGCATGTTCGACATGTCACGTCATAGTTGAAGGCGATGAGTTCTACGATAAGATGGACGAGCCAGACGATGATGAGAATGACATGTTGGACCTCGCATTTGGTCTGACAGAGACAAGCCGACTTGGATGTCAGGTGAAGATGTCAAAAGATCTGGACGGTATGAGAGTCAAGCTACCATCGATGACGAGGAACCTGCAGGCCAGTGATTTCGAGGAGAAGAAACGTTAAAGCTTAGGCGCTTGGGGGTTTTATTCTGGTATACTGTGTACGATGTGGCAACATAGACATTTTCAACCAAAGTTAACATGCCTATTGCAACCTCACGGGCCGGCATTGTAATATTATTGTTGGAGAAACACAGCTCAAGATAAATGTACAGTTTGAGCTTTTCATTGATGACTACAGAGTATTGATCGTATAAAGGAATACAACCCATATGTTGCTCCAACACGTAACCACCTCAAATTACAGCTGGTGCTGTTTGGTGGTGCACTGTTCCGACTGCGACCTACCGGATATCATAACGCCGTTGAATGATGTGTGTTTGCATCCCATTCTCTAATTCAATATGTGACCGATTGAGCTTCTAGAGTTCGACGAATGTCCATCTTCTCGTCCATGACGATCGTGTGTAGTCTGCTGCGGCAACTCCTCCAGGAAGCGCACAGTTTTCTGAAGAACTTGATCCGTTTTCTTGTCAGAGGAGTGGCGACGATCGTGGCGAGTCAAAGCAGTCAAGATGCTGGCACTGTCAATCTCCACAGCTGTGTACTTGCGATCCTGTGGTGGAGGGGCTTCCTTGTTCTCTCCATGAAGATGAGAGAAGTAGATTTTCCTCGATGCACCGGGCGGCAGAGTTTCCAGATCTGAGGTCCAGTCCATTCGTTCGTTCGTCGATGCCATCGGAACGCGGTTGTTGAAAATATGGAAAGCATCTGTGCATCCAACAGAGTAGCGATTGGCAGGGTTGGTTGCCTGGGAGGGACTTTGAATAGTATGAGAGGATGCAGGAGACTGGGCATCCCTAGATACAGACTTGCACCACTCTTGCTGACGAGGGTTTTTCTGGCAATCCGGACAGGTCCCTGGAGCTCGTCTTTGCTGCGTTGAATCAGCAGACGACATTTGAGCCCGAGGAGGTCGGGTTCGCATAGGGGGGAGTGTTCGAGTCGTCTGTTCGATCGAAATCTTAGCTTCAGCAGCACACACGCAGTTGCTTTCGTCGGTACAGAAACCACATCCGTCCATGGACTGCTCAGTAATGAATGCAACAGAGGGCCTCTTGTCTTGCCCTGCTTGCTGTGTGGTGAAATCGATCTCACGATCATCATAGTTCGATCTTTCGTCAACATCCTTCATCTTAACGTCAGACATGGGTGATAACGGAGCTTCTAGGTTGACAGGGTCTGCGAAGGCATTGATACAAGCACAATTGCCTCTTTCTGGCTCACAATCATCACATCCCGACAGGATTGACTTCGACCGATTGTCTACACTCATCGCTGAATTGGTAACAGGCGTAAGGCCAAACGCTGGTGAACTAGCCGAGGCACCGGCCAGGGAGCCCGGAGTAGACACTTCGTTTCTGTAGCCAGCCCGTAGCGAGGGTGTATTCGACGACTCGTATAATGATCGGTAGTGATCGCGCTCATCTTCGGCTCTCCGAAGGTTAGCAAGAGCCTCTTGGAGTTGTCGTTGGGCATTCTGTTCGTTTTCGGTGAGCAGGGCCAATTCCTGGTTCAGTGACTCGATCTGCGACTGTAGATGTTCCGTTTCTTCCTGATGCTCCCTATCTTTCTGCTCCCGCTCTCCCTCAAGTTCAGTCAATCTCTGTGCCTTTCTCTGACGAAAGTTTCTCTGAGCTTCTCTGTTCTGGGCTTTGCGCTTGGTCTGCGGTTCATCCGTCGCGGGCTTCCGGCCAGGCTTGGGCCGCGGCGGAATCTTGTACGTCGCACCTAGGGGCCCGCTCGGTCCGGGTACCGCGATGCCATATCCAAACGTATTCTGGGTGGACGGCGAGGGGAGAATGGAAGGGCTGGCAGCGGCCGCAGGCGACGGCTGCACTAGATCATCAAAGTCAAAATAAGACATCTACATGTACGCGACCAGGCGCAAGACGGAAATATGAGACGCCAATGCGTATGTCAGAAATTCTAGGGATACACAGGCTGAAGCGAGCGGAAGATGGACCAGGACAGAGACACAAATAGACATGTCATAGAGAATTCCGGCAGTGTGTGACGGGAAAAGCCTCAGGAGGGGCATGTGGAAAAGCTTGGCACTTACAAGACAGGTTGCGAGACCGATTGATTGGATTAGTTGCTCCAGGCGTCAATGGTGAATTCCTCTCACAGCAATCATCAGGCGAGTGTACAGGCGAGATGCGACTGATTTCGAGCTTCCCAGCCATCGTGTAGGCCGTCGTGAGGTGGGAAGGAAAGCAATGAGGATGTAGCTGGAAGAAATCTAATCATATCAGATGTGGAGATAATCAGAGTGCCGAGATCGCACGGGACTCCGATTGGCCTCAGGCTCGGGCTTCGCACGAAACTCGGCCTCGGCCAATGCAAATAGACAGACCATAGAATTCTGTTTGAACGCTTTCATATGCCAGAGACCACGCCACACCTAGGCATTGTCACAGCGAAGAGATGTTCGTAATCTAGTTAGTGCTTGATTAGTCTTTACACCTGCGTTCTGAGACCATTTACGACTCCTGGAGCTAAATTCCCATACGACATGCCAGGGGCGATGCTTTGCGTACAACAGTCTTTACTTCGTCCTATCCAAAAAAGTCGGAGAAGAAATCAGACAGTCCGCCACCCTCTGAGCTACCGCTACCGCTATTGCTATTGCTATTGCTATCACTGCCGCCGTCAGAATATGGTGATTGTCCACCAGGCTTGTCATCCCAATGCGAGCTCTCACCCCATACGTCCTCAGGTTGTGACCCGTGCTGGGAAGCCTGAGGCGAAGGTACCCGATCATCTATGTCTCCTGGGGCTTGAGGCGACGCATCGTCGAATGGTTCGTTACTCTGGCTTCCTCGTCCTCTGTGCATGGCTTCGTATCCGGCCATAGTGCCGACTCCGGCAACAGTCGACTCTGATCCCCACGCTCCAGCAGCACCACGCCCTGCATTCGCGAGGCCTCCAGCACTTGCACCAGCAAGTCCTGCTTCCTCTGTTGCACCAACCATTCCGCCAGCTCCAGCGGCACCTACTGCACCAGCTTCGGCACCGGCTGCACCAGCCTCCGCTCCACCCATTGGTATCCAGAAGGGTATTGGCAAACCTCCGAAGCCACTCTTTCTGCTGAAATAATCAAAGTCCACACTGACCGCAGTCGCCAACATAACTGCACGTTGGTCCAGAGTCATCCCAGGGGCTTGAGTAGCAGATTCCCCTTTGTCAGAAATTGTCTGCGCAGAGTCCATTCGAAGCACATAGGTGCCTGCGTCCGCAAAAATCTCTCGTCCAAGATTCCCGAATTCACGATTGACAGACCCGATCACCTCGCTATCAGCCGACTTGAGTGTGAAGTCCCATGATAAGAAGGGTTCGTCTACCCTCGCAAATTGTGACATATTGAGTTGTCTCTTGTCGTCTTCGCGTATCTCCAATGCCTTGGAATTAGAAAGGGGGAGCTGCCCTGAGGTAAGCTGAGGCGTGTCACGTTCTTGCTCGGAGTCGCGCGGAAGAAAGAGGTTGTACTTGCGTCTCAAAGGGGCCCATTCTTGAGATGCTTCACCGATGATGCGCATCTCGGAATGTGGTAGCTGGGACACGTGTGCGGCCCCTTCACTACTTTCTAATCTCGCGATGTCGTTTGACTCCTCTGTGTTTGCCTCTGGGTTCGGACTTACACAGTCGTACACTCTAATTGTGGAATTGACCCAGCTAAAGGGTCTGTGGATCCTAAGAACTTCTTTTTGCTCCCGATCGAACACGTGTGCTGTAAAACTACGATGCGTTCTGAAGGCCTGTCGAGCAACGGCTTTTCCTAGTCCAAGATCTTGTTCTACTAGATATCCTATGGTTTCCCCGTGAGGATCCATAATCACGTATCGGTTCGCCTGCTCGAACCCTACTAATATGCTGCCCCACTCTAGCTGCCTTTTTATCAGGATAGCTGAGTTTGCGAGGATTGAAAGTGCTGGATGGTCCCTTGGAAGTATACCATTTGGGTCATCTGGGATGTTGATGGGCGCTACGAGTGGATTCGCACCTTCTGCGTCTGCCTCCTGTAAAGCTTCTGATAGTGTTCTACTGGAGTTCGGTTCTTTCTGTGGCTCTTGTGATGGCTTCTGAAACGACTCGGTCGACTGAGGCTCCACTACGGCCGGAATGGAAGGCTTGACGCCATCTCTCCTACCAGTAGTGTTATATGGGCCACGCGAGATAGGGTTCGGGATTCGTCTTGAATTGGGCAGCTTGACCTTTGTCGCAGAGCCTTTCCTCAATGTCGCATAAGATCGGGTACTTTCAAAGGCCAGTCTGACAGACGCGCGAGGTGCGGCCATGGTTAATGCATAAGTTTTGTCAAAAAAGACTGCGGACAGAACAGATATCCAAAGTTGCTCCAAGATGTTGACTGCGCTAAGGTAGAGCTCGGGCCTCCTAACTGTGGGCGGAATAAAAATTCTTGTGGACTTCCATTGTCTCAAGGCTCCATCCCAACTTCTTCCGCCGACTTCAACGAACGACAGCGTGGAGTTGACCGCCCAGTTCGACTTCTGTCGATGGACTCTGGTGTATAAGAGTTCCTAAGTTCGCCATGTAGCGTTGATCCTGACACTGGCGACCAATTCGCCAGCAATTTTCCAAGTGAGTCAGTCTGCCTCATCATTTCCTCAATGCGCATCTCTATGATGACAACTCCGACTATGGAACCTAGGGGTGCTTCAACTTCGCATTCATTTGTGCTGTTGCTGCTTCCTATGCTGGTACATTAATAGACTACAACGGTATCTGAGTATATTCGAATTGACACGTTTTGAATTGCTAATGTTCCTGGATCACGCTGACCTACGCAACCAGACTACTTCGTCCCGATATTAGCGATGGCTATGGATAACGACACTGTCCATCTCAAACCCAATCACCTAGCGTCCGTTCATCAAAGCCGAAATACGAAACATTCGAAGCGAAGGCTTCATGAGATATATGAGCTACCACTTCCTGTAGTCTGCCACCCACTACCCGCTCTTATCCCTCACAATCCACTGTCGATACTCAGAATCGCCTACGTGGTTGTATCTGGCTTGATTTGGCCACAATCATCACACCCTTCCGCGCTGTTCAGAGGCTCTTTGTCTACCATCACGCAATCTGTCCACATTACAGATGCAAAGGCGATCCGTGCACTATGGGAGAAGGGCTTCTTTGGAAAAGGCTCTCTGAGTCGTAGCGACCCAAGTTGGTTGGCTCGTGAGAAGCGCAGACTTGGCCTCATGGCAGCGCAGACCAGTGAAGACAACACTCGCGCTAGGCGAGTCGAAAGACGACAGATGAAGTACGAGAGAGCACTAAAGGAAAGAGAAGCCATCGAAGAGCAACTCCGCGAAGAGGCTAAAAAAGATGGGTCGCTCAGCTCAGTCGTGGATACAACTGGAAATTTCGCTTGTGTCGAGACTGCGACGCATGAGAACGTACCAAGCGAAGAAGACATATCAACATCTTCCCCTGGCAAGCAACCTGGCCAGCACGTCCCGAAGATTGCGATGAATGGTCATGATATCTCCGAGCTACCGTTTGAACCACCTGTCCGTGGCACTGTGATGGTACCCGAGGACATTGACGATGAAGAGCTCGGGCTCGCGAATGAGGAGCATCTTCAGTTATCCCTTGAGGAGACGTTCTTCTTGGTCTTTGGACTAGGCATTCTTGAGGTGTTCCCCGAAGACAAGTCAGATCCCCTCACCGCCCCTGAACTGTTCGACCTATGTCGTTCACTATCATATTACCCGGCCGCGAGTGCGACCTTACTCGCTCCAGACGACCCGTTCCTTGTCAAATATATAGTGTATCATCACTTTAGATCTTTGGGTTGGGTTGTGCGACACGGAAACAAGTTTTCGGTCGACTTTCTCCTATACAACCGTGGCCCTGTATTCTCCCACGCTGAATTTGCGATTATGATACTACCATCATACTCTCATCCTCACTGGAGATCGACGGTAGAGCTGACGGCAAAAGTAGATGAGAAGGAAAGGAGGGACTGGTGGTGGTTTCACTGCATCAATCGGGTCCAGGCGCATGTTAGGAAGACGCTCGTGTTAGTCTACGTAGACATTCCCCCGCCATCTGCTATTAATATCGCACCGGGCGAGACTCGCAATATTGGGTCTGTACTCAAACAATACAGAGTTCGCGAGTTCGTACTGCGGCGATGGCTCATGAACAGAAGTCGGGATTGAAAAAGTCTACGCTAAGGCCAAAAACAAAAGGACATCATGGATTTGACTACGCCCTTGCTGTATCCAAAGCTTCTTCAGTTGTTAATGGTATCATTTCCGCTTTTCTTTTCAGACCTGTCTTGGTCTCAACGTGCTGGTTTCTCAACACACTTTTAGACACACACGCTCCAGCCACAACACCTAGGACAGCTACTACTGTGAACATTATCCACATGTTGCTCAAGCTCCATGCATAAGCCTCTTTGATTGCGTTTTTATGCTCGATGTTCTCGATGTCTGGAATGCGCAGCACGTTTGCAGCAGCCTCCTGACCGGAATACTGTTCCGCAAGGGACAAAGGTAGTCCCTCTGCGAGCAGATACTTGACTCTTGCCTCCATACCATTTTGAAAGACCACACCACCAATAACAATAGACATGGCAGTCGCAATGGCACGACAGAACCCAAACGTCGCGGTAGCAGTAGCAGTATCCTCCTGCGGAACAAGGTTTTGCATGGCAATCAGGGGCGGCGCAAATAGCATACCCGCGCCGAAGCCCCCAACAAGCTCAGACCCAATAAACAGACCAAAAGACGAGTCTGCTTCGAGCGAGATATACATCCCCGTGCCAATAGCCATCAGTGTACAACCGGCGTAGATGAGCTCCAGATAGCGGCCCGTATAATGAATGTAGAAGCCTGCCACAATGCCCATTACGCCCTCGCCTACAACAATCGGCAGCGTAAACAGACCTGCGTGTAGCGGCGAAAGTTCCTTTGTACTCTGCAGCTGCAGTGGGATATAATATTCGGCTGCGATGAATACAAACCCATGCGCAAAGCCAACAAGCACGCACGCCACATTCGATCGACTCTTGAATATGCCCAACGGCATTAAAGGACACCGCGCAAAACGCTTCTCCACATACACAAATACTAGGCTCATCAACGCGCCCACCACAATCAGACATACCACTTTCGGCGAGCTCCACGGCGCGATCGTCCCGCCGAAGTCCAATCCAAGGAGTAGCATGAGTGTGAGGCCAATGATAGACAGACTACCCAGCCAGTCGATGGCCTTGAAGCCCTCGAGGAAGGCTGTGCGTGGGTTGTGCACATTCAGGAATATTAGGAGAAGAATGAACGCGCAGCCGCTGATGGGTAGATTGATCCAGAAGATCCAGCGCCAGTTGTACTCGGCGAGGGCGCCGCCGATGACAGGGCCGATGCCACCGGCGAGACACCACATTACTTCTGTGATGCCCATCGCGAGGCCGCGTTGTCTATATGATGTATTATTATGTGCACCAAGTGTATAAGGGATAGGGGTTCTGCTTGCCGGACACTGAATATGTCGGATTGGATACTGAGGACAAGCATGAGGATGCCCCCAGCGGCTGTTCCCTGAAATGCTCGACCGATGATGAGCATCTCGATGCTCGTGGCTTTAGCACACACTATGGAAGCACAGAAGAAGAAGATCACCGACGTCAGGATCACAGGTTTGCGGCCCCAGATGTCAGATATTGTGACCCAGATTGGTCCTGCGGCGGCATTTGCCAGCAGGTAGGATCCACCGATCCATTGGTAGCCGTTCGCTGAGTGAAAGTCTGATATAATGCTGGCGATGGCTGGAGCGATCGTTGTTCCTTCGAGGGCGGCGATGAATATGGCGAGCTAAGGGAAAGATTCAGGGTTTAACAATTTGATCAAACATGGGGTTTTCTACTCACGTTCAGGCCGGCTAGAATCGCAGCAACTCTGAAAGTGCTTCGCTTTGTGGGTGAGTCAGGAACGGCGGGCTCTTCAATACCATTGTCCTGCGACCTCTGCTTGGGAATCGATATCGCTGATGGTGATACTCCGGGATTACTGACAGCAGAGCAGGAATTTATCCTGATATTGTCGCTGACCATATTGTGCTCACTGTTCTGTAGTCTTTTGGTCCCAGGTTTCCAGTGGTCTGATTACGACTAAAGGCCTTCGACCTCGTTGGAAATCCTACGCGAGTGGCTAGATATACGAAGTTTGCTCATACGGAGTCATACTACACAAGGGCAATGCTGACACCTTTTCAGCCTTCACCCGATCTGTCAAGGGTTACAGTTTGTGCCGCAATGCCGCTGCGAGTCCGTGGCGGTGAAGATCTATCCCTGATTGAACGCGGCTACGGCTGCGGCTACGGTTGCGGCAACCTCCGAACTGTGGAGATCAGATTTGGCAGTAATTATATAGAGTACCGAGAAAGGGAGAAAATATGCAGCTACGCCGAGAATTTGGTGACAACAGCACTCATTCAACTAGTGCTTCTCATCGCACAGTAGAGCATCGACCCCCTGATAAGGCGAGATTAAGTCGACATCCATACGACCCAAGGAGATCACCGTAATTGCGCAGCTACAAGCATTGCACATAGCTCTCAAAACGGCGACTTGGACTCCTGGTAACGTCGCTAGCATCATTTATACAGCCGCTCGTGACTCACTCATCGGTATATGCGCAGTGTGATCGCTGTTATGAACAGTATCAGAGGTTCTTACATCGTAAGTGGTACAGAACAGGACTGGTCACACAGCAGCATGACTTTGCTGTCCGTAGCTCATGAGTCATCATCACTGGCAACCCTTGGGAACTCAAGCCGCAACATTGTATGGTCCTAGGCTTTCAGCTTTTCTAGAGCTCACGGATTAGGAATGTTGAACGTCATTGAGGACCGGTTATAGTGATTTATCTGTAACTCGGCCTTTACAGAGTCCGACGAGCGAGTCCAGCTTTCCTTAGGTAGAGCCAAAATGTGGTATATATAAGCGATGCATACTTACGCTTGTGCGACCAAAGCCACGCGAATATCATATCAAAATGCTGATCCTCGTCGTTGGCGCCACTGGAAATCTAGGACAACTCCTCGCCCAAGCCGCCCTAGACCGTGGTCATCGTGTTCGAGCTCTCGGCCGCTCTCCTGACAAGCTATCAGCCTCACTCGCCACACAGCTCGAATCGTTCGTTCGCAGCGAGAATTACTATGATATCCCCGCGCTTGATCGCGCCTGCCACTCTGTTGATGCCATAATAGTCGCATACCAAGGTATTCCTACCCTTCAACTTGAAGGCCAACTACTCCTACTACGCAGCGCCGAAAGGGCTGGTGTGAAACGATTCGTCAGCACAAGCTGGAACTATGACTGGCGAAACACGAGCTTAGGGCAGCAAGATAGCTACGATGCGTATATATCATTCCGGCGGCATGTAGAGCTCTCTTCGAGCATCAAGCCGATATACATCTTCACAGGTGTGCTCGCTGAGGTTCTGTTCTCTGTGGACGGGCATGGGGATTTCTCGCCGAGGAATCATGGCGTGTGGGATCCCGTGGCGAAGAGCATTGCGATGTATGGGACTGGCGAGGAGACATGGCCAGACTTCGGCACATACAATCCGAATCCATGCAAGCTCAATCTGCTCAAATATTCTAATAGAGAATACAAGCTCAATCTACGCCTCAAAAATGATTGCCAAGACAGTACAATCTTAATCCGATTAGTCAGATTGCTTGTATTAGATTGAATATGTGGGGTGTATATATATTAATCGATTTTAGTAAGGTTCTAGTAGTAAGTTTCTTATATATACGTGACTCTATAAACTAAGGGAGGTTATCTACGCGGAGACGTGTAACTTAAGGCCCTACATATACTTATATTAGTTAAATATTAGTTAAATATATACCTAATAACGTCATGACTTAGCTACTTAGTCTCCCTATCTCCTTCCTAATCGGGTAATCTTATATAATATAAGCGATTCAATTTAACATAAGCAATCTCAATCCCTTGGCTTAGATTCCAAGCTCAATCCGTAATTTTAGGGTGACTAATCATACAATCCTAATCTAGGCCCTCGGATTGTATCCGATTGTATATGCCGAAGTCTGGACATGGCATTGGACGACGGAGAGCGATGCCGCGGAGTTGACGCTTGAGATTCTGGGAACGGAGGGTGTTGAAGAGGGTGGGTTCTGGACGGTGTATTCCGGAGAACATACACTGCCGCAGATCGCGACTATCTACGAACAAGTCCGAGGTACAAAGGTCACCATTGACCGCTTGGGCAGTGTGGAGGATTTGAGACGTACTGCGCTTGAAGCAAGAGCTGCTGGGAATCCACAGAACTATTGGGAGTACATTGGATACCTATATCAGCTGTACACTTTGGATCGGACGTGGACGTTAGGAAATGCCGACTACGAAAAGATTCCGAATTTCAAGCCAACAACTTTGGAGGATTCCTTGGTCGTAACCCGAAAGTATAACGGACTAACTTCAGTTGAGTTCTTCCATGTGCAAGAATCTCTCTTGACCCGCATTCCGTGACTTTACTCCTATGTAGTCGCTTATAGCCTTATAAGCCTATTATCTTCGTTGACCAAAGAATAGTCATATACGCCATACCGTATCACAATCCGGCTTTTACCCACGTTGATAATCGCGCCTTCACTTACTGTTTGTGAAACTAAGAGTCTATATATTACAGTTGATCACAAGTTTTGAAGACTCTTCAGTGCGCGCGCAGCGTCATTTGTTTGTCTGTCATGGGTTTACATATATCGAAAAAATGCGTCGCAAAGAACTCGTGACTCAAACTTTTATACTTTGGCACAACAGTCTAGCCTTCGTATCAGACAGATTTAGCAGATCTTTGAATGCTCAACTTGCCGGGAGGATGATTGGTCACATCGGATCTAGCTCATACTCCGGAAGACATTTGCTTTTTACATTACCCCTGGGTATTGCTTACGGTGGTCTCAGCTGTTCTCTTTGACCGCGCAACGCCTGCAGATATATCTCCCGTGCCATGCGGTAACTGGTTATTTCCAGGAAAGTATCACGGCTCGATGGATTGTATTAGCACATGTTAAAATGGGCACGTTGCTTACTATCTCGTAGTAAGTACCAGCAGACACGCCGTATGACAACATAATAGAATGATAGGATCCCGCCTTCTTGATCGACCTTTCGGGAAAGTGTATTCAGGAGACATTTCTGGTGGGCAGTGTTGCTACATCTTCAATTGCGCTTAGAACTTGCATTTTCTCTGAAGACCTATCGTCCCACCTGAAGTCCGGCCATGTACGATCCATCATAGATGTCATCAACGACCTAGAACCTTGCTCACTCTCCGTAGTTGATAGTAGCAAAAGCGTTATGAAGCTCGGCTCTTTCGCTTTTAGATCAGGTGATATCAGTGAGAAATCCACAATCCTGTGTGAACACGGAGGCTTCTTATCGAATGATAGAAGATTTTTGACATATTCGAAGCAAGACTTGAAGCTGTGTTGACAGGGTTTGGTGAATCCAAGTGGATACTGGCGAAACACGGGATGCGTCTCACCATCGAACAGCTATTGGGACGAGACTTTCTCTGCGTACATTGCTGTGTAGACTGAAGAGTGAGTGAGTCACTATTGTGTCTACGAAGGAGTGGTTGTATTTAATGCAGCACACTTTGATCGGCGCAAGGTGTTACCATGGAACAACACTAAGAGCGACAAGACTGACGACGTCCGGTACTCTAAAGTGGCGTACACAGAGGTCGCATCATCTAGAGCTGGGCGTCTTGGAAACGTAGCCCGATCAATCTGATGTATCATCAATTGCGGTCTTATTCTATATTTGGAACCTCGTGGCTATCACACCTGGATCATTCGCTTAACTCGCCAAAAAAGGTTAGCGTTTGTTTGGAGTGTCAATCTCTGCCGGGTATTTCCTGTTGTAGAAGTCGAAGTACTTTGTAGTTGGAACCATCACTAATAGTCAGAGTCGCAAATTGTTTCAATATCGTTGCGTGTGACTTCTAGGAGCACGATCGATACATGATCTGAGTATTGAGTTCATATCATCAGTCCGCACTTCCATAGAATCAGCTACAAGCTACCATACATCGGAGTCAGCACAAGATAAAGGCCCATCAATTCACAGGTCGTAAGAAAACTTGACCAACAGAATATCTTCAGGAAACAGTATTAGACTAGCGCATTATTACAAGGGTATTCCAAGACCCGGGAAAGCGTTATCTCTAAATTTATTTTTTCATCATCCATGACCAAGAGAGCGTGTTTGTGGGGTGACGATCTTGGTGTTTCCATCAAGGCTGCCTGCGCCAGGATCCTTCGTGCCGGCCCAATGTCATCATCGTTGACGTGTGGACGCTTGATATCGCGCACATCCACTGACGTGCTGTCAGTAATTGGTGTGAAGTACTTTCGTTTCGTCACTGGCGCCATCGCGCGTGCCTTTATAACGTCGTAGGACGGATACTTTTAGACGTTTCGTATCCTCCACGGGCTAAGGACTTGTACTCTATGTATGTAGCATTGAGGTACGGACAATGTTCGATGAATGGGCAGACTGAGGCTTCAGCGCATGCATGTGACGCAGGTTGAAGAACAGTGGTCCGAGCGACGGACATGAACACTTTAATAGTAGCATTTTACATCTTCTTCCGAAATGTCACAAGAGTAGTCTGAAGTGCTGAACCGAACCAATGCGGCCGCTCAGGGTCTGACGACGATGTGGAGTTTGGACATCTGGATTGCTGTCGCTGGACTAAATTACCTTGTCCTGCAACCAACGAAAGTGCACGGACTGATCCATCCCAATCCTCCGCTCGACACAGACACACCCCTTGCTCCTTTGTGCGGTATTACACAGTCCCTTTTCCATTCATCATCCACTCCTCCACTAGTTTAGGACTAGCAACGTCTGTGCCGGAAGTGAAAACATGGCGCTGCCTGTCGTCTCGTTTCATGTATCCAGCCAAAATGACTCTCCGTAGCCCCCAATGCCCGTGTGCTTCTATATGATAGATCACACCAACGCCTTGACTGCTCCGCTGATGATCCCTGCTCTCACCAGGACTCATTATCGAAACGATCCCCACGTTCTAGCAGTCAGTCCGCTCCCTTATGAAGACGAGGGTTTCAGTTTCCTTCCTTACTTGCTTCCAAAGCCATCTGGGTGAAATTTACTCACAGGATGAGTTCTGAGCAAACTCCACCTGATATCGCGGCTGCGGGAGACGTCCCGACACTGAATAAGCCGGCCTCAATATTGACCCTTATGATCCTTTTCAATGTCAGTTGGATAGTCTTCATCCTTCCTAAATCTGCTTACTGACCTTCCACAGGTACTGACTTGGGTAATATTTGTGGTCACAGTGTACACTCAAACATAGTGCTGATGATATTGATCTAGATCGCTGTTGCTCTACGTGTCTGGTCCCGGATAAAACCAGTGAAAGCTCTATACTGGGATGATCTATTCGTAGTATTGACATCGGTACGTCTCTGAACTTGACTATGCACATTATAGCCTGAACTAAGAACTGGCAGATAAGTACGACAATAGGGACGGCGAATGCCTGCGTCGGTAAGTTGTATGCTGCATGGGTATCAACACACAGGCCTTACAAGCTTCTAGAGGTCAGATATGGTCTTGGTCAGCACTGGAAAACGCTGTCGACTGATGAATGGGAACCCTATCTCTTCGTAAGTCACAGCAACAGACGTATACCGCTTGTTTGCTCATTGACTATAGTGGACTTGGCTCGCAAACCCGTTCCTCGCATTATCATTGACCCTGGTCAAACTCTCCGTCCTGTTCCAATATATGCGTCTCTGTTCTGGAAGCTCATTTCGCGTATTCCGCAACGTCTGTGTCGGTCTCATGGTCGTTGTAAGTGCATGGGGCATTGCGTACATCTGTCTAATGATCTTTGCGTGCGACCCAATCAGGGCCTTCTGGACAGCTGATGGCCCTAGAAAGTGCATCTTCTTTGGTTCAGACAATCCCGATGAGAAGATTCGGGCTTACCTATCGCATACTGCCTCGAACATGGTCCTCGACGCCATGATATTCTGCCTCCCTTTACATATATTCTACAAAATGCAGCTGGAGAAGAAGAGCAAGTGGGGTTTCGCAGGCATTTTCCTCAGTGGTTCAATGTGAGTGCCTCATACCAATTATACACCACCAGGCCTAACGAGATCACAGTATCGTTGTCATCGCGATTGTACGCTTTGCAAATCTCCTCAAACACGAACTTGGCCTCACCAGTGCTCATTTCGACGTGACGTACTATGCCACTGCTGCGGTGGTACTATCTGCCCTCGAAGCAGCAGTCGCTACCGTGGCGGCCAGTATTCCGGTCTTCTGGCCGCTCGTAATCTCGTTGAAATCCAACGTAATCCTGATCATCAGCGAAGTCAGCGTTACCCACGAGAAGCGAGCCGATAGCACTACCGGCCTCCGAAATAGCGATTGGCAGCCCTTAGAAGACTTCAGCACGAAAGGCAAAGACGAAGATCTCGAGAGTGTTCACAGCAAGAAAGACTACAAAGCCCCGCGTCCGTCTACGGGTGCCATTCCACGAAATCTCGTCTTTCCAGAGACCAAGCTGGATGATGAGCCCAGACTGAACCAAACGGAGACGACTGTTGTTGCTGGCGATCTGAAACGCTAAGGAGAAGCATGTTCTTTCGATTATGACGAATGGAGTTCAATTTTGTTTCAAGCATATACCCAACAGATCTCATCTATAGATACAAAATCATAATAGTCAGGAGACGACATACCTGATATAAAAGATATATTGGGTACTAGTCGTCCTTTGCAATAAGCTTCGTATTATGGCTACTGCCCTGAAATCTCAGCCCCCTACATATATCTAGAACCAGCGGTAACTAGGCCTACATGTGGAATTGAGAATGTATGTATGTGTGGCTAGGGTGCATGCAAATGCTGGTGGTGCAGATGTGATCACGGAGAGCTCACTTACAGCACGCGAGCCTACGAGTCGTAACCGCCGAACTTCTCCTAAGCCAGACCCTGCTTTGCACCATCAATCCCGGACTTCAGAGAAATGTGACATACCACTCGCTGATACCAGTAACAAGCCCATCCCGTCCATCTCCACAGAACCAGAAACTTCCTTCACCATAATCCATAGCCCTTAAGCCACATGATGCTCCAAGCCTGAATCCTTCAGTTCAGCCTCGCGGTCCACAATTCGTAAAGGTTTCCCAAGTGTCTCATAAAATCCCTGCTCCTAAATCTTTAGATCACCAAAGATCCCTTCCTTACGCTGAACCGCATCCAGAACTCCATGTAGACCCACCGCAACCGAACACTCCACCAAGATTAGGATGCATGCGGTATACCGCAAACTGTATGTGGCATCTGCGGGTAGCTTCGACCTGTCCGTACGCCGCATGCTCTGTCACATGAACAGCTGGACGGCTAAAGAAGCAGCAAAGACAAAGACGATCTCCGTGGAACCAGTCTCATTGCTGATCTGTGTCGAGAGGTAAGCCGTCTAGCGAGCAGTGACCGCGAACCGCGCCCTAGAATGGGCGCATAGAGAGAAAAAGCATATAAATGCTAGGAGTGGAGTTTTGACTATAAGCGAGCTCAATCAAGTCCACGATCGCTCTCTCGTCGCTTACGATCAAGATTATCTCCAAAACCACCCCCCCTTACCGTCTTCCTTCCTCTCTTCTGCTCTGATCACTCGGTCCGACATGCTCTCACCCTGAGCTGACGTATCGTGCATACATTCGTCAGTCTGCAGTCCTGTGTGTGTCGTATGCACGGTCTCCGATGTTTCTTCTTTACCATTCGCAAAGTGCTTCTTCAGCACGACTTTAGTGGTGATTGTGCCATCGGGGAGAACAGTGCGCTCTGTTGTAGTCATCGACGATAAGACGGATGGTTTGTGGCTCGAAGGGGTGGGGATTTGTAACGCGTTGGATGCTATTTTGTGAGAATTGTTGGGATGTTCCAAAGTGTCCGAGCTGCTGTTGGAAGCCTTACATGTGATGCCGAAGTGCTTCTCGTATAACTCTTGCTCTGTGGACGGAAATTCATCTTCGATGTCATTATCGTAATCATCATCCCCGTCGCCCTCGTCATCGTTCTCGTGCCTAGACTCCTCCTCCTCCTCCTCATCCTCCTCCTCCTGCCATGGCTGTGTCATAGGCCACAATGCCGTTTGCGACCCCCAATGCCGATCGAAAGTGCGCGTCACTAAATTATCTGCGTGCTTCATAACTGCGAAAAGTCCAACCCTCTCTCTTAATCCCTTTGACCACTGTTCCGGATTCTCCCATCTGTGGTCAAGCAAATCTTCCGGTGATACTCTTGAGGTAGTCATGGTATGCCACACCAGGTCCTCGAACGCTGCACGCCACTGTATGCCCGGTATATCTTTTTCTAGCTGAACCGGCGAGTAGTCACTATGTAGTAGCCAATCAGGCTTCAGGAGTTCACCGTGAGTTTTGTCCAGATATCTAGTCAGGCCGTTGAGTCCGGGATCGGAGAGACTCTGGTTCTGTTCATTTCTAAACGATGCTTCTATGTCTGCTGCTTCTTCCATAAGGCGAAACATTTCTTTCTGAAGAGGTGTGAGGGCATCATTTTCACTCGGTCGTGGAGTTCGGCGTGGATGAGGCATGTGTCGTGAAGCAATGTCGTTGGACAAGTCGCGGAGGAGACCGAAAATTGAGTTGATCTGCTGATCGGCAAAGCGACGAAAGGCGATAAAGGGATTTTGATTTTGGGTCTGATGCTCGTCGGGAGAGGAGGAATAGGACGCGGGATAGTCTTTCCCGTCATCGTCTCGGGAAGGGGACGTCATGGTGGGAGTTTGTTCGATTCTAATGATAGGGGTGTGTTCGTGCGAGCTGAGAGGAGGATGTGAGTGAAGCAGGTCCGCGGGTGGAATGAGTATGTATAGTCATGTATTATGAGTTAGTAATTAAGCCCACCCGGTCTACACTGCGGGCGGCCCCATGGTGGTAGCCGCGGCGCTACCCCACAGCTAGCGACAGTTGCTTACAGCCAATCGTTCACACGTGCGCTTAAAGAGTCCAACGTTATCATTGGGAACATGTTTCATTCTGATCCTATCGTAGCTATCGTCTATACAAACTTGTTTATAGTAGTCCTGTGTCTAGTTATATGATTCGCAGTCATCAAAAGCCCTGTGTCTATGTCTAGAGTGTAATCTGAGACCGCATGACGCGCGCGGATGGCGGCGTCGTTAGTGTGTGAGTCCACGCTTCTTTACCGTCTATGATGAGTCTGTATGTTAATAATCCTTGGTCACTTGAATCCGGGTTCGTGATCTCGATCGCGCCAAACTTGGAGTTGCCGTCCGGAAGATACCTTTGAGTGTCAGTTTTTTGCTTCAAAGCTAGGAACCGGCTGGCTCACTTTATTTTTACGTCTTCCAAATCAGTCTGTTTATAAGTACGATACGGGAGATAGAACATCGAAAGCGGCGATGTGCTGAACTCATGAACTGTACTAGTGGCGGGCCATTTGCCTCCAGCTGGGGGTGGAAAGGCCGTAGCTGCGAACTCGTGCCGGTCGCCGCTCAAAACGATGACACCGACGCCGCCTTTGAGACCGACATCCCACATTGCTTCAAGAATCTTCTGGCGTTCTACAAGGTATCCTCCCCATGTATCTTCTCCTCCGAAATGCCAGTTTTTGGTAAAAGGGATACTGGAGACAATGACTTTCCAATGAATTCCGGCTGGGGTCGGCGACGCTAAGAACTGGAGCAAGTCAAAGAGCTGTGCATCTCCTAGCATCGATTTTCTCGTATCGGTTGCGTTCTTTGAGTTTGTGGTTCTGTAACGGCGCGTATCCATCAAAAAGAAAGAGGCTAGACCTTGGTTGAATTCGAACCATGTGTGGCCTGCACGGGAAGCTGGTGGATTTACAGCGGCGTTGTAGTGATGCCAGGGGTCAATAGCAGACTGGTATAGACCTGTTGTGTTTTTATCCCAATCATTGCTGATCTCGTGGTCATCAATTACATGTAACCAGGGCAAGTCATGTGAGGCAGCTGGCCAGTCGGGGGAGGCATAAACTTGGCGATACTCTTGTCGATAAGTGCCAACATCTGTGCCAAGTCGCAATGGCACGTCAACATAGATGAAGTCTCCCAAGAATAGCATAAAGTGAGCTTGGAGTTTGGGAATCCAGCTTGCCAAGTGGTTGAAACCAGGGATATGCAGTGGGTGGTCAGTTGGATTATATGGCACCCGGGGCTTGATGCAACTTGAATGAACAAAGGTGTACTTCCCATCAGTGTGTTTGGAAGTCTTGCCTATTCTTGGAGCGGTAGTGAAATGGCCAGTTTGATTGTTTGATAGCATATATTGATAGCGAGTGTCTGGACTTAGCCAATTGATCTTGATAGTTGCCGTGTAATCAGTGTCATCAGTAAGGTCCGACGGCTCCAAAGTTGAAGCAGTCTTCCAGGAGCCGTCATCAATGCCTAAGAAGTGTCCGATGTCGGAGGATGCGTTCGGATCGAGTCGTCGATATTTAATTGTAAGCGGGAGCTGGTGAAGATGTGGCTCCCTGACCAATAGTTTTGCGCTTGAATCAGAGACATAGCCAACTCTTATAAAGGCCAGGTCATGGGCTTGGTGTAATAGCGGACCGTGATAGACGTGATCGTAGCACATCAACACTAAAGCTATGTTGATGAATAATGTCACATAACTCCACAGTGAGGACGTCGGGCTAGGCAGGCCAGTCAAGAGTGTTCTCAAAACGCGTGGTTTTGGCTTGACCTTTGCCACGACTACTGTCTCGGTCTCTTCCACAGCTTCATCCTCGCCATCACTATCCGTTATAATCTCTTTTGTATCAATAATTCTAACGATATCCCTGTATGGTGCGGTTTCCTGGAATGCGGCGATAAAGGAAGTGAGGTAGATGCCAATCAGGGCAGGGAGAACGGGTGGAACGCCCTTGACATGTAGTGAGAAGCTGCTATGAGAACAAACCGAGCAAAACTTACGGGAACAGGTATCTAAGCGTCATTCATTAGCAGAGCACTTCGCTACATAGCTGTGGGCTTTACCCATCGCAGAAAAACATAAGTACTCAACCGTAAGACGACTGAGCTGCTCAGAGCTGTGTACTTCACGAAAGTAGATGGCATTTCGATGGAGCAGACATGCTAATTCAGACTTGAGATCGCTGCGTAAGATCGTGTCCACCGGTGTATGGCTCGAGCGCGCTATGACGTACTAGTGAAGCCATCTTGGATCTGACAGCGGCAGACATCCCAAGCTTCATCAAATTAGAGCCAATCAGATGCCTCCATTTAATCAGCGTTAACACGTTAACACGTCAACGTTTCTGCCTCTACCTTTCACTGTGATCTTCCTAGTCCTGAAAGCTGTTGATTGACTCAGTTATGCATAAATGTGTATAAGAACGATAGTTGTCAGTTGAAGAGTTGCCAGAGCAAGACCAAGACACGCTTCTTCAGATTTGTTCATAGGAGCTAAATAGTTGTTCACAAACAAACAAAGTGACATTGATTAGGCATTCGTACATACGTACGTTGTTGCCATAGCGTATCCCAGTAGCCTGTCCGTAGTAGTACAGCCGATAGCTATCTGCCTTAATCCATCAATTGTAAACAGACCGGTCACGAACATCTCGCTATAGAAACTCGGTACCTAGTGCCAACCCCGTTTCTCGGGAGGATACTCGCCAGTAGCGTTCCTTCGATAGGCCGGAGGTTGACCCACGGGTGGATCAGCTGCGCTGGAATTTACGTCAGATCCTCGTCTACAGCCATCCTCACGGGACGATGCCGGTTGCTGTGTGATGTTGCCGTATGTCGAATCACTGAACCCGCCAAAGGTAGGAGCCACAGGAGCTATACTGTCACCCTGTGCTGGAGCCGAACCAGCGTGTGCATCGTATACTGGAGGTTGATTCACACCTGGACCGGTGTTGAAGTCTTCACGTCCGCCGCGGCCGTTGACGACTACACCACGGTTCGGCATAGCGGCATGGCTACCGTTGTAAAGCGGGATTGCTCCTTGACTGTTTGGGTTCGGAGGTTCGTTCATGGGTATTGAAGGATTGTTTGCATTACTGAACCCCCCGAATTGTAATGGAGCGCGTGCCTGCGAGTCAGATGGAGTAACAACAGGAAAGTTATCGAGAGCGAGGGTTGCAGAGGGGGCAGGACCTTGACGAGCAAGGAGTTCTGGCCCATTGCCTCCACAATGACAATGACCTTGGGCTTCGTGACGTCTACAGGAGCGGCGTCCTTCGGGTCTTGGGCCAGAGTAGATCCCATTGCTGTCGTTATCGTCGAAATCGTAATCGTCATATAGTTCGTCGTAATCAAAGTATATAGGCGCGGCTATGCCATCGATAAAGAGTCCAAGCCGTGGATCTAAATGCATTCTACCGTAGCCGGTCCGGTCATAAATGATGTCCCAGCATCGATAGAGAAGAAGAATCTTGAAAGCGTGCTCATCGAACGGAATCAAGCGTCTCGCCAAACTATGAGGGTCGCCGTACAGCTCATACGCCACAAACCACAACTCTGTCGAAATCTGTACGATAAGTTCATCTGGACAGCGTTCGAGAACGCGATATGAGAGTGGCATATCTACCCATAGAGTCTCATCGCCATAGTAGACAGGTGGGATTTCCAGCTTGCTGATAATCATCCCCACGCCTCGGCGCGTCAGTTCATGCTCGATATCTAGGGCCTCGATGTCGTAACCTAGAGACCGAATCTCGATGATACCGGGTCCGATTAAACGGGATCCCATGTTGAGCGTTTCTTGTAGTATGCCTTGGGATGTCGAGACTGTCGTAAGAAGGTTACAGCTTTGCAGGAAATATCAAGGTAGATGTGCTTATTGGTTATGAGCACAAGAGGCTCGCCCCTATATGCTGTATCGACGACGCAGCTGTCACTGACCCCTGCGCTGGAGGATACCTCGTGTAAGATGTGTGCAGAAAATACTGGAGCGTGGCCCTAACGATATGCTTCAATGTTATCGACATGCTCTTGAACGCTGTGTCAAACGAGTGAATCACCTCTAGTCCCCATTTTGATAACGCTGTGGACTTCTTATGTGCCGCTACTGCCAGCGCATGAGCGTCGATGACAGTGGACCGTATATGAAGACCTTCACAGAATGGCTAGTATAGAACTCTCTTCCATAGACGGTGTGCTAGAAGTTAGGGCCAAAGACGTTTCTTTTGGGCTGACGGTGATTTGAACAGCAGAAATGATTCTGAAATTTAGAGTTCATGTCTCCGAGTCACTTTCCAGGGCTTGTAGTTTTTTTAACGCTCTCGCGCTCTCCTCTATGTGATAGGATAACGTGCGCCGGAGATGCACTATCTCAAGCTCCCTAGCCGGTGCCGGCATTGATGTAGCTGAGATTAGAGCTGGCCTTGCTCCAAAGCCTTTAACAGATCGCAACTCAGAGGGTGGGCCAGCAACAACCTGCGCTGCTTCGCCTGAAGAAATTGTTGCTGGACATCTACTTGGATCTGGAGTCGTAGGGGCACTATGCTTTCGACGTTTCGGTAAAGCAGATGAACAGCATTCTCCTGGAGACCTTGCATCTAACCAGGCGTGGACAGGTGCCGGGTCGAATATACCTTGGCGTGACCGGGATCGTTTCTTCTTGTATGACTGTTGAGGTGGTTGAGAGACCACTTCTTCTGCTTTGACCAAGGGCAGCTCAACCACGGCTGTACTGGTCTTTCCACATTGTGGCATGTCTGAGACCTTTCGCAGAGCCTCCTCTGTGGAGGGCGGTGTTGGTAGTGAGTCATAATTTGTAAATCTACTGGAAGGTATGGCATCTTTCGCTACTGTGTTCAGCGTGATTGACGAACTATGAATGTTGATCTCTCGTAATGCTGACGAGTTGGTATTGTCTGTTGGTCCCAGTCTGGCGATCCCAAGCTCTGGCATGTCTGTGGTCGAGTATGATGAAGCGAAGGCTTCAATCGGCTGGACACGATCGCCTGTATCAATGCGTACAAGCAGCGGTTGTGTTCGTCCAGATCTGGGGCTTCTCCTGGTCCGCGCTATCATGGGAGTCGACATGACAGACTCAATCGACCTTGGTGTCGTTTCTTGCGCTATTTTTAGGGAATCATTCGTCCTCTGTGACTCTTTGGCCTTGATCGCATTGATCAAATCTCTGTACCTCTGAGAGGTCTTATTGATCTCTTCTTGACTTGGTATCGGTAGACTGTGAGCCTCTTCGGCCATGGTTTGAAGATCGTCCAAGCTGACTGTGTCCTCCCATGATCGATCCAGATGATGTTTTAGCATACGAGGATGTCTCAGCATATAGATGCTCTCATTCGGCATCTTGACGAAGCCGCTCCCAAGAACTTCAACGACCATAGGCTCCTTGAAATAGTGGCTCATAGGCAGTAGGTTACTGTTGTGAATATATTCAATCTCAAATGGCGACTCACTCTTAAAATGAGTTTGTGTGAACTCATCTGCAACAAAGCTACCATGTATATTTATGCTTTTCAAGACCGCATCTGGTATACAATGGTCCTGTGAGATCATACCAACGATTCTATATCTTGGCTTGGAGTTACATTGTAACACAGACTTCGTGTTGACGAGACAGCCCAAGTAGAACGTAGTCCACCGAAGATTCCGCATTGAAGACTTTTGAGCCTGTTGCGGATTGTAGCGTGCTCCGATGATGGCAAAGTCAGCAACGTCTCGACCACCACCTAGCTCTTCCATATAGTCTGCTTTCATCTTGATGAAATATCGAGGAGAAGTTGCGTTTGTTTCGCCGCCATGACTTGACCGCCCAAGAGATATATATGGCGCATCTGCTGGCTTTAGAATTAGTCCTTCATGACCTCGGTATCGTGCTATTGCAAAGTGTTCAAGTACGCGCCGCTCAGCACATGGATCGGAGAAGTCTACAGTCACTCTTTCTGCTCTCGCGGCTCGCCCATGCCGTAGCTTGACCATTGTTGAAAGTATGCGTCGCCGTTCTAGATACGGGAGACTGAGTGTAAAGTTGTCATCTATAACAAGGACATCGAAATAGACAATTTTGAGATGTTCCCAAGGGTGGCATTGCGAATCGGCACTTGTACCAATCAGGCGTCCAGAACGCCTTATATGTTTTCGTATCTTGTCAAAGTCGGCGATCCTGTCTTCTCTGTCGTCATAAACGACCATTTCGCCCAATACTATACAGCGCTGTTGAAAGGCGCATCGTTGCGTTCCGATTTGAAGACTTTCCATAATGGTTGCGTGAAGCTTATGGCGATCTTTTGTGGAGTCCTTTCCGCTTTTCGAAAAAATTTGAATCATGTTCTCCTTTGTAGCCAAGTCGACGTGGATTTCGCAATATTCGCCATCATACTTGCGCTCAACCACCCACTTGTGACCACGAGCGAGTTGCAGACAGTGTTTTACTGAGCGTGCCTTATGAAAGTTTGGCCTCCCAACCTTGACGCCTAGCACAGGCTGAAGCTGTCGATCGACTATTTGCATGATGGACTTGCGTTCTCGATCACTTGGACAAGCTGGGACATGGCCGAGGGATTCTTTCAGGAAGCGTGTTGCTTCCAACAGATCGTCTTGGAATTTCATCAAGCCAGGAAGGAGGAAATGGAAACACTTGAGTATCAATGGCTCGTCCATCAAGACAGGAGAAAAGTCCTTGAGTATAAGTCTGACAAGCCATTTAGCATCCTTTGAGTATGCCTTTTTGAACAAGGGATTAAGAATAGTTTGCCTGTCCCGTCTTTGAGATTCTTCAAGCGCTAATGCTCGAATACGTGGACTAGAATGTGGTTGTTGGGAAGCGATTTCGGTAAGAGCCTTGTCTACTTCGCGAAGCATAAGAGGGCCAGATCCAGGACGAGACGAGGAATCGAATTGAGCAAGGACCCTCTGGACTGAGTTGCCGAGATCGCCTTTGCCAGGCTCCCGAAAGGATTGAAGAGATCTGGTATTGGCGACTCCAAAGCCGAAAATACGAGGTACCAGCCTTACCAATGTCTCCTGCTGAATAGCATATACTCGATCAGAGCGCTTATGCGGCAGCAAAGTCGACAAAATCGCACCCAGGTCGATCTCGTGAGGACTGAGCTCGGTCTGGTATTTACGAAACCATGATTCAAATGCGACGCGTTTTGAACGCTCTTTTTCCGACTTCGAGACTGGCTTCGGATGCGTCTCAAATCTCTCCAAACTCTCCAGGAGCTCGGTGATGATTGAAAATTTCATCAAAGATGCTTCCGACGCATTGCGTCAAAATATACTGCAGACTAGGATTTGTATCGGAACTGATTAAAAACTAGTTCAGTCGATACCCTCTGACCCTTAAATTAATATGTTTAAGAGACAATGCGTTCCAAAATCCAAGCCCAACTGAAGGAGTAGTATGTAGGATAAAACTGCCTCAGACGTGAGGCAGGGCTCAGTGTTGCAAAACTTTCTCCTGGAGAGACTGGAGTTAGTTGGATGTGAAAGAAACCGCGTGGTGAACGCGACAGGTCTTACGGATCCTCCCGTCCAAGAAACCACGCGCTAAGCAACGAAGGCACGTGATACAGACCAAACGCTAAACTCAGTAACTATGTCTCTCTTCTAATTAATTACCCCTTTCGTTAATATATGCTCGATTTGGCTACACATGGTAGCCTCCTGCGCTATAATTATAATAAGAAAGCGGAGTCTTGCATGCAGAAAGGATGCGCTAATCTAATACGGTAATATCTTATCTCCGCACGATAAATGGAATGGGAGCGGAGTCGGCCAGCAAATTGTCCGACGCGTCTGCAAGTCCTGGGACAGACTTCCATTGATTGGTATGAATTCAATGTCCGAGTCCATTAGGAGTGATATCGCCGCATGGCTTGATTACGATCCATGCGCTGCTTTGCAATCACTATAGAAGCATTCCTGCCATGTTGCCTGAAGTGCTCCTGGGCTAGCTAGTGAGGCACGACTGCGTCTACGGTCCTCTGTTTGATGCAAAGATGACTGCATCATACCGCGTACTGTACTATCTATATAAACCACGTACATTCCTATCACATACGGACCACTGAACCAAAGTCAAGCCATTTAACCATCTCGCAGCATCATAGCTATTCGATATTCATATCAACAAGCAACTCGATATCCGGAAACTGTAGCAAACGAACAAAGTACACAATCCAGCCGCAGCCATGGCCAAAGTCAATACCGCGGACCTCAAACTCGCCAAAAACGACCTTATCGAGCGCGGCTCCAAAGACCCAACGCCCCTCGGTTCCGCCATATTCGTTGGCTTCCGCTTCCTCGATCCGCTCTGGCAATATCAACTTCTCGCTTACGGGACTGGCAATGCACTCATCACCAGACTCGGCGGCACAGTAATCCCTCCAGGTATCGCCGTACACACGGGTATCAGCTCCATAGACTCTCTCGGACTGTCACCACATCGCTTAGTGCTACTGGGTATGGGTATCGGCGCGATGCTCAAGCAGAACCACTGGCAGCTGTTCCTTTCAGGTGAGCCAATGCCGGTGCCTGCAGCGCTAATGGTGGGCACGTTCAACATCTTCCTGGATACGCTGAGTACAATCTTCTTCCTGAACCGCTTTACTTCCACGGCGCAAGCGGGCGAGACCACGCTGTCCGCCAAAGTGGTAGTTGGAGGTGCACTGTATGTTCTTGGACTTGCGCTAGAATGGTATTCTGAGATACAGAGGAAGGCTTTCAAGGCTAACCCCAAGAACGAAGGGAAGGCGTACACGGGCGGTCTTTGGAGTCTGGCGCGGCATATTAACTATGCTGGGTATGCATTGTGGCGGACTGGGTTTGCTATGGCGAGTGGGGGGCTTGCTTGGGGGGCGGTCATTGCAGCGCTGAACATGAGTGTGTTCATTGGCAGTAGCATCCCTATCCTAGATGAGTACTGTGATAAGAGAGTAAGTGACTGGGTCGACGCAAGAGGATCTTGACTAACATGAACATAGTATGGTGAACAATGGGCGGCTTTCAAGCGTCAGACTCCTTACAAGCTGTTTCCATACATCCTATGAGCCATGGCATATGGCCATAACCTCGGTATCATGTAAGAGCAAAAGAAGTAGTTAAGTCAAATCTAGAGTTCTACTGTAGCGTTGCATCATACACAACATATCGTATCATTCACAGAATGATCATACAACTGTATTCCAACGCCTGGGTATGCCAACAAGAAAACATCACATCGTCCCGTGCCTCACACTCCGCTTCGATACACTTGCCCGCCACCTTGCCGTATTTGCACAGTTTCTCTCCTTTGCAGAACGATTAGAGCTCTGTTCAATGCACCTTCACTGAACCCTCGTCCATCGACGAATTCCCTCTTAAGTGTGGCCAGACTCGTCGACCAGCCAATTGGCAGTCTGCGTCGTAGCTCCTCTTCGACTTTACCAACCTCGTCCATTAGCTCTTTGCTGCCAGCACCCTCACCTTGACTAACAGCATCCATAGTGGATGCAAGGAACAGTCGAATCGCTTCGTCCACATGCTCCTCCGTGGCAATTGGAGTTAGGGACAGTTTCGCTAGCGACTCTGTAATACGAACAATAGCTTCGAGTTGACGGATGGTGATAGGAATGGAGGATCGAGTGTTAGAGGAGAGTTCTGACGCATGAATCTGGTGACGGATAGACACAAAGTGAGACGTGAGTTTCTGGATAGCACCATCAGAAAGTCGGGGAGCGCATTTCCTATCCCAGATCATTAGCTGTTGAATATGTCGTGCTTTTTGGATTCTGAACTTACTGCTTGCAATAGCTAATGTATCGCTTCATCTTGTCCACGGAAATTTCGGCTTGTACTTGCTCTTCCACACCGCGCCCACCCATATGTATGCCCATAACGTGCTTTGCAATGCGCTCATCCCGACCACGCTCGTGTTCGTCGCGCACGATGAATATCATATCGAAACGGGACAGAATGGTAGTTTGGAAATCAATGTTTTCGCCTGGTGTCTTGAGATCGTCATATCGACCAAAAATCGGGTTGGCAGCTGCAAGGACCGAGGTGCGAGCGTTCAAGATGGTTGTGATTCCAGCCTTGGCGATGGAGATCGTCTGCTGTTCCATGGCCTCATGTATAGCCACGCGATCTTCGTCGCGCATTTTATCAAACTCGTCGATACACACGACTCCACCGTCAGCTAGCACCATAGCACCACCTTCAAGATAGAACTCTCGCGTGTTAGTGTCGCGCTGGACTGAAGCTGTAAGACCCGCCGCGGAAGAACCCTTTCCGGATGTATAGATAGCAATTGGAGCGACCTTCTCTACGAACTTGAGGAGCTGTGACTTGGCCGTACCCGGGTCACCAAGCAGTAGTACATTGATATCCCCACGGAGTTTCATACCGTCGGGTAGGATCTTCTTCGATCCACCCATCAGAAGACAAGCGATGGCCTTCTTGATATCTTTGTTACCGTAAATCGACGGCGCGATTGACTCCGCGAACGCGTCGTAAAGATCGGGCCGCCGGCTCATCTCCAGAAATTCTTGCTCCTCTTCTTCCGTAAAGGTTGCGTTCCCTTTCATGGTATGATCAATGTCTGTCCGAATACCCACTGCACGCAGATAGGGGTTGCGGATCGCAACAGCAGCACTCTGGGCTCTCTTTGACCCTTTAGATTGGTAGATCGAGAAGACACCCATGACTGTACAACGTGATCCCGGGACGACACGATTCGTGAGATAGCGATCGGCCGAAATAAGGATGTGGCGAGGCAATTCACCGACTGGGACCTGATCCGGCGCCTCTTGCAGTTTCAGGACTTGCTGATCGATGAAGTGAGACTTCTCATGCACCACGACGTAAGGATCCAGAGGACACTTTTCTGCATTATCGCCCTGCATTTTCTCACGCGCGCATGTTCGAGGCAGGGACAGGCCGGAGAACCCGTCGGAGACTCCGATTTTATTTGTGTGTTGACAATTTCGGCACTGAATCGTGAGAGCCGTGGCTTTTGAGGAGAGGGTTGAGGCGCCAATGATGATTCCGGGTATGCGGACAAGTTTCGATACACTTGTAGCTGTCAAGTCACGAATAGACACTTGTGCGGCTCCCGAGTGTAGGAGTAGTTGATGCTCAGGGAGTTCGACGTCCTTCGCAGAAGGATATACAATTCTTCGAGAGCAGATCTTCAGAGCGGACTCAAACTATCAAGGATCAGCGCGCCACATCCATGTATCAAGAAGTCAAAACGTACGAGGGGGATGATCTCTGCTGGATCACTTGTGAGCTTGTTCGCGAGCTCTTCGTTATAGGAGATAAGATGGGCAACGTCTATGTCGCAATAGTACTGTTTGATGAGGACATTTTCGCGGATTTGATCTCTTGAATGTTATCAGCATCTTAAGTGAGTAGCCATAGGAGCGCAAGAGTGCTGACCGGTATATGAAGACATTGTCCAGTCTGAAGTCCAAGATAAAGTCAACGAGCTGCTGTTGGACCTGTGCCGGCGCATGTTCTCCGTCTTCGCTGCGATCCGCGCCAAATAGATTGAGAGAGTACACTGTTCGACGGTCCATGGTTGATAATGTTTGTATCAATGACGACGGCGAGGTTTGACTTCGAAAGGTGGAGGGGGGATTTCGCCAAGATGAAGCAGGCGCGTAACGCGAAATTGAACGCGTCTTGTCACGTTCGCGGATGGTTCAATTAAGACTCAAAGCGGCTAGCCCAACATGCCAGCCACCAGGCTTGTTGTATTTGACGGCATGACCACACTAACTTTTTCTCGTGCGATGAATTTCTTCACTGACATCAATATAAGCTATTAATTATGTCTTACGGGCGACCGAGTGCTCCAGCAGAAGTCAACCATTAAAACTTGAAAGTAGCGTCGTTTTCGTAGCCATTGAAGATCAAGGCACCTCAAATGTATGGTGAGAATTCATAGCATCCAGCAGTATATGGCTATGCTGTGGAAGACAAGAGGTATCTCTGTTCAGTGTGCATTGCTTTCATCAAGCTTGTCTCGGGTTCATGACCTACGTGCCACAGACTTCGGAGTGTGCAGCATCGATGTGGACCGTTCATGACAATATAAGGTAACAAGGAGAACTACCTCATACTGAACTGGCCACTCTTCCATGCTACTTCGGCTTACCTGATCGCTCGACAAGTTGCATGATGGGTATTGTTCATAGGGTGACTGGACCCTGGCTCACACTAATCGTGGATGGTAATTAGGGTTGTTGTTGGATTGTTGGATTCTCTTCATCCGGATTGGGTCCATTGTTATGACTTTCTACAGCTAGCGTTTGGTCAGTGCTACCACATCAACTTCCAGGTTGTGACTAGCATAATCACTTGCAACAGGGCCAGCGTGTATGTTATATTGTGGTGTTCTTGTCTATCAGAGCCTGGGGAAGAAGTGGTAGCAACGGCATATCAGAAGAGTTGAGGCATAATTACCGCGAAAAGTTTCGTCTATCTCGGGGACAGGAGGCACGCCGCACGCGCATAGCGGAACCCGCAACACCCATGCCGGACTCGGCCCGAGTCACGCGTAAAATTCAGGTCGGCGAGGTGACGATGATGGACACTGGGGGTCGACGATGGGACATCCGGGTCCATGCATGGATGCAGGCAAGAGGCCACAGCCATAGCAGCCCAATAGCAACAGCCAATTCCCAGCATTCGCACTTCTCGAACAACGTTTGCATTACACTAAGACTCTACGACTCAGCAGTAGGTAAGCTTCATAAAGTAGCATCTATAGCGCTTTATGATACACTACGTACACAGTATACTAACTGATCCTAATACAAGACCGCAAAGTCGTCTTTTGCAAATTTATGAGGTCGAGGAGGGACTCGCACAGTAGATGAAACAATACCAGGGAAGCAATAAAAGGACCGATAACGATGAGCTTTCCGTGAATGTTCTGCATATTCTTCTTCCTTTCCAGATTCCGAAGATACCAAGCCTTCCAAATGCGCAAGGCCAAGCGTTTTGACTCAATCGGTCGAAAGAACATCATTCCACCGTTTTGTCTATAACACTGTCATGCTTCTATAGTCTGCCCACAGGTACCCACTCCAACAGCTAGCTGCGGCATTCTCCCGTGACGGTGAACAATCTCAAAAAGTCATGATGGCACTCAATCACAATATGGCTCCGGTTCTATTATATAACTCTAAGCCCGCTGCCGAAGCCAGTAGAGGTATATAACTAGTTTTCGTACCTCATGTCATAACCACGGTGACTCTGCTTCAAGCTCGGCCATGGAAGCATCTTTGCAAAGCTGGCTCCTTCTCCCGGGACTGTTGATACAAACTCATCTAGCTCTTGCTGTAGGCTCTGGTAGGTCTTCAATCCAGATTTTATTATTCGTCACTGATGCCGACAGTCGAAGGTCTGGGCCCGTCAAGACAATCTATAAAGTATACGAACGCCTCGGCAGCATCGACTTCTCGAGGCAGTCATGCAACGACGAAAGCTTCAGTGACGAGTACACCGAGTGTAGGGACCTGGGCGACTGTAATTCCATGGTCCACTTGGGCAAACATCATTCAACCCACAACCAACGGCACTGGTAGGCAGCATAACGCATTCTGGGACTTCAGAAGTTGATTGAAAACAAAGGCCCGGAGTATGCCTCGAGCTGTAACGCGGCCCACCTATCGTATTCGAAGGCATACTCGAGCCTTCCATACAAGGAGCAGCCTAAACCGGCGCCAACATGTTATATAGATGATAACGATTGCATCCACCTGAAGAGTGCGCAAGACTTATCCTGGTCGATGGATGATGTCTGGACAGTCTCTCTAGCAAACCCCCCGAACGAGATAGTCGTTAATGGCAAGACAACTCCATTGAATACGGCTGGACCTCTTACAACACCACCGCCGCTGACCATTCACGGGGATGCTTACACAGCCCTGCCGTACGCTTATGGCATATCTTATACCCTCTCCAATGCGACGAACTACTATTCAGACTTGATGCTTACACCTGGTGGACAACTGACGGCCACGTGGAATGGCGACTATAGGCTACACGATTACGACTTGACTATGCCATATCGTTCTGGAGGCCCTGCATGCACCTGGCTGTTCAGCGAGGGCCCTCGATGGGTCCCTGATCATGGCGAACTCTCCATCGGGCAGCTACCCACTCCGATAAAACAAAATCTGGCGCAAGCGAGAGAGTGTAAAGCGCAGTACCCGTGTACCATCACTGGCGTCTCGGTCGATCTTCAATTCTTTGCTCCACCCCCTATCACTCGTGATTTGAACGAGAACACTTCACCAGGATGGTATCAAGGTAAGTTACCCTAGCGAAAACTTTCAAATAGTCATATTAAGGTGCTCTTGTTTCGTCTAATGCTGGGACTGGTGCTAATTTCTATGTCAAGGAAACGTATCGGTATATTCGATGCCACATGAGGCGACTGTCGTCAACAGCACAACGTACTGGTCTGATAGTGCATATCTCAAGTACGACTCTATTTACGCCGTACGTACCTGTGATGAAGGTAAGGTCCTTGTTGGTACCGTCGTCACCGACCATGTAGTAGCCCTACCGTCAACTGAGGTCTCAAGTCTCTGTGGTTGGAAAACGTACAAACCTTGGAATGTATTTCATACCTACACGATTGGAGCAACGCCCTGGCCATTTAACTTCTACGACCTCCAAGGTTCTGTCCCACAATCGGCATGGGATTGTCAACCACCACCAATCTTTATGAACAAACCGTACGCACCAAAGCTAGCCGTTCCAACCGAAATCCGATCGTTGAATCCTGAATGGGAGTCATGCGTGATGTGGTTTCAAGGCTCTTTCGACCCTCCTACTGCCTTGGGGACAGCAAGCATCGTGGCCATATTAACATCAGAGGCACAAGCATTTCCATCGTTGCCTGCGACACCTGGGGTGACTCCTCCACCAATGCTGCAAACGACTATGCGATCTCAACCTGCATATACACCTGCAAGGAACCCGTTCGTACCACTACCAGACCCTACCCCGATTACCGCAATTGGGTCTGCTTTAGTTCTACCTGATCCCATGAATCCTGATAATATCGTCGTTGCAATACCAGCACCATCAAAATTTCCCAATGCACCACATCTCCCACCAGGCGAAGTTTTCAGTCCTGGAGGTCCATCAAAAGTCATCGATGGTACGACAGTATCGGTTGCCCCCAATGGAAACATTATTATTGGCGGACCCGGAAATGATTCGCCTAAGACGGTCCAAATACCTGGCCCGACTGAACCAGCTGCAGATCCACGGTTGACAGCAATCCAAGGCAAGGTACCCGTAGTCGTAGTAGGGGACAAAATAGTCTACAAGGAGCCATCTAGTCCTTCCGAGGTCGTCATTGTTGGAAGTGATGGCTCTGCAACAACATTGACCCTGGGGTCTCAGCCTGTTACCATATCAGGTACCAAGGTCATGTTATCTCCTGCTCTGACACAGGGTATGGACCTAGTCATTCAAGCCCCTGACGCTCCGCCAGCCATATTCACGTTGGCGACCAAGTTAGTACCCGACGCAGGAGAAATGAGTGTGGTAGAAGTTGCAAGCCTTGGCTCGACAAGAGTAACATATGATATATCGCTGCAAATACCTACTTCAATCATATTTACGATCACCACGTCTACTGGAAAACAACAGACCGTGGATATATCATTACCACTAAGTGCTTCAAGCACGGTCATAGAACTGAAAAATGTTGGCATAACAATCATGTCGACTCCAGCTGGAGTTGTTGTAATCAACACCGAGACAGGAACGTCAACAACAGTGTCTAGCGCAGTGTTACAGATGCTTTGGCTTTCAAGTTTTGGAAGTAACCATGAGGTTCCCGACTCTAGCAATCTTTATCAGCAAGTAGCGACCGACACGAACACGGCAGGCCCTACGACGAGATCCGCAAGCGGTGGAGATGGTGAGACAGCTTCCAGGACACAAGATGATGAGGCAGCAGTCACTTCGTCCAGTCGCTCCCATGGCAAGGCCACTACCAATATATGCTTCGGAGGCTGGTATCCTATCATCGTAACCTCCATCTGGTACCTTCTCACAGCTTGAACGCCAAGTCTCCTTTACAACGACAGACGTTACTCTATCATGGACATGTCATACGTACCACCAATCTCCAGTGCCCTCTTATACGCATCCCTTTCCTTCACCGCAGCATGCCAACTCGCCAGTCTCGGATACTTCTTTGGCTTCCAGAGAACCCCCTGCTGCTCACAAAGATCCAAGACGAAAAACGTCTTCAGATCCGCCGCGCCAAAGTTCCTCCCATTGAACCACGGCCGCTCATCACTCAGGCCATCATTGGTAAATTGGTAGAACTGGTGCAAGTCCTGCGCAAGTATCTTCACAAGCGGCGCAAACAGTAATTGCAGAAGATGTCTCAGCCCAAACGGCATGACGCGCGGAATCATCAACCACGGAATCAGAATGATGACTTTGCCCATCAAGCTGCGCAGCATGAACTCGGACCAGAAGTTCGCTCGGCGCTTATCTTCCTCCGGTGGATCGAGCTCGCCGTTTGTGTATTCGTCGAGGATGTATTCAATTAGCAGTCGGCTTTCGATCATGGTCTCGGGTGTCCCGGAGCCATCGGCTTGTCTGACTACCATGACTGGTGATTTGCCAAGTGGATGGACTTGTTTGAGTTCGGGTGGTGCGCGGCCCCGAGGGCGCCGGTAGTGGACAATGTCGTATTTGAGGCCGTCGGGCCGCAGTGCAGAAGCTTCTTCCAACGTCACGAGAACGGGAAATGAGTTTGATGAGACCATGTGATGGAGAGTTGGGATCGTGGTCTGCTCCATTGTGCCGGTTGTGAGTTCAGTTTGTGAATCTGTGTTTCATGTACGGGTTTGATGTATATCCATAGCATTTGGAGAAGGGTGAGGGTATTTCGTGAGAGAAGAGTGACAGGGATTGATGGAGGGCATCGCACGGCTCGCATACTGGCGTATACATATGCATGGGTTTCGGAGAAAGAACTCGAATTGGGTAACAGCGTTCTCTGGCCTAGGTTGCTTACTACCTACTACCTAGTGCATAGTGCTTATTCATAAGTGATCCTCTGATCTATGTACAACCGATGGATGCCTGGGTAAGTGCGAGACTATGGCCAATCTCGAATTAATAGATGCTTCTCCTAATACAACTCCACACAATCACTATGAGTACTATGGCGATATGTACGCGCAGTACGGCGCAGTACGGCGCAAGACTGTAGCTAGTACCAAGCCAAGTTTCGACCGCTTGTGCTACGTCAATGACAGATTCAATGGCATTCAAGACTAATTTCATTCCTGTGTCCAGGGCGCCTGCTGATAAACATTCTATGCGCTTGCTGATGCGTATGGTAATATAGTGGTTACATGTGGCTTGTAAAAGCCGAGGCCGCTGTACTATGCCAATACAACAATATTTACAAAGTAACCTTGATATCATTGTCCTCCCCGAAAAGCGCTCATATGTATTTGTATGGGTTCATAATGCCGTTCTGAAGAATCGTTAGCCGATTATGGATCTACTTCTTAAGTAGTCTTGCCCGCGAAGCTTACCGGATCATAAAGATTTTTAATCTGTTGCATCAGCTTGACCATGGTTTCGCTGCGGCTGTAACCAATGTATGGCTTCTTAGTTATACCGAGACCGTGCTCAGCGCTGATGCTTCCTTTCTTCTTCTGCACCCACTCGTACACGAATGGCTCTATCAGTTTTTCCACCTCCTTGTCGAATCTTCGGCATGGTACGTTCAAATGTAGATTTGCGTCTCCCATGTGGCCATATCCCACGACGTCAACAACAGGCTTTGAGTCGTCATCGCCAACAAGTCCAGCCTCTTCAAGACGTGCTCTGGTATCATTCACAAGGTCGTACATCGAGCTGATCGGAATGGACAAGTCGTACTTGTAGACTGCACCCCAGTGACCGAGACACTCTGTGATGCCCTCACGCCACGTCCATAGATCGGCCACCTGGGTCTGATCTTGGGCGAGGACGCCATCGGCAACTATTTCATTCTCCATCACGTACTCCAAGAAGCTCTGCAGCTTCTCGTTATCGTGCTCGCTGTTTGATCCACTGGTTTCAACAAGACAGTAAAATGGATAGTCTCCCTCTAGGGGCTTGCTAGTGCTTTTGATATTATGAACGATGTTTTGGGTCCGTCCGTCCATCATCTCGAAGGCTGAGAGAATTTCCGAGAGCTGGCTCTTCGCCTCTTTGAATGCTTCTTGAGCTTTCTCGAAGCTTTCGAGACCAAAGTACGCTACATTGACGGCAGGTGAACGTCGCGGACATAGTATAGATATCTTCGTGATGATGCCAATGGTCCCTTCGCTACCAATAAAGAGTTGTTTCAAGTCGTACCCAGTGTTGTTCTTTCGCAGTGTTGAGAGATCATCGACAATAGTTCCATCTGGAAGCACAGCTTCAATGCCCAGGACATTGCCGTGAAGGCTGCCGTATCGCAGCAGTCGCAAACCTCCCGCGTTGGTGGCCACGTTACCTCCTATCTGGCACGATCCTTTGGCGCCAAGGTCCAGGGGAAATATATGGTTCCTTTCTGCGAGATAGTTGTCTGCCACTTCCAGAATCACACCAGCATCAGCAACAAGTATGCCGGAAACATCGTCAAATGATCGGATCTCTTTCATTCGCTGTAGGTTGATAACAATCTCATCAAAGACCGGTACGGATCCACCGACCAATCCGGTGTTTCCTCCTTGAGGCACCACAGCCAATTTGTTCTCGTTGCAGTATCCTAGAATCTTGCTGACCTCCTCCGTCGAACCCGGCTTCAGAACCACTTTTGTGTGGCCTCTAAATTTCCGCATCCAATCCGCATTATAGGCCTCGACATCTTCCGAGGCTTCACCGGTGATATTATCTATCACGGCGGACTCTGCGCCTAGAACGCCTTTAAAGAACTTTACGTGTTCCTCTGTAATCTGCGCATATTTATCGTTTCTCTTCAGCTTGGGGTATCTGGTTGGTGATTAGGGTATAGGACACCGGAGTGATTGTGATGATTGTCTTACGAGTCTGATGTATACTTGATAGCTTTAGGCGGCGCTGCACTCCCGTTAACTTCATTGTCGGCAGTGGGCTGGAGGGGCTCAGTAGTAGCAGAGGTGCTACCTGTCCAGCGAGTTTGTATAGACGGCGCGAACTGTTTATTGCAAGGAGTTCTCGGAATGGATGCCCGCGCGGATCGTAAGTATCTCGCGACCCTGAAAGTGCTTGCCATGTTGCGTCGAATTCCAAAACAAGAGGCTCCAAAACTCCAGGGAAGAAAAAGAAAGTCGTCATACCTAGCGGCTAATGAAGCATTTCGCCCGAGGGGAGTTTAGCTTCGGAATTCAGGCAACAAAAAGCTGGTTGTAAGGCTGCAAATGCTAAGCGGCTAAGGAGCTCTCGGAGCTAGGTTACTTCACCTCCAGGCATAACAGAGTTGCGTCAACTACGTCCACCTCATCAGTTACCGTCCGTTCAATCCCGCCCATCACACGAACATTCAAACCGCGAACCCTTGAATACCATAACGTCTCCTACTTCGACTCCGTCCTCGCCCTGATTCAGAACCATGGCTTCGGGCTATGATCGCGCTCTTTCCGGTACCGTAGACTTTCATACTAGCAATTGTATACTCGCCCTGACAAATCTGCAGTGTTCAGTCCGGACGGACATGTCTTTCAAGTCGAATACGCACTTGAAGCCGTAAAGCGAGGAACATGCGCGGTTGGCGTAAAAGGCAAAGACATCGTTGTTCTAGGGTGCGAAAAGAGATCAGCAATGAAGCTTCAAGACACACGCATCACGCCGTCCAAAATCTGCCTCGTCGACAATCACGTCGCCTTGGCGTTCGCTGGTCTGAATGCCGATGCCCGGATTCTGGTAGATAAGGCTCGTTTGGAAGGCCAGTCGCACAGACTCACCGTGGAAGACCCCGTTTCCATAGAGTACATCACGAAGTACGTGGCTGGAGTACAACAGCGATACACACAGAGTGGTGGCGTAAGACCTTTCGGTATCAGTACGCTTATTGTGGGCTTTGACCCCAATGATAAGACCCCAAGGCTGTACCAGACCGAGCCATCGGGTATATATTCTGCATGGTTGGTTGGTACTATCTGGACTCATATTGTGTACTAACTGTGTGCATAGGAAAGCGAATGCTATTGGCCGATCAAGCAAGACAGTCAGAGAATTTCTCGAGCGCAATCACAAGGCAGACATGGATAGAGAGGAGACAATCAAATTGACCGTCAAGTCTCTATTAGAGGTTGTTCAGACTGGCGCAAAGAATATCGAGATTGCTGTCATGGCCCCAGGCAAAAATCTGGAAATGCTTCCCGTTGAGGACATCGAAAAGTACGTCGAGAACATCAATACCGAGAAGCAGGAGGAGGCAGCGAGCAAAAGGACAGGTAGAACGCCAGGGACTGGCACTGCGGCCATATTGACGCGGTCTGCGGGTGAGGGGGCGTCATGAGAGGAGAAGCAGTAGCCTTGAAACCAAGCGGCATTGGCGTTTGGAAGAAATAGAGCGCTAAAGATGATGTATGTTTACAAGAAAGATCGTCAGGAATGGCGCTGCAATGGAGCATATGAGATAGCCGAAGCTCAAAAACAACACATACTTCACGCCTCACTGGCTGACAGCGCTTTCTCCGCCGCTGATAGCCTCCAAAAAAAAGAACCCTCCCATATGCCATTGCGCCGTGGAAGAACCCCATTCATTACTCTGTGACGTGTTCAACCTAGGCGATTTGCAGCGTCTTTCACGTCAAATATAGTTCGATGTTCTTCTTGTCGAACTCGTTCGTCTTTGATCATTCTAGAAGGCCGTCAGCATTGTGAGCTCTTCTAGACTAAATGCATTGTACCTAGAATCTTTCCGAATATCTTCGCCTTCGACTTGAAGAGACGGTTTCGGGGTGAGGGCATCGATGACAAAGTGATTATCGCAATGAGGACAGTATTCGTCGCTAATCTGTTTAGTAAGTGTGGAAGATATAGTAGGCATGACAACGCACCTGTCTTCGAACTCGCGTGCGTCCTTGCGGAAAGCTTTCTTGCACTTTTTACACACAAATGTCATCTCGAAGCTTTGGAGTAGACCATGGTCTTGTGTTTCGTGGTGACATTCGGCGCAGTCGAACCATTTACGGCAGCAAGGCGAACGAATCGCAACTTGTGCATTCAGAACGTGTTTACTAGACTCCTGTCAGCCATATATTGCATTTATGATCCACGAGACTACTGACCACATGCTGGATAATCGAGTGTCGTTATGGCCAACGCGTTTGAGACATCAGGATCGGTGTGCACTCCAGGCCCCCAGATAATAATTAGTAGCTCAAAAATTACTGACAACTGCCAAGTTTACTAAGGTAGGGGAGTGGGAGGTGGGAGGTGGGGGGTAAGTAGCTACTGTAGGTAGGGCTTTAGGTATTTAGGGCGGCTCTAGGTTAATTAATTAGGCAGATGGATCCCTAATTCGGGGGAGCCAGGGAGTCTGCGGAGATGATCGGCAGCTTGTGGCTTGTCAGTCACTTCACATTGCGCGTTGGGTCACAACGTCTTTTTCATAGCATTCTCTACAAACCGCATCCACGAGCCTTGGAATATTCGTCACACGCCAAACTCTCATACTGAATATCCTGCTGGGACCTAACCTCTCATTGCCCTCACGAACCGTTCTTCTATCCTTACGCAGCCCGCTCGGTACCGCCCTTATAATCACACGACAATACAATTCGTCTCAGGCTTCAAACAGCTCCCAATCGCGCGACACCTCCTAAACCTGACCAACAATCGACACTAGAATGCTCACCTGAGTAGAAATAAATAGAAGAAGCTTTAGAGTGCCTACAGGCGCCTCCTACAAGATCATTGCGCGGCATGAAGTAGTCGAGCTTTGCGTAGTCCTCATATGGCCTGTTCGAAAGGAAAGCTATCCGCGAAAACACTCAAGTATTTGCGACCTCCACGGAGTCGGTCTATCGCGAGCCGGGACTTCGGGTTACTCGTTCAGTCAAACACTCGACCATAGCGGTGCTAAAAGATGGCGGAGAATGGGGATGAGAAGACAGATGATTCCTCCATTGTTCGTACCCAGCAACATGTGCATGTTCAATGCTGACGGCATATAGAAACCTGTGTCATCGCTGCGTTCTCTGTTTGAAAATGCTCCTGGAGCAAAGCGTGCGCCTTCAACAACACCTAGATCCACCTTACGTCACGCCAGTACCTATGTTGACAAACTCGAGTCGGCGGACGATGCAAGATCACGAGCGGATGGTAGGATATCTTTAGACATGGCTCGGCCTCCTGGGCCAGCCAATACTGCCTTCAATAGCTCGTTGTTACGAGCAACCCATCTTTCGCCTACAACGAGAGCACCACAAGATCTACAATTTTCGTCATCCAAGCCGCGACCGCTGTCTATGGGGCCCATGTCCCCTCCTCGATCGCCGCCAAAAGTAACAGTCGACTCGCCAAATTCTCCAACGAAGAAGCCCAACCGTAATGCTTACTTCACGCCTGCTCGTTATAGACCTGAAAACACCAATGCGACCGAGAGACATGGCACACAGAAGCCGCTGCGGACGCATTCTCCTTCAGGAGCGCGGCACTTTCGGATACCGAGCCGGGCCACAACCCCTTTTCTAGAGAGCCATCATGCGCCGTCGGTACAGCCTGTTGCCTCAGCTGAACTTTCTAATTCCTCCAAGAATCCGCTCCACGCTGAACGAGATACTCAGCATCCAGCTCTCAAACCTTCTCCTATACCTCCGCCAATAAATAGAGCAGGAAAACCAAAGATCCCTGCCAATAAGCTCATGGCGATTGAGTGTACGCAGAAGGACCTTCAAGTGCCACTTAAGAAAGCCGAGGCCGCCGATGAGGGCATATCACCATTCAGTACTCCTCCTAGCAGCGACACGAGTCCACATAATTCGCCGCCCTTTGCTGACCAAACCTCGAAGCCTCGTCATAATGGTTCCAAGTACACGGCGTCGAGTAGGAGCGAGTATTTTCCACAGTCTATTCCGCAGCGCCATGATCAGAAGCCTACGATCTCGCCATCTTCAAATACCGTTGGGAGGGCTGTTCAGCCTACGAAGTCGAAGTATGAAGCAAGTAGTAAATCATTTGACGCAGAAGATGGTACAGATGAGAGACCTGACTTGCCACCGCGACGCGAGCTCACGAATGCTGAGACTCGCAATGCTTCAGCCAAACTTCGCCCGCGAGCGCCTGAACCTCCTCCACCTCGTAGGTCGATGGACACAATGCGCCCACCTCCAATAGAACAAAATCAAAGGCATGCGCCCGCACCGCAGCGAAACTCGGCCGTACCATACAGTCAAGTATCTGCACTAAACCTAGCGCACAATGCATCGACGGAGGCAATGAAAAGTAATGCTTCTCTACCCTATGATTCTGACGATGTCAGTGATGCATTGGAAAGGACTGGACAGCCATCTGTCGACTATCCAAACTCTTCAGAGGCTAACAGGCGACCCCCATTGTTCCGTAAAGGTCCCAGTGAAATCCCGACCAAATATGAATCAAAACTTTTTGGGGTGTGTGGCGATTATATATGTACTACTGGATACGTGACACGTGTCTGGGATGTCTTGACAGGCCAGATACTCGTCAGCTTAAGTCACGGGGAGACTGTAAAAGTCACCGCTATGGCGTTTCGACCTGCAGCTGACGTCGAAGACGAGGGCAAGCGTATCTGGCTGGGTACAAATATTGGCGAGATTCACGAGATCGACGTCCCAAATAATGTAATTGCCCAAACTAAGCGCAATGCTCATACCAACAGAGAGATACTCAAGATGTATCGATGCGCGGCAGAGATGTGGACTGTCGATGACGATGGGAAACTCCAGGTGTGGCCATCTGATGAGTCCGGGTCACCATCCCTAAACCAGATGCCTCACAGCTTTCGGGTGCCCAAAGGCCATACCTTTTCTATCGTAGCTGGCTCCTGTCTATGGTACGCGACTGGCAGAGAAATTAGGGTATTCCAGAGAGACAGCGTCCATCATACATTTGCACCCCTGTTGCAGACATGCCTCAGTCAAACTAACGTTGGTGAGGTCACTTCTGGAGCGATGATACCTAGCCAGCCTGATCGAATATATTTTGGACACAATGATGGTAAAGTCACAATATACGACCGATCGGACTACACTTGCCTAGGAGTGGTCAATGTCAGCGTATACAAGATCAGCTCTCTTGCTGGAATTGGCGACTACCTATGGGCCGGGTATTATACTGGCATGATCTATGTCTACGACACGAGGTGCACGCCTTGGAAAGTGAAAAAAGACTGGGTGGCGCACGACAAAGCAATTCACGGCGTTTCTGTTGATCGCACTAGCATCTGGAAACTTGGTCGACTCCAAGTTGCATCGTTCGGCGCAGATAATATGCTACGATTGTGGGATGGTATGCTACAGGATGATTGGCTGGGTAAACTTTCCGCCTCCAGCTGATTCCAATCGACTAACATGAACCGCAGACGACAAAATGCAGCAGTGCGATCAAGACTACTGTAACTTTCGCGAGATATCTGCTGTGGTAATGACCTGGAATGCAGGGGCAAGTAAACCTACAAGCCTGCGGCATGATCCGCGAGGCACTGACTTCTTCAAAAACCTTCTTACAACACAGGACACCGTGAGTACGCCAGAGATACTAGTCTTCGGATTCCAGGAACTCGTGGATCTAGAAAACAAGAAGGTCACAGCAAGCAAGTATCTCTGCTTCATATTGAGGACCTGTTCTAACCAACGCCCTAGAGAGCTTTTTTAAGAGCAAAAAGAAAGACTCGTACGACCAAGAGCATATTGGCCACCAATACAGAGCTTGGAGAGATCACCTTGTCCGCTGTATCGACGACTATATGCCAACCGATACCCCATATGTTCTTCTCCATTCGTCAAACCTGGTGGGGCTCTTCACCTGCGTCTTTGTTAAAGCATCGGAGCGAAGTCGTATACGCGAGGTTTGTGGTGCCGAGGTCAAACTTGGCATGGGTGGACTTCATGGCAATAAGGTCTGTTTCATGGACCTTCTCCCGAGTTTAGACTTACATGATGGCTAGGGTGCATTGATTGTGCGATTCATACTCGATGATACTTCCATGTGTTTGATCAATTGCCACCTAGCAGCGGGACAGACACAAACAGCACATCGAAACAAAGACATCGCTCAGATCCTGGAGGCCTCAGCACTTCCATTCCAACGTGACGAAACAGCTCGCTCTGAAGTCTTCGTAGGAGGTGGAGATGGGTCTATGATTCTTGATCATGAGATTTGTATTCTGAACGGGGACCTAAACTATCGCATTGACGCCATGGGACCAGATGCAGTGAAGAGAGCGGTACAGCAGAACAATCTTGCAAAGTTGTTGGAGCGCGACCAACTACTTCTTTCGCGAAAAAGAAATCCTGGCTTTCGATTGCTTGCATTCAATGAGTCACCCATCACGTTTGCACCTACATACAAATACGATGTTGGGACGGATACTTACGATACGAGCGAGAAGAAACGCTCGCCAGCATGGTGCGATCGACTACTCTATCGGGGCAGAGGCAGGATACGGCAGCTTGATTACAAGCGGCACGAAGTAATGACTTCAGACCATCGGCCAGTCAGTGGAAGATTCAATATCCGTGTCAAAATGATCGACAAGCAGAAGAGAGGCGGCTTATTGAAACGATGTGAAAAGGAATTCGAGCAGGTGAAGCAGCGAATTGCGATGGATATCAAGTTAGTACCTCACGTTCAAGCTCGTGCCCAGGTCTATACTGATGAATGTAGGCTTGACTATCTCGTCAATGTTTTTGGCTTATCTCACAAGGAAGCCAAGAAACTTCTCCTACAGTGAAAACGTCAGACCTTGATACCCTAGGCTTCATTCTTCATAGCGACTACTAGCGTGGTACATTTGCAGCATTTTTGCGTTTGGCCGTTATGATCAGCAGCCCTGGTAGCATTTTATGGCGTTCCAATACGGGTCAGTACTTGTATAAGTCTGAAAAAGTCTCTTGCAGACGGCTTGTGTGTGTTTATAATCGAGTATGATGTCTATAACGATGATCATAAGTCGTAGAGGCAAAACTGAATTATACCCACGAAGGTCATAGTGCATGTCTGGTCGATTGACTACGTACGTTTAGCCTCTTGAAGAGGATCCGTACGCTGATTTACCTCGCTCTGTAAGAATCAAAGTTATAAGAGCGCTGTGATGGCACTGCGCGGCTGGCTCTAAGGTCAATACAATAATACTACCTGCGTCGATCTTCTGGCGGGCGGATCTGGGGAAATGGTATTAATGAAACAGACAGTGTGCTGGTAGCTGATCGGCCCCAGACTTTTGTCCAGCAGTAGCATCACCAACGTCCCCTAACTCGAAAAATGATGGCTGTTATTCTGGACCTTGAAACATTGGTATGTTCACTATATACATTCCGATGGGGGTGATACAGTGGACGTATTGAGCAAATCATAGTAGGCACGCTCGTCTATACGATCGAAAATATGATGCCGTGACATGTGTTGACGTCACGACGGGTTCATGAGACAGATTGATGTGCTACTCGCTACGCCATGCGCCGCGAAGCACGTCCCATGTTCGCATGCATCAAACTGATGTCGATGACCAGCACATTTTAATTGGAGGCGGAATGGCCGTACTGTTTCTTCGTCATGGCGTCGTAAGGCTGCACTCCTGAGAAAGCAGTCAAGCTTGGAAGCGACAAGCCTTGCTGCCATTCCTGCCTGTGCAGCCATAAAATGGCCGCTCGCGTACTCCATCGACGCCCTACCACTCTTTGCAAACATATACCGCTTTATTTCAATCGGAACGGCACTCCATTAGCCTTTGCAAACATGCCTCAAAAACGTAGCGCCTCAGGTAATCCGAAAGACCAACAGGACAGAGGTGACGAGACTGAGGGTATCAGCGAGTGGAAGAAACGCGCGCCATACAAGATACACGATTCGAACGAGGACTTTCCAGTTCGATATGAAGCCAGCTGCCATTGTGGCCAGGTGAAGTATCAATTGAAGCGTGAAACGCCATTGGCTTCAAAATTATGCCACTGCACGACGTGTCAGACTCAGCATGGTAGGGAAACGACATGCCAATCCTGTCAAATTTCTTGCCACTGATTGTCATCACTAGCTGCCCCCTTCCAGTGGGCTGCCATCTTCCATAAAGAGGACATCAACTTCAGTCACGGTCATCACAAGCTCGAGTGGTACGACCCAACTGAGAAATCGATCGAGCACAAGTTACCATGCAAAGTGCGATGCTCATATTGCCATTCGCCGATCATGGATGAAGGGCGCAAGATGATACTTCTGTTTCCGACACTGATTCACTTCAAGAAGGATAGCGACAAGGAACGTTTCAAGCCACAGTAAGTCCATGTAGCCATATGTGCTTAACAAAACACGCTAATAGTTGCATAGATGCCATATGTTCTACAACGAGCGAGTCATTGACATTCCTGATGGTCTGCCGAAGTGGACGGGCTTGAACGATTCGAGTGAGCTCATAGAAGACAGCCCACCAGAGATGGTAAAGGAGCTAGAGAAGAAAAGAGAAAATGAACAGAAAAAGAGTGAGAAGAGCGAAAAAGAGTGAACTGAAGGGTCGTGAATCCATTATTCCTGGACGGGAGGAATGTATGTGTATTTATAGCCTACCAATCAAATAAGGCTCTTGTGTCACCCAACCGGGTCTAGTGGTGCGGGCCCACCCACTCGCTATAACGTCAATTGGTCCGAACAACAAATGTGCTCTTATTGCTCTTATACAATACGGCTTTATCACCTCACCCACCTTAGCATGACTGAGGTAGTTTCCATCTTACAATCATCTGTGCTGGTGACACTGGTAGCGCGCATCGGGAGTCAAACAGGGCAAACACACCTGAGCCCGTTTCGGGCCGACTTTGCTTTCAGTTTTCAACCTTGACTTTGGACGACTGTTCACTTTAATAAGACAGATAACACTTTCTGGTTCACTTCACTGCTTAGGCTTTGCTTGTCATCTATATGGCTGTTCACGGCAGTAACCCTGACTCCGGCTTGACGCAGTTGACCTGAACTTTGCCTATCACTTCAAGTCAGATCTACCACCTACCTCCCTGCTCCATCCATCACTCCGCTGCTACTACGCTGCAACTATAACCGCATCATGCTATCTTTTAGACTTTCATACTTTAACCATCTGTCAGTCAGTGCCACTAAATTGAAAATCTCGACTTTGAAGCCAGACTTGTAAGTACTGAAAGTGGACTTCAATCCCAATGGCTCCCAAGAGAAAGCCCGAAAACACACCTCGTGAGATCACCAAAAGAACGAAACCGGGGAAAGAAGATCCATACAAAGACGCCCCCGGATACGTGGGTGATGGCTTCTGGATATGTGCGCAGATCCACGAAGAGCGCAAGCTAGAAATCACACGCAAACGAAGAGCGTGCTCATCAGGGAGGACACGAGCAAAAGCCGCGCCTCTCTACAAGACTGAGTACCTAGTTGAATGGGGAGGCTATGATCCGGAGACGAATGAGAAATGGCCTTTCACGTGGGAAACGAAGCCAAGCGAGGATGCTCTCGAGAAATGGGAGAGAAGGAAGGCAGAAGACGCATCATTGAAAGACAAACAGAGCAAAGCTAAGGATGAAGAGACACTACAAGCTCACAGTGAGAAGGTAGCTGAGTTGACTGAATCCCCTCCTTTGGGTGAGCAGTCCACGTCAGATTTAGGCAGTATCATTGCTCATGAGAGCTCAGTGGACCAAGATCCTGATGCGAATCAACCCGTACCAACGGACGAGACACATAAAGCAAAAGAATCGGCGTCTTTCCCCAAGCTGCTCGAGGCAGCCGGTACAGAGATACTTGCATGTACCGACAACGCAGCTGATGTCTCCGACCACGAAGTACCTGTTGTCGTCGAGGAGGCTATACCCGCGCAAATCGATAGCATAGCTGACGCATCTGAGCTGGCTGTTGATTCTGATGAGTCCGGACTGAGAAGACATATTGCTCTTGACGAGGCAAGGGCAGAAGGTCGTGATTCTTCTCCTACAAATGGTGATCGAAATGCTTCAGACAGTGGGTGTATGGGAACTCTGCCAGCTCATACGCCCAGAGTGATAGCTAGCATTAGCAATATCGCAACGACGCATCTTGAATCGCCTCATCGTGCTCAAGTCATGACAGAGGCTGCATCGACAAGCAGCGCAGCTTCTCTGGTAGCATCTGACTCGCAGGGAAGCACGCGCGAAGCACAAATCTGTTTAACTCCAGACACAGAGCCAGAGAGTCAGACGGATGGAGCGAAGCGCAGTGATGCTGAACAGACCAGGGACTTGTTGCTGTCGAAAACGGTCTCCAGTGTTGACGAGCGCAAAAGTGAGAGACGGTCACATTCATCGCGAAACAAAGCAGGATGTGGCTCAGGAAAAGTGGCTTGTAAGGAGGCCCGTGCGCAGACCTCGCCTCAAGTAGACGCAGCAGATGAACCATTACGGCCATTTGCATTCCAAACACCGGACAAAACTACCAAACCAACCTCTCTTGTCTCCTCACTGTCGGTATCAAGTGTGTCTCCAAAGAGTCTCCTGAACAGTACCGAAGGCTGCTCCTCATGTCCAAGCACCAAAGTCTCACGTGAAGAAGCCGATCCGCATTCCGCCGTTGTCGTATCTACGACTTCAACCAGTCTCGCAAAAGTAAGTGAGGGTCTTCTAGTTGCACCGAAATCAGATAGTATCACTGTTCTGCGGCATTCTGTACAGACAAAGGCAGACTTGGAACTCGACAATCGGATTAGCTCGTTTCGCAAGTCGAAGGATCGCCAGGACGTGGGCCCTTCTGCCAAATTGAACATGCCGGAGGATCCACGTGGTAAGCTACAAACATTGTTCGATCCCGAAAAGAAGATCAATACGAAGGATAGAATGTTGGCCCTTGTTGCTCGCAATCAGGCACTGGCATCAACGGCTCCAGTTGCCAAAGCCGAAGCTCCTGCCGCCCCTTCAACAGGCGAGACACCAGAAAAACCAAAGAGTATAGAGGAGAGAGCTAAATCAGCAGCACTAGCATCTCCACCACCTTCAAAGAAAGCGCCGGGAAGTATAGACGACAAAGCTGAAGCCGCAGCAGCAACGACAATATCGTCGCCGATGGCCTCGAAAGGAGCTCCAGAGGACAAAGCTAAAGCAGAATTGGCATCTCCTCCACCTATCAAAGTACTGGAATGTCTAGAGGACGAACATGTCCAGGTCCACGAGCCATTAGCCAGAGTAGGCGAGTACCTCGTCCCATTGTTATGCAGTCACCCGTACGTTGTACAGCGCTACGATGGCATATTAAGCGAGAACGAGGAATCAATCCTCAAAATCCAAGCGAATCCAGGAGACCCAGAGGCTGTGAATAGTATGGAGAAATTAGTGACAGAGCTTCGCGATATTCTGGCAAACTATGAGATGTCATATTGCTCTAGCGTCGAAGAAGTGCTTCACGGCATAACGGCAGCAGCGCTTGCTCCAGCTTGGGAGGAGAAGAATCCCAAATTTAAATTCCTTGGAGCCTTCATCGAAGGATGCAGAAATCTTAGGCTCCATGCGGTTATCTACGCAAGGCCCGGCCTGCTACTTGGACTACTTGAAATTTATCTACAAGCGAAAAGAGTCCGCTACGCTCGACCCGACATGGAGTCAGGTACTCAGGCTCATACGCATGACAGCGATGGTGAACTCAGCTTCTCCATCCTCTCCACCAGTCATGAGAGCGAGAAGGCCGTCGTTCGCGCAGCAGATATTATCCTGTGTTTTGACAGTTCGTACAGCTTGGCCAGCCGACAAATACAGCATCTCATGAAGGCATCTGCGCGCGGCACAACAGTACCTTTACTAGCGCTCGTGCCCATCAACTCTATCGAACATGTGGAAAGATGCATTCCCAGGGAAGGGATCGATGCCATTAGATATATGTTGACGCTCCTTCAGTGCGCACACAATCTGCGAGAGGACTTTAAGAATGTGGACTACTACAGCGCCAAAAGCGAACTGTGTGACGCTGAGGAAGCAGGCGTTGCGATCTCTACAGCAATTGGCGCGTCGGATGGCGCGTCTCCTGATCTAACATTTCTGCCAGCTCTTGAGGATATCACGGATCGATTTATCGGAGAATCCTCATCTGACTCGGAAACATCTGCTCAATCTGGCACATTGTCTGCGCAGCCTCTGCCTCCAGGGAAACGACCTCATGACAGCGATGAGGATAGTGAGCCCAAAAGAGTTCGGATGTCTGAACCAGAAAGGAGACAGCATATAAGCGGCGAAAACGCTTCCACTGTTCCCGGGGATAAACCTGTGCTGATTGCAGCCGATGTCGAAGACGTCCGCATGCCTGATGCGACTGCAGCCCCGTCACCGCCAGCAAACGTCGCACCATCAGTACAAGAAGAAACCGTGCCCTTGCGTCGACTGCGAGACTACGAGCGATACCACGAAGACCTCCTCACAAGACACGACGAACTAAAGGAACAGAGCCACGAGCTCCGCCGCGAAGTCGAAGCACTGAAAGCCGCAGCCCTCCGCCAGAAACAGATCGACGAGCGCCGCACGGAGCAAGACAAAGTCAAACTCGAAACCATCGAAACCCTACGCAAACAGCTCTCCGACGCAACAAACACCCTCAAATCCTCCACCGATTCCGCCAAAGCCGAAGTCGCCACTCTCCGCAACGAGCATGCCGCCCTGGCCGCCTCCCTCAAGAAAGCCGAGTCCAGCAGCGCAAGCGACAAGAACGTGGCCGAATACCTGCGCGACCAGTACGAGGCCGCACGCCAGGCCGCCACGCAGGAGAGCCAGACCTCCGCAGCACTACAGGCAGAGAATGCCCAGTTGACGGCCAGGCTCGAGGTCGTGACGCAGGATGCGAGGCGCAAGTCGGCCGAGACCCGCGCGAACATGTACCTGGCCGAGCTGAAGGCGCAGCAGCAGGAGGTCAGGGCTCTGCAGGCGCTGCTGGTGCGCAAGGAGGAGGAGATTAGGAAGTTGCAGAGTGGGCGGAGTGGCATGGGTACGCGGAATGGGAGTGTGCCGAGGAGTCCGATGGTGGGTGCGAATCAGGGGAGTAGAGGGAATAGTCCGATGCCGAGTGGGGTGGGGAGGGTGAATGCTTTGCGGAACGGATGATGGCTTCTCTGGATCTGGTCTGATCTGAATACCCATTTGACGACTTGAAACGAATCGACGGGGGGTTTTAGAACGGTGGAGGGTACTTTTCATACTGTACATCCGATTTCTCTTGGGATATCAGTTTCGGAATCTGCGTATGATGTGGTGTTATGGAGCACCTGAGGAGTTGCTGCTATGACAGAATCGCTTCGGTTGTTGGGCTATATACCAAAGCTACGTCACGCTATGTATCACTGCACATTTTACACATCTTTCCTAGTCTCCCTTCCGCACATGGGTGCGAATCATTTCACTTGAACCGCTTTTCAGCTGCCTTCCAGTTGATGACATCCCAGATGGCACCAAAGTACTCGGCCTTGCGGTTCTGATATTGCAGACTGCATATCCACATTAGCCAAAATTTCCATACCAAATCTTCTCCAAGAAACCACTTACTAGTACGCATGCTCCCACGCGTCAATGCCCAACAACGGCCTAAACTGACCCACCACCGGATCCTGATTCGCATACGTCTTGATTCCAATCTTGCCCGTCTGCGTGTCCTGCACCAGCCAGGCCCAGCCGGACCCCTGAATGCCCGCCAGCGCCGTATTCATCTTCTCCTTCAGTCCATCCAGGCTGCCAAAGCTCTCGTCAATCTCCTTGGCCAGGGCGCCCGCGGGCGGCTCGCCGCCCCCTTGGCTCTTGGGCGCCAGGTTCTCCCAGAAGAGCGAGTGGTTGATGTGGCCGCCGCCGTGGAAGTTGATGAGCGGCTGCAGGGCAATCTGCTTCTGGTAGTCCTGGCCCGCCTGGGCCTCGGCGAGCTGGGTGCTGAAGTTGTTGAGCGAGGTGACGTAGGTGTTGTGGTGCTTGGAGTGGTGCAGCTCCATGATTTGGCCGCTGATGGCGGGCTCGAGGGCGCCGTAGTCATCTGTTTTTGGCGTGTTAGTGCTTGGTCGTTCGTGAGGTTGTTGTGCGGATTGGATTTATGGGGTATGGGGTATGGGAGGCGGCGTACATGGGAGGTCGGGCAGGGTGGCTTTGCCGCGGGTGATGGTCATGCCTGAGAGAGCGGCTTTCTTGGAGCTGGTGGTGGTTGCGGTGCGGAGGGCAGAGCGCAGGGCGGTGGTGCGGAGGAGTGTGGACGACATGGTTGTTGTTGGAGACGGTCAATTGGAGATGTCTGCAGAGTGTGTGTGGTGGTGTGAAATGGACGAGGAGGTTGTTGCAGACGAAATGTGTTTTGGTATTGTCAGATGTCTGTCAACTTACGTCAGAGAGTGGTCCAAGCTCCTTTGAAGCTACCAACCTACTAGTAGGTTAGGGATGCTCAAAGAAATGGTGCGGATATGCAGATGGGTGCGTATTTATGAGCACGAGCAGCCTATATATCATCCGGGACGTTCAGCAGCAAATCCGCCGATCAGCGCAAGTATGAGACATCGACATCACATCATCTTCTCTTCAATCTGTACCTCCAGCCTCAAGTCTCGGTTCTGTGTCGACGCACCTCTTCGGCGATCCTTTCATAGCAACATGCCGAAATTGGAAGCCATAGTCCCTTACTCGAGGACTGCAAAGGTAACTTCTGTCACCGACTTACCGACCGAAGAGGCAAAATGGTGTAGTCTGAAGAAGATTGCCTATGAAGACGAGACGGGCAAATCTCGACTGTGGGAGATGGCCGAGCGACGCACTCGTGGCAAGGCTGGTGTCGATGCTGTCGCCATTGGCAACATCATTCTCCACCCGTCACGCCCTCCGTCGACCGTGCTCGTCATCCAGTACCGTCCACCGCTAGACGCCTACACGGTGGAATGGCCCGCGGGCTTGGTTGATGCAGACGAGACAGTCGAGCAGGCTGCTATCCGGGAGCTCAAGGAGGAGACCGGCTATGAAGGCCGAGTACTGAGCATCAGTCCCATTGTGGCATCAGATCCAGGCTTGACGAACGCCAACATGCAGCTGTGTATGATGGAGGTCAAGTTGAAGGAGGGTGACCCAGAGCCAGAACAACGCCTGGATGACGGGGAGCACATCACTCGGGTCACCGTACCACTGTCCGAGCTATACGACAGACTGGTGGAGTATGCCAATACAGACCGAATGACTGTGGCGGCAAAACTGCACCATTTCGCTGCGGGTATGCACTTCTCGAAGACAGCAGGATTTCCATGAAGTTCTGGTATCCTGATGCACGACAAATCACGCTCTGCTTGGTGAACAGAGACATTTGCGGCCAAAGCGTATAGAAAGCCTATAGATGCCGACGAATAGTAAATACTAAAAAGCCAATATAAGGCAACTGAGTCCCCACGGACTCGCCAGTCAGCCATTAGAGATAACATTCCTTCTTCCGGTGCTATACTCTAAATGGAACGATTCAGCACCAACATACAGTGCCAGTACTGTAATATTGCGTTGCGTTGATGACGGACTGTCAACATGTGGCGTAAAGTAAAGTATTGTGGCGTAAGCTGTTCCTGATAGATTGTCGCCCGGTGGAGCTGGATGATCCACCGGGCACGCGACTGGCTCTTCATGTCACCATCCGTACACATTCTTTACAGGCTCTTCATCCTCATGCCCCAACAGATTCTCTACATGTGCGCACAGCACCCATTGTCCCGACTCGATTCTACGACGGAGCTCAAGCCTCTAACCAGGCTTCATTAGTCTCATCGTCTCCAAATGCTCTATATATAGCTACCCCTCCAAACATCCCCGCACCGAACGGACAACAACAATGTCGCTTCAGATCGTTCACCTGCCGAACGGCCAGAACCTGCAAGTGAGTCCGGTGTTTGGAGGACTGTTCTTCAAGTCAAGCGAGCTGAGCCATACGCATTCGCCATTCCCTGCCGGCTGGACCATCGTACTCAACTCCGAAGATGGCGACGAGGACGAGGATATGGAAGATACTGCTGCGTCTGAGCAGATGACAGACCAAGAGACGAGAAACAAGAGGATACATCGCTTCCGGAGACCTACGCTCCGTAATGACCACCTCTACATCTCGTCGATCTCCAATTCGAACAGCAATGACTTTAAGCCTGCTGGTTCGCCGACACGACAGATCGCCATGATGCTATGGGCCACCTTGTGGTGGTACTTCCACCAGCCTGAGCCGGACACACGTATTACCACGAAGCAGTCGATGTATACGGCTGAGGAGGGCAAACCACGCGGGGACTGGAGGATCAATATCAACCGTGAGGGGATATTCAAGGGCAAAGTTCTCCTGCCAAAGCTAGAAAGGATGGGTCTCATAGCCAGTGAAGACTCTACCGTTGGACTAGACCAGGGAGACAAAGTAGGAGAGGGATGGCTACACATGTTCGTCAGCCGGCGGACTTTCTGGCAACTCGATCCACGCCTCTACCTTTACACCTCAATCGCCCTCGCCCACTCTCCATATCTCACGGGCTCGCCATACACCTCCCGCCCTAGCTCTCCAAGCAATGACCCCAAACACGACTCTCCAGACCCCCAACCGCCCACATCATCCGGCCTGTGGTCTTCCTCCGTCCAAGGCCCCTTTCACTCTACCTCCCACCTTCCCACATACTTCCCACCACCTCCCCAGCAATACACCTTCACAAACCACGTTCGCCACCCAATCCGTCCCAAACCCCCGCGCCAGGGAGAAGTCTTCTACACCCGCTACATTCCCTCTCTCGGCCAGTACCTCTCCTTCCGCGTCGCCTCCCTAAGCCCGAAAGCACCGCCTCACCGCGGACCCAGCGCAGCGACACCACCCTCCGTCGCCCAATTCCGCCACTCGCAGCTCGACTGGCCACCGACATCCGGTCCCGCGCCCCAAGGCCCGTCCGACCTCGATCTCCTGCACAAATGGATGAACGAGCCCCGCGTATCCGCAGCATGGGGCGAGGCCGGCCCGCGGGCACGACAGGAGGCGTTTCTCAAGGCAAGCCTCTCGTCGCGGCATTCGTTCCCGGTCATTGGCTGCTGGGACGGGCGGCCGTTTGGCTACTTTGAGCTGTACTGGGCAAAGGAGGACATGCTGGGGCGGTACGTGGACGGGATCGGACATTTCGACCGCGGCATACACTGTCTTGTGGGCGAGGATGAGTTTAGGGGGCCGGCGCGGGTGCGTGCCTGGTTGAGTGCGCTGGTGCACTATTTCTGGCTAGTGGATGGGCGGACGGACTGTGTGATTATGGAGCCGAGGGTGGACAATGTAAAGTGAGTAAATTACCTTTGGTCGTGGTGGTGGTGGTGGTAGTGGTGGGGTTGGGGCGTCTCTTGTTCTCGTTCGCAAAGTGAGGGCTTTTGCTAAAAAAAATGTTTGTTGTGACAGGTTGACGCAGTATTGCTTCGAAGCCGGGTTTTACAAGGAGCGCGAGATTGCCTTTCCGCATAAGCAGGCGAGTCTGCTGAAGATTAGGAGGGATGCCTGGGAGGCGCCGGTGATATGAGGCCGATGGTTGAATTGGACTGTGGAAAGACGGCGTGCGTGCGTGCGTGCGTGCGTGCTTGCTATGATGGAGCGTTGTCCAGGGGTGTGTGTGCTCATTCATTTTTCTGGGGGTCAGGTTTGGGCATGTATAGAAGATACCACCACCAACAGTCGCCCTCGTTCCAAGACATTAACGTAGCATTCGTTTCTAGCTGATTACATTACTGTCATGTCGTAGGGCTCGGGACATGTTTACTCTTGTCACCCATATTACTCATAAATATATCCCGGGGCAGAGTCAAAAGGCTCGGAGCCACCCCACCCAATCACTCCATCACCCACTCCTCCGCCACAGCCTTCAAATCATCCGCATTCACCAAATCCACCCCACAATCCCACAACTCCCTCCAAACCGCATTCCGCGTCCCGACAGGCCACCCCGGCAGATCCCAGTACCGCGTCAGAATCCCGCGCGCATGCGCCGCCTCAACCTGCGCCCTCACGACAGCCCTCTGCGTCTCATTCAGCCTGCCCGCTCTCGCCTCCCCCACGGCAGCCGTAAACGCCGTACTCGCAATCGGGGCCTCAAACCGCGTTACATTGCTCTCGCTCGTGTCGAGCAGGGCAAGATGCGCGTCGTAGAATGCGTAGCGCGGGGATTGCGCGCTTGCGGGCGCCTGGACGAGCGCGAGCGGGGTGTTGCCCGTGCCGACGACGGTGATGGGGCCTGGGCGTAGTGTCTCGCCGTCGTAGGTGGTTAGGTAGTCTGCTTCGCGGAGCGGGGCGAGGGCGGATAGGACGGCGGGCCAGGTTTCTGGGCCGGGGGTCTTGAGGTCGATGAAGAGGTAGAGGGTCTGGGTGGAGGTGGTGTCGTAGACGCCGTTGCGGGAGGGGGGCGAGGAGGAGGAAGAGGAAGGGGGGTTTGAGCGGTGGAGGGTGTCGAGGATGGGGTTTATGTAGAGGGCTGTGAGGGTGCGGGCGGGGGTGAGGGCGGCGGGCTCGTGGCCGACGAGGAGGGCGGTGTTGTTGACGAGGTAGACGTCTGCTTCGATGCTGATTGCGCCGTGGGAGAGGGCGGTGTAGAAGGGGACGTCGCGCCAGTAGTCGTTGTGCGAGTGGAATGCTTTCTGGGGGGTTTCATGCCGTGTGAGTACGGGGGAAGTTGTTCTTGGTTGTTCTTGGATATGTCTGCTTACTGGGATGATTCCTCGCGTGAAGTCTGTGGGATAGCGGTATAAGTCGTTACTGGCGGCGTTGTCGAGGATGTTCTGTAGAGCGCTGCTACCGCTGGTCGCCATCGCGGCTGTGACAGCGAGACATGCCGCCAGCAGACCGCCTGTCAGAATACTCGCAGACTTGAATGCCATGTTCGCCGCTGAGGTATCTAGTACCAATTGGAGATCCACGGTGGGCAAACAGAAGAGAGAAGCCTGAATTGGAGAGCGGGTGTATTTAGTACATCATAGTCCGTTTCGTGGATCGCGCTGAAGTGAATGGGATTCCCCAGGAAGTTGTAGCTTGAGCTCGGACGCTGTTTTGCCGTCATCCATCTTGCCCCAGGCTTGGCATTATAGCTTGTTTGGCCAATCAGATGCGCTGCGTGCCTACCACGTGCGGGCCCTTCCCCAGCTTGAGTCTAAGGCACCAAGGCACCAAGGCCTGCTACAGCTGAGAGTGCTTTCGGAAGGTCAAGTCCTTAGGCAGAAGAGTGGAGAGACTCGATGTTCAATGATAAGAATGCAACATGACCATGTGAACTGCTCAAGCCATCAACACCCCTATGTCATGTCAAGTCAGGTCTAAATCATGCAGTATATTGATGCAATTGTGTGTGACATGGGACCTTCATCACCCATGAATGCATAACAACCCCTCCAAGCCCAGCCCCGAAACCGCGAGGTAAAACATATACACGAGAAACAACCGTCAAATGATGAATCATCTACCATAGCTCATCCTCCTCCTTGACCATATCATCTTCCCGGAGCACCCTCTTCCCCTCCATCTTCTTCCTCTCCTTGCGATCCTTCCTCGTCACTAGATGGCTGGGCGTGACGGGCGTGATGGGCGTAAAGGGCATATACGGACTATACGGCGTGTTGGGCATGCCCGTGCGCGGCGTTGTGAGACTCAGTTTGTCTTTCCGCGCCTGTACATACGTTGTCTTGGTCGGCGTTGGGGGGACAGGTGCCAGGCCTGCTGCGTCGTGGTACGAACGGAGTGGGAGCGTGGATGTGCTGCTCGCGGCGCTCTTTGCGGGTGAGATGTTGAGCGCCGGCGGAGGCGCGAGTGTGTTTATGCGCGGGATGCGGGCGGATGGCAGAGGAGCTGGCTGGTCGCGGGCTTCTTGTGCGTATGCAGAGTCTGCGTTGCGTGCTGTGCCCTGGGATGTAGCAAAGTCGTGTGGCGATGGGATAGACGGAAGAGCTGGTGGCGGTGGAGGGTCGTAGAAGCGTGGGGAGAGAGGGGTCCGGGCTTCCTCGTCGGACTGCTCGCCTGGATATTTCTGGATCGGGCCAGAGATGCGTAGATTGTGTAGAGATTTGCGGGTTTTGCTGGAGCTGGAGGCGTCGGAGTCGCGTCGGGGGCCTCTGGAGAGGAATTTACGCGGGGAAAGGGGCGACAGTGCGGGTTCACGGCGAGCGCCTGCATTATTGCGCTGTGGCGAGCTGCGTTCTTCAGGTTGTTGTTGTTCTGCGAAGCGTGTGCTGCGAGCACTGCGTGGTGGCTCCATTGGGTGGAGAGGACGAGAGAAGCTTCTTGGAGTGGTCGCGCTCTGTGGACTGGGATATAGATCGGAGTGTTTGGCCGTGGTGTTGATCTGTAGCGGGCGTCTGTGGTCCTGGCTGGTCTGGTCCACTTCAGGATCAGTGACCATCGATTGTGCGGACTTGCGGGCTTCTTGTTCGTCTTGGTGTTCCATGACAGCAGCGTACAACCTCTCCATCTCCCGCTGTCGCTGTTCCTTGTCTGATTTCAGAACCATATGGTCGAAAGAAGCTACACTTTGCACGGTCGGACTCGTGGGGCTGCTCATGCCGCTCCTGAACGAAGGTGTCCTATGGAACTTTTTCTGGAACCACGATCTCGTTGTCGAGGCCGGGGACACTGGCGTTATATCAAACGCCTGGGATCCCGCTTTGACCATCTCTATCTCCAGGGTCAGAGGTGACAACTCCGCGTCTCGTCTCATCCTCTTGCCGACGGTCAGGAGTAGAGTCAGTGCAACCAGCACAGTCACCAGGTAGGCGCCGACTATGCCACAGATCTCCCAGGGTAACTGTTTCTTGTCTCGCAGAGCGCCCGCAGCACCCGGAGGTCCCAATTCCGGCGGAGGAGCTTTGTAGTTGTATATGTCGCTCCAGAAGCCCGACGAGGCGGCAGCTGAGACTGCAAACGTCAGAAGCACGAAGCGGTGTTTGGAGGAGGAGGAGGAGGCCAATGCAGAGCTCGACATTGCGGGGCCTTATGGGAGTCGTCGTTCTTATGGAGGAACCAGCAGTAGATATAGCAGCGATCTGCTGGTACGTCGGATGTGACGAGACAGACAGTACAGCAACATGCTGGAAAGAAGAGCAGAAGAGGGGAATGAACTAAAAGTGTATGTATACGGGATTGGTTCTTTGTCCTGGTGGTCCCGATGCGACTGGGTGGAGGAGTCTGGGGGAAGATGGTGGTACGCGGACGCTGATTGGTCGGTCGGAGCTGAAAGGCGTGCGTTGGTGTGCTCTCGTGCAGATGTTTAAGCGCCCGGCCTGGTGATGGGCAGTGAAGACCACACCACTGCGCACACTTGATTGGCCCGCTGTTTGTGTTTCTCAGACGATCCACTGCAGAGACTACTGACGAGTGACGGGGGGCGCAAGGGGAGATGCATGATGAGCCGGTTCTACATGTCCTTGTGTGCCTTCATGCGCGAGGCGTCGATGAGAGTGCGGATATAGGTACACGGATGCCCTGTCAGAGCGACAGTATAACTTCGCGTCACAGGAATATGGCTGATAGCTAGAATGACGTTTGCTGGTTTACATATATATGTCGGCTGTATGATAACACTAGATGGTATTGCTGGTACGTACTCCTGACAGCGCTACATGGTAAGCGCTCGACGTCCACAACAAAGCCAATGAACAAAGGGACAATGTCTGTCTGGCTGTAAGGCATCCATCTGCAGTCTATTAATGGAGCCCTGCACGACTGCAAGGCTGAGCATGAAACAAACCATGGGACTGCTGCCTCAATCACACACGTCCATGGATGATACTCAGTCAGCCAGTACCAACACTATCTATCTGTGAGCTTTGAAGGCATCAGCAACCGAGACGCCCTTCTCAATGTCGACCATCACACGCTCGTCGGCTGCAGTAAGTCCAGGCAAGATTTCAAGCACCGCGTCGACTTTCGACTTGGGTATGCTCACCACAGACAACTCGTTTGGGTCCATGAAGATGATATCGCCCTTTGTCACAACATAAGATTGCCTGGTGCAGAACACGACGTTGCTACGACGCCGCGAGGGAGATAGAAGTAGCTTACGGGCTCGACCAGCACCTTTCCAATCTCAACAGGCACATTGCATGCCCACGGTTTGGACTCTGCTCCCGCACCGACCGTGGAGACAGAGCGTGACCAGACCTTTTTTGTGGTCGTTCAATTCCATGGTCTTGTCTCACTCTTGCTCTCTTGGACTTACCGATAGCTTCACCTCGTCCAGGACGGGAAGATCCCTTATGCGCCCGTCTACGAGTATGCCTTGCGCGCCCAACATCTCCATGCGCTTTGCCATGATTCCGCCCATGACTGCGCAGGTTTGACCGGCTGGCTGGCTCAGGACTACGACTGTGCCGGTCTTTGTGAGGTCTGCATATGGTGTTCCCGCTTTGATGTTCTGCTCTACACTCTTGTCTGCCACGGACGGCGCCGCGGTCGCGGTCTTGGATGCGAACAGGACGGTCGATGCGGGTGCAATTGTCTTCTCGGTGCGTTTGGTTCGTTGTACTGATCAGGCTGTCAGTAGATATGCAGTATGCTCCTCGCGCTCGAGAGGAATACCTATGTCAGCTAAGAAGCCTCCATGAGTACAGCCGAGCTTGAGCAGCGCATCTGATATCTGAACGTCTCAGCCGGGCAGAGTGGCTTCAAGTAGAAGACGTACGTCGCAAGCACTGTACTTGTACAGTCTTTCAAGCTGTGTTAGCACCATGACGAGTAGTTGTAGAAGAGGAATATCAGTTCAGATATAATATAATTACTGCAGCGTTGACTGAACAGCTAGTGACTGATTACATGCCTTGCTCAGGCCTAGCTCGGTCCCAGCCAATCAGCGTCAACCTGAACCGATGACCCGCGGTTTCAGCGAAGGAGACTTTCCCTTTGACACCACAGACTCCTACTACGCAATTCATTCCATCACCAATTGCCGCTCTGTCAGCACCATCCAGCCCGCCTGCGGCATCTCGAACAAATCCCCTCCAATTTGCATCCGTATAGCTTCGCCGTAGCTCAATTCCAAAGCACAATGGGTATCACCGACTTCTTCAGCACCGTCTACGACGGCGTCTCGACGGCCTTCTCCTCCACCGAGCTGTACGCCGAAGCTCCCACCGGCGGCGTCGACAGCAAGTCCCCGGCCAGTGGCACAGACGAGGAAGGCGAGGAGGAGAGCGAGGCCAACAAGGCTGACGAGGAGAAGGCCAAGGCTCGCACCGCCGACGATGACGAGCCTGAGCAGGCTGACGGAAAGAGCGGTGACGACGAGGAGAGTGAAGAAGGTGGTGAGGATGGCGGCGAGGACGAGGCAGAAGAAGAAGAGGAAGAGGAAGAGGAGGAAGACGAGCCAGAGGACCCCATGCCCAAGATCACAGAGCGTAAGCGTCGTCATAGTTTACAATTTTCGGGATGAGCTAGTTCTGACCAGTTGCAACAGAATGTGCCGAGTCAAAGGAGTGCGCCCCGGCAAAACACCACTTCGACGAGTGCGCCGAGCGCGTTCAGGGCAAGATTGAGGCCGACGGCAAGTCTGACGAGGACTGCGTCGAAGAATGTACGTGACCAGACCGGGGGACATCCAATCCGCCAACGGACAGGGCATTACTGATCATCATGTAGTCTTCCACCTTGCCCATTGCGCATCACAGTGTGCTGCTCCCAAGCTGTTCAGACAGCTAAAGTAAAGTGCCTCGGCACGAGCCATGTTACCACGCTCTCTCCCCGACCAACCGACATGACACTTTCCTCTGCACCCTATAGACTCACGATATGGGATGGTGTTTTTGGAGAGCGAGTAGAAAAGCCGTCGTAAGAAGCCGACTGTATATATGAAGAGCATTTTGCGAATTGTACTATTGTGTAGTGGAGATGAGCATTGTGTATGCTAGCAGTCAGTATACTTGAAGGATCCGTTCTATCATCGTTAGCATCCGTACAATTTGCGACTCCACTTCGTCTACAAGGCTGTCTGATTGCATGAGGTTGTGATTCAGATTTGCATAATCGCTTCCTGAAGTATATTCATTCTACAGAGAACTTAGTCGGTCTGACACTAAAATCTAGACTCATTCGACATTGACATGACCTTCGACCTCGCCTCCTCAATGTCCACGCATACATACACAAAACAGAGTAAAGACCTGGTATAAAACACCTCACCTCACGCCTCCTCCACCTGACCCTCCTCCCCACTCCCCCCCCTCTCATCAACCCCCAACCTCCCCTTCCTCGTCCCCTCGCCCAACCCCAACCGCCGAACGCCCAACATCAACGGCAACGGCACAACCACACACGCCACAACCGCCATAAACACCAACCCCCTCTTCATACTCCCCTCCGGCTCCCCGTCCGCGCCCTTCAACGCCCCCATAACAACAATAAACACCCCGCCGAGCAACTGGCCCGCACTCCACATAACCACACTGCCCACCTCCGGACTCGCCGGCCACGCCACCTCAACCACATACTCCAGACTAACCGGCAACAACGCAAAACTGCTCGCGCCGAGCACCGCACAAACCGCATAGGGCGCCGCCAGCCCCCGCGTACCGGGCGCCCATATGAAGGCGAGGAAGCTGGCGGCAACAATGGGCACGAGCACCTTGATAGGCACGAGATGGGTGTGCAGCCGGTCGAAGAGCGGGGAGAGCAGGGCGGAGACAAGCAGGCCGACGACGATGAGGATGGCGCCTGCGATGCCGGCTTCGTCTTCGGAGAGGCCGTAGGGGGCGAGGATCTGGACGAGGAGGGAGGAGAGGGCGTTGAAGAGGGCGACGTAGATGGCGAAGGGGAGGAGGATGATGTAGAAGGGTTTGCTGCGGGCGAGGATGGAGAGGGAGTTGCGGAGAGGGGTTTGCGGGAGGGAGGAGGTTGGGGATGCGGGGGTTGGGGGGCGCGAGGGGAGGAAGAAGGCTGGGAGGGCGACGAGGGTGGACTGTGTGTGGTTTTTTTGTTTAGTTTTTGGGTAACTGAGTGGTTGCAGGTGGTAGGCTTACTATGATTGCTGTGTAGAGGACTGTGTCTGGGACTTTGCTTGCGTCTGTGGCCCAGAAGGGGTTGACCAACTGGCCAATCTGTATAGAGCAAATCAGTATATCAGATCCGCATCTCAAAAACAACACAACAACAACAACAATATACATGCAACTTACCGCTCCCCCAAACGGATTAGCAAGACTTGCCAGCGCCGTAGCAGACACCCGCCCCCGATCCGTAAACCACATATCGCTATACCGCGTCGGCGCAGTCAGCACAAACGGCTGCGCAAAGCCAATCAAGATCTGGCCAAACATGACCACTCCAAACCGAGCACTGACACTGCCCGTAATCCGCACGCCCCCATATCGGATCCAGCTGCCAATGAGCGTCAAAACACTCGCCGATACGATGGACGGCTTCGGCCCGAAATGCAGGACGTATACCACGATGCTGTGCAACAACCAGTCAGCTCATGACGTCTGCCAACAAACACACACAGAAGAGATATAAGAAACGAGCAACATACGGCGCAACAACAACAAACGCAAACAAAAACCCGGTACTCAGCCAATTAATCCCCGTTTCGGAGACGTCGAAAAACTCCGACGCAGTCCTCGATATCGGAGAAAAGGTCAACCACTGCGGTAGCACGCTGGTCAGCTAGCTCTCCGGATACACATACAAACACACACACACAAACACAAGTACACACATCGCCAGATGGGTACAAACTTACATCCCAGCTAACAACAATGTTCAGCAAAACCAGCTGGATCAAGCCAAACCAGCGACGCTTATACACGCGATATCCCACCGCCGGCGCAGGCAGAATGGGATCCAGAGTGGCCTCGCGGTCGAGCTGATAGTGGAGGAGGCCCGCCTCGTTCGTCGTCGAATCCCTCGTCGCGGCGGTCAGAGACGGCGAAGTGACAGTTTCGGTCTTGGGCATGCCGTACTCGCCCTGTTTGCCGTCGTTGATAGTCTGCATTCTCACGTAGCCAAGGTTTGTCGCATGCCGGGTCGTGGAATGGACAACGACTTTGAGCCGGTCGAACATGCAACGAGCCCTGTGGATCGTCTATATAACCGCGAAGCAGGGATCGGATGGAGCGCAGTTATCGTTGTTATCAGCTTTGCAGACAGTCCGGATACGTCTGGTAGTCCGACCCGAGGTGGTTTCTTGAGTGATTGGCAGTTGATTACTCTCTGTCAGGTCACGGGATTATTTGCTTGAACTATCAGTTGTCAGTTGCCATAACGGGAGTAGCGTGACTTTATAAACTACAGGCCCGGACTCCCGAGGTTCCCCTGGTAGGTACCTGACACTAGTCTGCTTTAGGAAAAGTATCATCCGAGGATCCCATCCCCTTTTTCCCACCATTCATTTTCCCCAACCACAGAATAATCATTTCTACAGTGTGTAAGATCATGACATAGCCAGCCATTTCAGCCCTTGGATTTTGGGACGTGTCGGTGCTGTGTGCCTCGAGAGTGCCCCCTTACAGCATCGAATCACTCCGTCCATGTCCTGCTCTCAACAGAGTCGTTGAAGGCTGCCCCAACATCGAACCCACTAACACGCGAGGTTTACGTATTGAAGCGACGGACCAAATGATCTTCTTGGCTGGAATATCTGAAAAAAGTCAAAATTAAAAAATAAAACAAAGAGACAGTCTGTTATCTGTTTGCATTTATTCTTGCATAGCACTCAAGTCGATCTTATCTTTTCCTTCGCACGCTCATAGGGGTTCCTTTTTTCAGAGTCAAGATACTTTATTCATCAAGTTATTTTTCTCCTCTTTCTACGTCTTACTCTCGTCATTCGTCTTTCCCTGCTCGACTAACTTTCGTCCCGAAGGCTCAAGGTAGGAAGCGAGAAGCTCATCGCATCGCACGGCGCCGAACTTGGAACAGGGGCCCTGGTTCGCAAACGCCCCAACTGGATGCTCCAACGAGGTCAAGAGAAAGATAACTGGACCCGTTGCCGATGGAATGTAAAGCTGGATCCTCACCGCACTGGAATAGAGTCTATAGCCTGCCGTTCGCACTCCTCCCATCCGCAATCGCATCTCGGCTACTAGGCCGGAGTGAAACTCTGAGAGGGCGATGCTGAGTCGCAGCCGGTGTGTTCTCGACACTGTACTTCTGATCGCAGGTGCGGTGGACCGTGTGGACCTAAGAGCTCGGTATTCGCGTCGGGGGCTTGCGATGAGTGGCGATTGTTGTACCGAGGATACCAATACGATCGCGACAGGCATTCGAGTACTGGCGTTCGTATGGCATCGCTCAGCCGGCGCATGATCGACTGTGCATGTCTTACTGCGCATGTTCTGGATTGTGCGACCTTGTCGTGTGTAGGCGCAATCGCTCCCAGCGCTGTAGTCCCAACGCCGTCCCATTTTTATCGATGCTCTTATGAAGATGCTGCCCGCTCAGAATCTCGCAATTGATTTTTAGCCACGGCTGTATTGTCACGGTGGCGCCGGAGGTACGAACGATGCTGCGAGTCGCGGCTGCGGCAGCCTCACCCACGACACATTCTGGTATATCACCGATCATGCCGATACTCCGACTGCTCTTGTGCATCTCAGCCAGACTGTCCTCGAATACGATGTCGTACGACTTGATTATGGGTGGCAACTACTTTAGTTAGCTACAGACTCGAGAGTGTGCAGAGGCAAGGGTGCGACGATACCTTGGCTGTCAGGATCTACTGTTGGGACGACGGGAGGCCTCTGCGGCATAGCCAGTCGCAGCCAGTCAACAGCAAATGCTTTGTAACATGCGACCGCACTCATGTCGTCGAAAGTGCTGATTAGCCTGGTCCACACGCGTTGAAGACGACTTGGTTGTTCGGTTCGGAAAGTTTGATGTTACAAGCCTAGATGGTGCTATTTGGGACCAACAATACGTTGTTTGTTGGATCCGTTTTCGCACTCTTCTAGTCTTTGAACATGCTGTGGTCGTCGTCGGCTATGACTGGACTCGACGGAAGTCTCGCCGTGTTGTCGTTGGTGGCGGTGGGTCAGCGTCGATGACTCAAACGACGTGTGAAATTCTTGGTCGACTCCTGAAACAGTGGCATCAGCACAAGTTCACAGTGTGGCCTCGAGACAGAGACTTACCCGGATGTTCAACGCTCATATCGCATGATCGAACACACTGGCCGTCTGCCAACAAGCTACGTGATATCTGCCGTCGACGACGACTGAAGAACCATCTCTATCATATTCAGAATCTCTGCAAAGATATCAGCTCTTGAATACATGTCTTTTGCTGGCATGTCTGTACTCCACCTGTGTGTCTCGAGTGCATATATGAGCGATTCCACACGTTGGCAGACGCATCTCGACATTCATCCGAAATCGACGAAACAAATACCACGCCAGAGCTATGATATCCGTCAATGTGCTCAACCACAAAGTCTCCATCGAAACCAAACCGAGAAAGGCCATCGCCGCATCGTAGACGTGTCCGTACCCTGCTCGCACCCCGTCAGCACAAAGCTATCATCAATACAACACACTCACATCACATCCCATCCCATCCCAATCCTCCAAACCCAAAGCCGAGACGCAAAGTACCTACTCCCCATGAAACCCAGCCGATAGGTACCTCGAAGCGTGCGTACCTACCCAACCCAAGCCAAACGCAACATACCAAACCACACAATCAAGCCTTCCTCACCTGCCATCAAAAAATCCCGTCAAGCCCCGCAAGCATCCCCCTCATCGTAGCTTACATCTGCAGTGATGCATGTGTTGCACCATATGATAGTCTGCAGTTGAAGAAAGGAGGACGGAAGGAGAGAGAGAGAGGGAAAGAATGAGAAACGCCTAGTCCTGCTGAAGATACCTACCTCCCCTGAGCGGCCCCTTTAATCCCCCCGTTATTCCCCTCCGCAGACATCCGGGTGCTCGTCGCGGCGGTGGACGCTGTAGGGCATAGCTGGTATAGCTGGCATAGCTAGCTGGCATAGATACCTTCTGGGCGCCCACTACCCCCCTATTTTTCCTCTATGTCCCCCCCAACTCAGCCAGCTAAAATCCAACTCGCACGCCAGAAAGAAGGGGAGACACCCTGCTAGAGGCCTGCGACTGTAGCTGCCCTGGCGATTTGTGCCCTGAGGGCCTGGCGGGCTGGTGGTGGTGCACTTCCTGGCTTGGTGCGCCCCGAGACTTCATAACGACGCGAATCTATGTACAGGGCATGATAATTATTCTCTGCGTCGGACACGCAGGGCATTTAGACGTAGAGATGGGCTGCTGAATGTTCACTTTGCACCGACGACGGCATGTGTGCTGCTGAGACGTGGGGATGTTTGTACTGCACGATCCACGGCACATGGATGGATGAATGTCAGACACGAACGGTGTGATGGATGATTGTGATATTCATCGTGCTCTGCACCTGTCGATGGGCAAGCGAGCATCTATCTGCGAAAACAGAACAAGAACAAGAACAAGAACCGGTATGCCAAACACCATATGCCATGCAACCCAACCGCGCAATGCAACAACAACAACAAAACCCAACCACGCAATGCATAAACCCAAGACAAGACCAACGCTATGCAATCCAAACCGACCGCTATGCAAAACAAGACACCGACGCAAAATATACAAAATGATGCCCTCCCCTCGTCTACAACCAACCCACAACGGGACAAGTAGACGATTGAACTGTTCCCGGTGAACAGTGTGTATGTCGAATGAAGAAATCCAGCGGTATCCTCGGAACGTTTCGTCTCCTGATTGGATGTGATGGTGGGAGGAGACGAGTGTCTTACTCGATACTTGGATGTGGATGTGAGACTCTATTCAGAGGTACCCTCGGAACACCTCGTCTCTCGGGATGGTGAGAGACGAGTGTCTTACTCGATACTTGATAGAGAGGGGAATGAACCAGAGGTATCCTCGGAGCGCCTCACTTGACGACGACGATGATGATAATGTCAAGTGAGTGTCCTACTCGATGCTTGAATCATGTGTGGCGGCAGGGTGCAGTGGTGAGGTGAGCAGCAGCAGCTCAGGGACAGGGAAGACGGCGAGGGGGGAGGGGGGAAGGCAGCAGTGGCAGCAGTGGCAGCAATGCAAGAGACGGACGAGGCCATGGGGAGAGTGGATGAGAGTGCCTCAACTGGGGACCACTCCTCACCAAAGGCCCGCCTCCTCGAGCTGCTCGAGCTGCTCGTACTCCCCGAAGTCCTCGGGCTGCCAGAACTGCTCGAATGGCGGCATGTAAGCCCCAAAGTCAGTCCTAGGCTCAGCAGGAGCAGCAGGGAGATAGGCCTGCTCCTGAGCCTGGGTGGGCTCCAACTGCCCATCATCCCCGAAGAGCTGCTCGACAGCAGCCCCAGAGTCGGGCACCATCTGCCCATCCTGCCCCCATGGCTGCTGGTCAGCCCCAAAGCCGGGCTGAGGCCCAGGAGCAGCATAGTAATAGGGCTGCTCCTGGCCCTGGAACTGGCCCTCTAGAGCCGCCGTGGGCCCAAACTGCGGTCCTGCCGCCGGCACAGTCGCAAACTGGCCATCCCAAGCAGGGTCGTCACCCATACTTGGCTCCTCCATCTGCGGCAGATAGAGGTTTCCCCTCCAGCCTTGCTGCTGGACGAACGCCTCAGGAGGAGGAGTGATGGGAGCCTGGGGGGCACCCATGGGAAGAGCCCAGGGAGCCGGCCCTGGGAGCTCAGGAAGCGGCTGCTGCACGACTGGCAGCTGCTCCTGTGGCGGCGTGCTGGGCTCCGTCTGCCGCGCCTGTTTGCGTGCAGCAGCACGCTCTTTGGCAGACGGCTTCTTCTTCTTCTCGCCGTCTGCATTTGCCCTCGCCCTCGGCTTGGGCACGATGTCATGCGCCCGGACATGATGTTTGCCCCGGGCATGGTCATCCTTGAAAGTTTCCTGGCAACCAGGCTGCTTGCAAGGGAGGAGCTCGCCGCCATGCTTGCTCCGCATGTGTGCTTTCACATGCTCCTTCTGTCTCAGGGACAGGCTGCACACATGGCATTTGTATCCCCTGGCGTTCAGGTGAGCACTCATGTAGTGCTTCCCCTCGCCCTTGATACCACAGGCCTTGCCAGACCTGTAGTTGCAGCCTGGCCACGAGCACACCCAGGGCTTCGGGTGTGTCGGCTGGGACTCGTCCAGCCTGCACCAGGTGCCTCGCACCTCTGCTGTGTACGCCAGCTTTGGAGCGAGCTCCTCCACTGGGGCAGCCATGCCTGAAAACGAGGGCTGGGATGCAGCGACACTCGTTTCCCGGCGACTGGATGGTGCTAGAGTGGTGTTGCTAAGCACCGGAAACACGCTCCTTGGAGGGGGGAGGGGGGGGGGGCGTGCAGGTGCTGTAACAACTTGTCGCGACAGGCTCACTAGCTGCTGTGAGGTCGCAAGTTGGCTTGGTCTCTACAGGTTAAACCTGGTAGATCCCGAGAGGAGGAGGGGGGGGGAGGAGGAGTCCTGTTTCGGGTGCCCGCTGGATGCTTGACACTAGGACAAGGGAGAGGATACACCTAAAGTGAGGTGTGAAAGAAGAGTAGACTGCTTCGTGGGCTGTTGGACAGACAGGAAACTGTCTGTTGCACTTGAAGCTATTTGTAGAAAGATGTTCACTGAAAGTTGTTGAAGATTTAGATGGAAGGGAGGAAACAGCACCACACGCACCCTTTTATGAGGACGACCGGAACGTCCTGGAAGGCCAGTACGATCAGGACGACCACCGTAAACAGGACAGTCACCACAACTTGGGACAATTCCCCCTGAAATCCAGTCTGTGACCACAGAGTACCACGGTCCTCCATCGTCAAATACCCAACACGACGTCGGGGCAACTGAACCTCTACATTTGCGATATGGATGTGCCAAAGGGACGCAGAGTCCGGATCACATGGAATTTGGATCATTAGAAAGGGAAGAAAAGCGGCATCAAGCTCATCCCTTTTGCAAACCGAGACCTCGAGAGTTGCATACTCAATTCCAGTTGATGCATACTGAGCAGCTTCGTGAGTGTCCTGGGGGGAGTTGCGCTAACAAACCAGTCACCAAAATCAGGGGCTTAGCAGGACCCTACAACTCTGGTACTGCAAATTTTTCTTCAAGCTACCGGCATTTGGTCGAATCCAATACTACAATGTTCGGTATTGGGAATGTAATAGCGTTTGCTATAGGGACAGAGATGGACGTCGACTATCCGCACGCATCCTTCATGCCAGCATATCGACGCAAATCGAGTAGGAGAAAGGATATGATAGCAGCCGCGATGGGCATAGCTCAGGGGCTCGACCACATCAGAATGGGCTTTACGGGTTCGTATTGAAAAACGTCCACACAGGGGGGCATGCAGCAGGCAAGCAGAGTTCTCAGGCTGTACTATTGCACGTATGGGTGTGTTAGGGCAGAACGGGGGCATGGGCAGTGCTTGCGGTGTGTGGATTCGTGATGTGGTAGCTGGGCAGGAGAAGACTACACGTCTCGAAGGAACCACCAAGCACACACATCAAGAGGCTGCTCAATCTGATGATACGGTCCTCAAGCATCTACAGACTATACACTGTAGCCGCGCAGTGTCTTCAAGAAGCATCGCGTTGATGGCAGAATCTCGCTGCTTGAGAGCCCCCAAGTAGCAGCCTGGCCGACTGGACGCCCCTACACCAGACCGGGACTCCGCTAGCAGCCGCATCGATTCTGCACTGTCTACATACAACATCATCTTTCCAAACACCCTCTCCAGATCCCCAACCATGACTGAATCGAACGTCATAGAATACTTGCTAATGGGTTCTGATGTGGCATATATAGGTCTTCCAACACCCGCAACCCCTGAACGAGCGAGTCGCGCCACGCAAACACGAGCCTCGCTCCTCAGCCATGAATCAACTGCACACCGTTCCAATCCTGCCGCAACCACAGAGCTGCGCTGTATAGGAGCTGTCAGTCATTCAACTGTAGAAGCGCTCTCTAATATAATAAAGAGAGAGCAGCCAACTTGTCGAGGCATGGTTCTGCCGATCGCGCGAGCTGGTCACAGACAACAGACCGTCCCTCCAGCAGCTCCACGAGGTCTATCCCCGACATAACCAGCAAGACGACAATGCGACTGAACTCGCGAATCTCTCACAACAAACCCGAGTCCCGAGAAACCCTCACCGAGTCCCGAGCGCGTATCAACTCCTCCGAACTCCCCTCGGCGCATTTCTCAAACGCGCGCATATTGTCCGACTCCTCCGACCGCCCGCAAGCCCGTGCAACTGTCAATTAAAATATCCGAAACACAAAGAATGAGGCGTCAGGGTTCTGTCAGGGTTGCTGCAGAAGACCCTCTCTACCCTGGAGCGCGTGGTGCGCGGGATGGTGCTATAGATAGACAAGACTAGACGAGGCAGACATGGGACATACGAGACTGGGCAGGGCAGAAGACGCGACAAACAACGAGAACGGGGATACAAGCATTCAGAGCGTGCTCGATAGCGCTCTCAAGAAAACACGGAATATACAAGCAGCGCCAATGCTGTACAGAGCGCAGCATGAAATATGTATTTATATAATAAAGCCGTCCATAAACTATATACCTGTTTGTCCCAGCATCATGATAATCTTGATATGTCCAGCTATAATACAATCCCATCAAGATCTGCCCTCCAAAAAACCAAACCCGAATCCCACCTTTCTCACCCCTCATCTCCACGACAATTCGTGAAAGCAGGAAAGCAGGAAAGCAGGAAAGCAGGAAAGCAGGAAAGCAGATCATTAAAGAAATCAGGCACCAACTTCCCCCAGCACCATCACTCCTACAACCCCCCACCCCTCCATAGTGTATAATACATACTTTACAATACCAAACCCCCACAAGCTTCCCAGCTCAGCTCACCATTTTTTTTTTTTCACTTCTCTAATTTTTCTGGGAAAATTCCTTTTCCTTGGTACTACTAATATATATGTCCCATGTACCCATTCCCATGGGTCGTTCGAGTTTGGGGGTGGGGTTGGGCCCAGCTAACTAAACCCTTGCGCCCCAACAAGACTACCCTAGACTTCCCTAGACTTCCCCAGACTACGCCAGACTTCCCTAGACTTCCTTAGACCTCCCCGCAGTTTAGAAGGAAAAGGTCCCTTGTGTGTGTGTAACTGTGTGTGTAAGTGTGCGGAAGGCTGCGGCATGAGTCTCCCCTTGAATAAGAGGGGTGTTTTTGGTAGGGTTTGCACCTTTTTTTTTTTTTTTCTTTCTGAGTACTAAAGTATAGTTAGTGCCATTTAGCGGACCGATCCGCGCTGCGCCGACGTCTGGGGTCTCTCTTTTTTCTTTGCGGGGGAGTGGGATGCACTCTTTTTTTTTTTTTTTTTTTGGCGCCTGGTAGGGAGGGAGAGTGATGGTCGGGGGATGGGATGGGATGGGATGGGATGGGATGGGATGGGATGGGGTGTGTGTGGTTTGCACTTTGGAGTTTTGAAGCTTTTTTGTTTTTTTTTTTGTATTTCGTTTGTATATTGTCTGGCTAGCTAGGTAGCTAGCTAGGTAGGTATATGGGTGGATTGATGGGTCTTGATACGTGACAGACTGACAGACAGACTGACAGACAGGCCTTGCTGTCAAGAGCTTGCGATCAAGACTGCTCCAATGCGACTTTATTGTCGCCATTATAAAGGGTCATGTGTGTATTGTACGTGCTTCATGCCAGACTCTGTCCTTGGAGTGATGATTGCGCATGATGGACTGTCCTGTCCTGTCCAATCCTGTAATGTCTAGTCCCGTCCTGCCCCGTCCTGCCCCGTCCTGTCCTGTCCTCTCTCCCAAGTCCCCATAATTAGCACGATGTGACAATCTGCTCAAGGGACGGCGTTTTGAGACGTCTTACCATTTACCAATATCTCCCATCGCAGGCCCATGTTCCCCGCGACCATACACATCCCGTAAACAAAGGTGCCACTAGTCAACGCATGTAATGTAGGTAGAGACGTGATGCCGTAAGCCAAACCAAGGCACCCGCTGGCCATCACCGCCCCTCCGCCCGCGCAACAAGCCCCTCCCCAAGCCCAACCGGCTGCCAGACCGCCCTATCGCCCTTCTTCTGCGCCCACAGAATATCGCCATGCATATACACCACCACACCGCCCTTGCCCGTCGCACTAGCCGTGATGCGGAACAGCGGCAGGCCGGTCTGGGCGTGTGCTTCGCGCAGGGGGACGAGCAGGAGGTTTTCGTCGCTGCACCACGACTCGACGACGTCTCTGAAGGTTGTCTCGACGGCGTGCTGCGGCGGGGCCGATGTCGAGGATGATGATGCGGTGGTGTTGGGGCCAGGTGTAGCGGGTCCGGAGGCGGGCATGTGAGCTGGTCGTGCAGGGCCGGCGGCGGGGAGGGGGAGGAGCGTCTTTGCGCTGTCGCCGAGGTCGAGGGCGTGGTTGATCATCTCGAGGCCCTTTTCCCACTGTGCGTCGACGGGCTTGAGGGCGTTGATGGCGTCGGGGAAGCGCGTCTTCCACCAGGTGTACCACTGGCTGATTTCGGCGTAGTTGGGCTCGGCCGTCAGCCAGAGATGGAGGATGTTGAGCCACTTGGGGAAGAATTCGGCGAGGAGGAGTTGGGCGATGACGAGGGGTTTGAAGACGGGGGTCCATGCGAGGACGTGCTCGAGCGGCGCCATGTCCTGGTTTGAAGGGTCGATTTCGAAGTCGGTGGAGAGGTGGGCGGCGAGGCGGGGGAGGAGGTGGTTGATCAGGGAGCGGTCGACTTCGGGGCGCATGACGTCCTGCCATTCGGCCAGGCCGGGCATGATGCCTCGAGTGAGATCCCAGGTGTCGAGAGCGAGACGGAGCTTGCGTTTTACGTCTGCGAGGAGGCCGGTTGCGTTTGAAGGGTCGGTGTGTTGCTCGGAGAGATATGGGAGCCAGGGGAAGAGCCATGTGTGTGGGAGCGATGTGGGATGTTTTCTCTTGAGCGCAGTACGAGGATTCCATCCCTGTACGCTGCTTGAGAGCTTCTGTTCGACGAGGTTGTTCACCACGCTGTTGCGCACGAACTCTGGGAGGAGCGGCGACCACGCTTCCACGAGTGTCAGCAGAATCGTCGGTGAATGTGTGTCCCAGTCGTTTGTCACGGCCGTGCGGACTCTCGGTAGCCAGAGAGAGTATATCATCGTCTCGTAGGACGTTGTCGACTTCTTGGGACGTCGAAGAGATTCAAAGTCGTCCTGTGTGGAGGAACTTGTGCCTCTGCCGATCCGCAATATGCTTTCCAGCCGTTTGAGATATGTGACCAAGTGCATTGGATGCTCTAGGGGGTCCCAGTCAAGCATCTCCTGCTTGAACAGCGGGTGTATGACTGCCACAGCAGCATCAGACAGCCCATACTCATCAATATCAGCTGCATAGGTCGTCTGTAGCTGCTCCAATTCGCTGGTAACTTCCTCCCATCTCGCAAGAGCATCGTCCGCAAGCATGGGAGTGTTGACATCCAGGCTTGACAATGCGACGACTGCTTCATACATTGCTTTTACCTTTGCGTCTTCGTCCTCCTGGTCTACCAGCTCTTTGAGTAATTGCTCTTCTTCGGCGTCAATATACTTGTTGCGCTCCACCATATCATTCCACGCTTCAGCGAAGCCTTCCAGCTCGAGTCGAGCACGTTTTGCGATCTTTTCGGCCTCGGTTTCACCTCTGACATGGCCCGTGGTTGGTGTGAGCAGCCCGGCGGTGGAGGTGAGGAGTCTGTTCTCTCGTCCGGTTGCATCGATGAGAGACTTGAGGACGTTGGGCACTTCCAAGCCCTCTGATTCCTTCTCAATGTCGGCAGCAGTGCGATACTTCTTCTTGGCTTTGGTGAAGCCGCCGGGTGTGCTGGCTCCACTGTCTCCAGCGCTCTTGGCCGCCCTGACAGCGTCTTTTCGTCGCTTGCGCGCTTTACGCTCTTCCTCTGAGGAGTCCTCGTACTCTTCGCCCCTGCGCTCGGCTTGTCGTTTGGCTTCCTCCTTGGCCTGCTTCGTCTTCTCTTTCACGGCACCAACACCAGCACCCTGCGGCCGAAGTTTTACTTCGATCGGGTTGAGAATACCGTCGCCACCTTTGCCTAGACCTTCGCCCTCCTTGTAGCCCATCTTTGCCATCATCTTCTGCGCGAACGACATCTTGGGGCCTCCACTTCCATTGCTGCCAGCGCCAGCGCCAGCACCCCCCGTCTTTGCAGCTTTGCGGTTCGCATTGTCACCAAACTCCGACTTGCGCTTGAAGGACGGTCGCTCCATGGTTGTGTAGGCTGAGCTGGATCGAGTAGGAGTCTATAGGACGCTGTAGAGAGGCGCGAGAAGCGCGATGAGGTAGTAGTTGATGCGGCGCCGAGAGTGCTATGTTTGGAAACGACCTTGGAAGTGATGATGTATTCGAACGTGCGCCACTGAATGAATGAATTGAATTAGAGACGAAAATAGTAAACGCCTGCTGGGTCGACGTGCGGCGTGCTGCAGGACGCAGGGAACGGATGTTGATGCTGCGAGTGAACGTGGGTGGCCGCCCAGTGCAGGGAGGTTAGTAACAAGTTTGTCAATGGCGCAGTCTTCAACAGGTCGAAAACTCCGCGAACCGTGTCAGTAATGATAACAAGAGGCTTGCCATGCAGACTTCAAATGTCTCTCGAGTCTATTCTGTCTAGATATTCCTTGGGGCCTCTTTTTACTTCACGCCAGTCATCTTCCGCCGCCGTTGCGCCACCGCCGTTTGGCTGGTGGCTTGCTAGTAATTGCTATAATGGAACCGCTTCCGAGGCCTCCCGCCTCTTCTCCTGATCCTGAGCCTGAACGCTTTCTACGTCGCCCTTCGATCGAAATAGACCTCCGACATCCTACTCCCGACCTCCAGACTCTCCAAGGTGCATACATTGCCAACGTCGAGAGGCTTGAAGACGAGGCGGAGCGCATGAGCACGAGCGGCTCTGAGTTGGGCGAAGAGATACGCAAGCTTCAACTGGAACAGAAGCGATCAGACAGCCGCAGGTCTTCGTTGAGGACCGCTCCTTCAGAACGGCCTACGACAAGATCACGGAACGCCTCGACGAGTTCTTACGGCAATTCTATACTAGACGTGAACAGCACAGCTCGTTGGGGAGGCTATTCGCCGGGCGGCTTTCTTGCCTCTCCCCTTGGATCAGTCCACTCGGGTTCCTGGTCTGTTGCTAATAGACAGCGGTCGACGTCGAGGGCGTCGCGTCTCGGCCAGATGTCACAGTCGAATCTGAAAGAGGCGGCCCTTCAAGGACACCAAATACTTCCATCCCCCCCTTCGCTCACATCGCCGCCCCACTCCTCTGTCACGCGACCTTTGAGCGAACACGACGAAGAGCAGGGCGAGTCTTCCACAGGGGGCTATACACCGAGAACGCCCCTTGGTCTCCATGTGGTGAGCGGAGGAGTGCAAGACGATCGTGCTGCGACAAGTCCTGGAAATGAGAGCACTGGCAGGCCTGGCTCGGCAGGCTCGGGTGACACATATCAACAGGCTCGTATGCTTTTCCACGATTTTGACGGCGCATACGATCACGAAAATGACGACCATGATGAGCACACACATGCATACAAACATGAACACTCGCGCCAACCACGGCACACGCTGAACATTGACAGCAGCCCCAACATACAAGCCAAAGAGGAGGTCCGTGGGGAAGCTCTTGCGCAGTTGGAAGGGCTGGATGGCGAAGGATTCAAGCATGATGCGAGCCGTTATTCGCTGATGCCATCCTTGCCAGGGCCAGCCTTCGAGGCATCTCCGCCACCAGAGGAGGGCATGGTCTTCTACCCAGCTCCGGTGCCTCGCATGCTAAACTTACCAAAACGGCTGTCGCACATGCCGAATCCCAATCTACAAGCGAAGCGCAGGACCCAGATGTTGAGCGGGCTGCCGGCCGAAGCCAGAAAGTCAGCAGTTTGGTTATCAGATCCGAAAGACAACGATAAAGCACGCTCACCGAAATCTCCGGATGAAGCTCGAACGAACGCTCGTCGCAGTCAGATGAACCTGGCAAGCCTTCCGCCGCAGTTGAGAGCGAGTGTGTTTTTCGACCACCAGCCGGTAGAGGTCGATGTGCGGGGCGAATCGGCGACGCATGCGCTGGACAACATTCTAAATGCGTCGACGCGTGCATCTGTTAGTGCCTTCACCGATCACCCGTACGCGGGTCATGTGGGTAACGAGGTGTACGGCAAGGCGGCCATGCGCAAGAGTACAGTAGCGCTGCCTGAAAGTCCGAAAAAAGAAAACAAGAACCGGAGTTCCTGGCAAAAGCTACGCTCCGCATCAAGCACTGATGGACTGAACAAGTTGCAAAAGCGGAGCAGCTCTCGCTTGAGTATGAACATGGACAATGAGCAGCTTGCCAGGCCCGAACAGGGCGAAGGTGATGCTAATTCACATGAGGTGATTGAGGATCCCCACTTGATGCATCGGTCTGTGAATGGAGATATCGAGCAAGATCAAGAAGACGAGGCGGAAGAAGACATTGAGCCTGAGGCTTACCACGGACCACCAACGACTCTACTCGCCGAGTTGCAGATCAGGAAAGCACAACAGAAAACTCGCAACAGGACAGCAGCAACAGCATTTCCGAACGGGATGCACTCTACTCTACTTCAGATGGATGCTGTGGCGCAGATCGAAAAGGACAAACGACGGACGCAGCGCGTGAATCTAGCGTGGGAGGATCCGGCAGCCAGAGCGGTTGATGAACACGATGACGACGACGACGATGTCCCATTGGGAATGTTGTATCCAGGGCGGGATGGACTTGCGAATAAGAACAGCAAGGAGCAACATTCCCGCCGTGGGCAGCATGATCAACCGATAGGTCTCATTGAGAAGAGGCAAATGGAAGACAACGAACCCCTTAGCAAGCGGAGGAACCGCATCAAGGGCATCGAGGAGAAGCCGGCGGCTCGCAGAAAATCGATACCGCTGTCTGCAGTGCATAGTGCTGAGCAAGTTCGAGCATCGACGCCGATCGAGCCACGAGTAGACGAAAACGACGAGCAAGACCCGGACGAGGGTGAGACACTAGGGCAGCGACTCCGACGGCTGAAAGATAAAGCCAATCTGGATTCTGCTCTGGGTGACCCGAAAGAACGTCCCCACAGTGAAGCTTTTTCGGTCGAGATGCTTTCGCAGCTCGGCATCCAAGATGAGGCTACTGCAGGTTCAGAGCCGGTTGCACCAGAAGACGAAACGCTTGGGCAGCGTAGAAGGAGACTCCAAGCTGAGGCTCTGGCTCGGGGTAACACCCTGTCAGAGCTTCAGCCCAGTGGCATGCACCTTACCGTTCCACAGGCAGCCACGACGAGACCTCCTCTCCGGACGTCTCACAGTATGGCAGATATCCTGGCAGCGCACCCGACTCATAACGCGGCACGCAAGGTGTCCAACGACATGCTCCTGGGATCATTGCCTCAGGGCAGTCTTCTACACCAGAGCGAAGCCACGCGCGCGAAACAGAAGCAACAGATCTATGACCAGAACAGACGAGTCTCATCAGTGGGCCTCAGTAAGCCGCTGCTCGAGGTTGGCGAGAAGGACAAAGAATGGGACACACCGCTGGGGCTGCTCGGGGCTCAGAGCAGAGCGAATGCGGCACGGCAAAGCTCGATGATGGCAAGCATGCATCCGACGATAAATGCGTCGAGCCCGAACCTCATGCAACATGGCAACTTCAGCCAGCCGAACATGCCGCAAAGGAGCATCAACATGAGTATGCCCCATCTCGGCTACGGCTACCCCCAGGCTGCACAGCCAGGCATGCCAATGATGGACCCGTATGCGATGCAGCAGATGCAGATGTTCTGGCAACAACAGCAACAGCAACAACAGCAGCAGCAGCAGATGATGCAGATGGGCGGGATGAACGTCCCACACTATGCGGCGGGAATGAATATGGGCATGCCGATGGGCATGCCAATGGGGATGCCGATGGGAATGGGATATGGAGCGACTGGACGACCGCATCAGATGACTCAAGAAGAGGTCGCCGCCATGGATCCGAAGCAGAGGGACATGATTGACCGGTGGAGGCAAGACGTTGCGTGATGGATACCCGCCCTCTTCAACACAATAGACACATACATCACTGTACAATACTAGCGATTTGCATGCCGAGGCGCTTCTCATACGGCCATCAGCATATACCGGCGTTCTTTTTTTGCTCAGTCGACTCGCCGGACAGAGCATCGCTTTGCCGGGTACATAGCCATCAGAGGTATCAGACAAATATTAGACAGGACCATCATTCTGGCATTTGACCATGCAGCCATGACCGTTCTTTGTACGTTTCGACTTGAAGTGCTTGTAAGTTTCTGATATTTGACAAGTGGTAATTCGTAGAGAGCATGTCGTCGTGCGAGCCTAAGGCTGCCACAATCATCCATAGTAACACAACCCCACCTACCCAGGTACTAATTAGGTACACCACAACACCCACAACCACTGCAGCCTGTGTACGTATATACACATATAAGTATATATCCCAACGACCATACCAATCACCCACCCACCCAAACAAAAACAAAAACAAAAACCAAAAAAACCAAAAAAATGCCACCACCCAACTACCAACACGACACCCTCCCAAACCCAACCCGCCAAGAACTCCTCTCCATCCTCCAGATGATGCTCCCCGTCTTCGGCGGCACAAGCATCCAGGCCAACGCCGTCTACCCACACGACATCCACGACCTCTCCAGTCCGCAGTACGAGCGCCTGGCCGACCGGCTGCACGGCCTGTGCACAGCCGATCGCTCGATTGTGTGGTGTCGGGTGCGTGATCTTGCGTGTGGGGGGAGGGTTGTTGGGGCGGCGCAGTGGTGTTTTTATGATGGGGATGGTATAGGGGAGGGGGGGGATGGAAGTGTGGAGGAGAGGGTGGAGGAGGCAACGGCGAGGCTGTTTGATGGGCCGGAGACGGCGGATGATACGTGGGAGAGTGCGGGGGAGAAGGCGTGGGCGAGGGCGGTGTATGGGGTGTTTATACGGTCTAGGTGTGAGGTTTTGCGGAGGGAGGCGCGGCCGGTTGTGGGTGAGTTGGCGTTTGTTGCTGTTGTCGCTGTGTCTCAGGGGCGGCCTACTACTGTCTGTCTGTCTGTCTGTCTGTCTGTGTACTGCAACTTGAGATGCTGGGCGACAGCTTGCTGATTGTGGAGCATATGCACAGTGCTGGATAAAATGGCCATCACACCGGAGTATCAGCGGAAAGGCGTGGGGAGGATGCTGATGCAATGGGGCATGGACAGGGCAGATGAACTCGGGGCGTATGTGAGTACATAGTCCTCCATCATCATCTCACATGGGTCAAGATATATATGCTGATCATATATATATATACACATAGGGCTGCACGGAAGCCAGCACGAACGGAAGACTACTATACGAACGGTTTGGCTTCGTGGACAAGGGGCCTAGGATCTGGGAGGTGCCGGCTGAGTTTGAGTGGAAGGGCATCAAGAGTGTTCCGCTGGCGTATTTCATGGAGAGGCCGAGGGGGGGGGGGCAAGGTATGAACAAGATGGATAGATCACATTTTGACTGGTGTTCTTTTCTTTCATGGGTGCTGTATCATGTACTCGATAGAGGTTGTTGTGATTGTTCTTGTTGTTGTCGTATTATTAGCAGCATTCACTTGAGCCGCATCCATCCCTCTCCCTCTCCCGCGATACAGGGAATCGACGCTACGGGAGCGATCTAAGCCCCCCACCCCGATCCGTCCTAGCGCATCTATCTCTGGGTCCGTGCGCATATCCCGGGGCCTTGTCTTGTATATGTCTTGTCCTGCCGAGTGAATTCAAACTGGTAACAAAATTGCGGTGATGTGATGATGACTGACGCCCGACAACACAACTTACCGGATCATTGCTCGCATCGCGGGATTCCTAATTCCGCCGACGACCACGTTCCATATATCCTCCGATATCTCCGTCCAGTGCCGGAAGCCATGGCGCCGAGCTTTCGAACCGAGCCCTGCGTATAAATCCACAGCACATCTAACATCGATCGCCCTCTACTGATCAATGCCAATGAATACACTTGCCACGCTGACAAGGACGCGCAAACATGACGACGATGGATTCACTGCCACGCCCGTCGGGCAGTCGTATGCCAAGCTGCCAAGCCGTTCCGTCAAGGGGCCAGCAGCCAGCCCTTGAGACTGCTGCGGCAACAGAAAAAGGGGAGATTGACGCCGGGCAAAGCCAATAGCAAGCGCCAACACTTGATCGACTGGCACGCGTTTTGTCGTGAATGGGGGCGGCGTAGAGCCCGGCTTGCCGCTGTGAACGCCTGCTCTTGTGTGCTAATTCAGGCCTCCAGTCTGGGGAATGATTAGGGAATGGGGGAATGAAAGGGTGGCTTGCTGCCACTTTTCTTTTGGCGTTGTCGTCTTCTTCATTCTTCTTGTTCTTCGTCTCTCAACTCCTTGCGTTTGTGTGGTATATATCGCCATCCCTTTGATGCGTCTGGCGTGGTAAGTGCTTATTGCTCCCGGATGTGGCTTCTCCGAGGCTGAGACGTGCGAATACGAGACTTGTATGCTGACATTGCTATAGAATATCGCACTCCACACGTCCAGCTCTTTCTTCCATCGCCCTCGATCCCATTGTCTTCTTGCCTCAGTTCTACAATTATTGTCATCGTTGCGTTGTCTTCCGCCTGGTCACTATGCGCGCGGTTGCGCTCGCATTGACCGCCTTGCAGGCATCCCTTGCTTGGGGTCAGATCACCATTACCAGGGCACGGCCGTCGCCGTCAGAAATCCCTCCGAGCGATGAGAACGGTTCGCCAACGAGCATCGCAGTGCCAGAGGAAACCGGGGAACCATGTGCTGCCATCGCAGATACCGTCACCCGGGCCAATGCCAACAACATCATCGCCATTGACGCCCAAGTTGCATACGATTGTCTCCGATCCGTGCCCGTTCTCCAAACCGATGCCGAGCAAACAATCGATGGCATCCTGAACATGCTGCAGTTCCAGTCCAACCTGGGCTTTCTCGCAAATCCGCCAGACGATTATTTCAATGATCCCGTGGATCTGGTTGCTGGAATGGAGGACATCCGGAATCGTCTCGGCAGCGGGGAGTATCAGAATGAATATGATTTTGAGGCTGCCATAGGGAACCTCCTAGGCCGCTCGTATGACGGACATCTTGCGTATGATGGATACGCTTTTGCAGGCGCTTTCAGATGGCGGCGGGATCCTGATGCTGCACTGATCTCTGCTTCCACGGATGGCACAGAGCCACGCATCTATTCGGCCCGCGATGCCAACCAGGCCTCAGCGTCTGAGGTCACCCAGATCGACGGACGGCCCGTCACCGATGTGATCGCTGAAGAGGCGGCCTACAGCTCCTACCACGACCCGGATGCTCGATGGAACACCATGTTCGTGCTCCAGCCAGCCGAATCAAGTGGATTCTTCGTCAACCCGAGAAACTATCCCGGTCCAAGCACGTCCATTAGCTGGGAGAACGGCACAACGACAGAGTACCCGAACGCGGCTATCGTGCAGGACCCGGATTATTGGAGTGACGTCTTTGATGGACAATCCTTCTACAACACCTTTGTTTCTGTTCGCAGTTTGAGCGGGCGAAGACTACGCGCCCGTTCGGAATCGCCAAGACAACGTGTCCCAAAGCGCCTCCAGATTCCTCGCGATGCCTCCTTGACCCAGACTCTGTCCCGCGACGGCTCGGTTCCGGAATCGTATCCTGATCCTGTTGTCCAGCATGACGCCGAGGACGTTCCTCTGGCGGGCTTCTTCATCGATACCGACTCGATGCAAAATGTGGCCGTCCTGATGATGCAGACGTTTGATGCCGAAGACGCAGACCAGTTCCAAGCTGTGATTCAAGACTTCCTCGCCGAAGCACAGTCCCGTGGCTCGGAGCGTATCATAGTCGACGTCCGAACTAACGGTAAGTCACGGACTCGCATCCGTCCGAAAGACAGGATACATTCACTAACGACTCTCCCCAGGCGGAGGTCTAATCTTCCTCGGCTACGAAGCCTACAAACAGTTCTTCCCCGACGTCGAGCCCTACGGCGGCTCACGGTACCGCTACCACGAAGCCGTCGAGATTCTCGGCTCCTCCATCAGCCAACTCAGCCGGCCCCAAAACCCCTCCCTCTACGCCTCCCCCTTCAACTACCACGCCTACCTCGACCAAGACCTCAACGCCTTCACCTCCTGGCAAGCCATGTCCGGCCCCACCACCTTCAACAACGACCAATTCACCAACATCCTCCGCTACAACCTCTCCGACCCCCTCCTCATCCAATCCGACCGCTTCGGCCTCGGCATCCAGCTCACCGGCTACGGCGACCGCGCAAACTTCACCACCCCGCCCTTCCCCCCCGACAACATCATCATCCTCTCCGACGGCATCTGCGCCTCCACCTGCGCCATCTTCGTCGAGCTGATGACCCGCCAATCCGGCGTCCGCACCTTCACCCTCGGCGGCCGGCCCCAGCCCGGGCCCATGCAAGCCGTCGGCGGCACAAAGGGCTCCTCCGTCCTCGACCTGCAGTACCTCCTCCAGCTCAGCTCCGCCGTCGTCTCCGGCTTCGCCGCCTCGCAGCGCGAGGCCCAGGACTGGTCCGCCGTCTTGCCGCTCGACTTTGGCATCGTGCCTGTTGACGCGAGCGTCAATTTTCATGATTCTATTAGGCTGGGGACTGAGGGCAGTGGCGTGCCGACGCAGTTTATTAATGATACGAGTAGTTGTCGCTTGTTTTATACGCCGGCTATGTATTTCGATGTTCGGGAGGTGTGGGGTGCGGTTGCGGATGCGGTTTGGGGGGGGAGTGGGGGGGGCTTGGATGCTGGTAGGTGTGTTGGTGGGAGTGATACGGATGAGAGGGCGCAGGTTGGGGCGAATCCGAATGGTGGTGGTGCTGGGGACGGAGGGGATGGAGGTGCTGCGGGGGAGAATGCGGCGGCGGTGGGTGTGGGACCGAGAGGTTGGGTGGTTGCGGTTGGGGTGCTGCTTGCTTCGGGGGTTGGGTTGGTGGGATAGAGAGGGGGATGAAGGGAGAGAATAGGGGGTTGCATTTGTTGGGTGCGTGCATATTTGCTGGATTCTCGCTGGGCTTTGTTACGGAAGTAGAGGCATGCATTGAGATGGCGTTGTGCGTTCGTTTAGGGGGTGTGTATGTTTGTATGTAGGTATGTATGTGTCTGTATGTATGTATATTTACATGTCCATGTACACTCGAGGAAGCTCGATCGATCAGAATATCTATATATACGTATACATATACACTCAACACCGCCGTCTTCCGCTCACTACCTCCCTACTCCCTACTCTCTACGCCCCCTTCGCGTCTGGCGGACACAGCAGCTCCCTCCCATGCTTCTCATTCCACGCCTCCGTGCTCTCGAGCATAGCCCACCGCACGCCATCCAGCCCACACGGCAACACGACCGAACACGCCAGAATCGGAGGCGCATGATACCTGCCCCCGCGCAACTCATTCTGCATCGCCGCAACCTCACCCTGCACCTCCTCCATCCGCGCCCTCACGCGCTGCACATCCCTCTCCCTCTCCCTTTCCCTCCCCTCCACCCCCCTATTCTTCCTCCCCTCCTCCCCCCACTCCCCCCCAACAATCCGATCAACCTTACTCAACACCAGCGTAAACGCCAACCCACCCCTCACCAGAATCTCCAAAACCCGCCTATCCCCGCCCTGCACCCCGACCTCCGCATCAATCAACAGGAACCGCATGCCCAACTGCTCGCGCCGCTGCAGATATTTCACAATCTCCACGCCCCACTCCGCGCGACTGCCGTAGCCGTAGCCGGGCATGTCGACGAGGACCATGGCGCGTTTGCCGAACCAGGTGCGTTGGCGGGCGTTGTATGCTGCGCCGCCGAGGCCGATGGCGTTCATGCTGGTTGTGTGGCCGGGGGTTTTGCTGACGCTGGCGGGGCGGCGCGGGTTGGGCGTTGTTGGGGGGATGTGCAGGAGGGCGTTGAGGAGGGAGGATTTGCCGGCGTTGGAGCGGCCGAGGAGGGTTGTCTCGGGGAGTTCGGAGACGGGGAAGTGGGCGAATTTGGAGAGGGGGGAGAGGCGGG